CCATGTGTATCCAGCAACTGCAGAAGTCCATCGCCTGGGAGAGGTCCATCATGAAAGTGGTGAGCAACAGATAAAATAGAACCACAGCATATTTCCACACAATTAATTAAAAAGTCTACTCAGGAAGTTTGATGTTGATGGATGCACTTGTTTTTTTAGTACTGTCAGATATGCAGGAAGGGGGATAACGAGGACCTCCTCTTGCTGTGTGATGGCTGCGACAAAGGCTGCCACACTTACTGTCACAAACCCAAGATCACCAGTATCCCAGAAGGAGACTGGTACTGCCCGGCTTGCATATCCAAGGTATCAGAGCCTTTTATAATGTATTGTAATCTCTTTTCTCTTTAATTTAGAAGTTTAGGAAAATATCCACATGAAGGCCAAAACAGATATTTTTTATATTATTTTACTGTACTTAAAATCCAACCAGTTTCATGCTCAATACATTCTTTTATTATCATTTATTTTGCGGATTTTTATGCCTTTATTTGAAAGTGGACAGTAGAGAGATGAGGGGAAATAAAGGAAGAGAGAGGGGAAGAAAACGACATACAACAAAGGTCTGGCTGAGGGCTATATATTTCCCCTAAAGTTTTATTACGTTTCCTCTCAACTTTTATTGTCTGCAGCCGTGACTTGGACTTTATCCTATTAAGTGACAAAAAAACTCTCCATTTATATTCATACTAATATAATTCTGAGAAGCTAGAAGCTATTTTAAGCTTTGTTTTTATGTAGATGTGATCAGGGAAGAAACTAAATAATAGCAGTGATATAGGATATGACAAATTCAACCAACAGTTTAGAGAAGGCCTATATTAATATGATAAATTGGTGTATGTTGACACTATTCTATTAGTTTTAATTGGACCAGACCTCAGATAATGCATTGTTTACTTTGTGCAGGCAAGTGGTCCATCTCCCAAAAGCAAAAAACCTCCAAGCAAACAAGTAGCATCCAGCGGAGGAGGTGGTAAGAAAGGTGGAGAGGCGAAGAAGAATGGGAAGCAGGCAGGTAATGGGGAAGTGTCGGAGGACGATCCGGCCAGCGCCAGCAGCACACCCAAGAAAGGAGCAAAAGACACCAGCAGGAAGAGAAAAACAGATGAGAGCTCACCTGCTCTGCCAGCAGCCAATCAGGAGAGCCCTGTGTGTGTGAAACGAGCTAAGACAGCCAGAGACAACAACAGGGACCTGGGATTATGCAGGTATGTTCCTCTGGCTTGCTCATACTTGTCTTGCTGTTGAATTCTCCATTTATTTATCACACATCTTTACAGTTGTACAATAGATGCCATCTACTGTTGGGCAGTATCAAGGCCTTTTCACTTCATAAGATTCTTTTGTGGTTTATCCCTGGAACTTAAGGTCCTCTTGTAATTTTGTAACAAATCAAATTTTGCCTTTTCTACAAACATTATTATTTACCTCTTGTGGGTGATAGACCTTGCATAAAATATAAACCTTGGGGCAGCAGAAACAAGCTGTAAGCACAAAACTGACATTATTATCACCTTTTAAGTTGATATAGCAAACTTGTTAGCAAATAGTTGTCTTTTTACACATCCAATAGTCATGAAGCAACATTATCTTTCGTTTGGAGCCATGTTTGTGTCCACCTGATGAATATAAATATTATTATTCACATTCTTTTGGCTCTATTTTTGGACTCAAACCACCTCCTGAGAGAAATATCTGGCTTTTTAGCTGCTAAATGCTCCACTATTCTCACCAGCCAGTCACTAGCTTTGTCTGCCTGCTGTTTGGTGCTGAGCAGTGGATGCCAGCTGCAGACCAAATATGTGAATCAAAACAGTAAAGCTGTGGGCTGTAAAACCAAAACAATAAGTTGAAAGAAGCTACTAATGCTCTGTAGAGCTGAGGAGAACTGCAGTCAGTTGTTAATTCTCTCAGTTTGTTACTACGAGCAACATACATTTTGATCCATTGTTAATATAGAAATATTGATTACTGGGGCTGTAAAGGAAGAAGAAACCCAAGTGAAAGACAACTTCCCTAATAAATTAAATTATTGTACTGTGTCTAACCATGTGTGTGTGTTTGTGTCTTCAATAGGGTTCTCCTTGCTGAATTGGAGCGGCATCAGGATGCATGGCCTTTTCTCACACCTGTCAACTTGAAATCGGTCCCTGGCTACAGGAAGGTCATCAAGAAACCGATGGACTTCTCTACCATACGTGAGAAGCTTGTGAGCAGCCAGTAAGTTTCCATCACTTGTGTTTGTTCTTTTTCTACTGAAAGCCTTCAGGGGGCTTGCACAGAATTTAAAGCCAGAGTAGCATTTCTCAGAAAATAAGTTTTAGTTACACCACAGTATGTGCTGTATGAGCTGGACTTTCTCACTAAGTTTTTATTGTTTTTATTTCAGGTATCAAAACCTGGAGACTTTCATCATTGATGTCAACTTGGTCTTTGATAACTGTGAAAAATTCAATGAAGACAATTCAGACATTGGTCGAGCTGGTCATAACATGAGGAAGTTCTTTGAGAAGCGCTGGACGGAGCTTCTGAAACAAACAAACTAAACGTCTGTTCAGATTCTCCCCATAAACCCATACAACTTTTCATATCGGAGCACCAGGTTTTACTTTTATCTTTATTTTGTGAGGGAGAATGTGGTTTTGCAGGATGGAAGAAGAAGTCAGATCCTTAATAAGGAACCCATGGTGTGCTTAAGAGCGATGTCACCTTGAAAAAAAAGAAGAAAAAAAGTCGTTACAGGAGGTGCGCTGGATTTTATTACAACAGGGATAAAAGCCCCAAAGAGTCCCAGAGAAATGGGGTGTCGTAGTGCAATACCATTCCCTGTCTCAGAACACTGCACTGAATTAATCCTCAACTGTCACTGATGTGTCTGCGCTAGAATACTTTCCACTACTTGTAAATAGTCTTTTGTTATTTAATCGTATTATAGTGAATGTATTTAATTTTGTAATAATTATTTATGAATCAAGGTCCACTTCATTTTCTATGAAAAGGAAGAATCAGCTGAACTGCTTTGAATTAAAAAAGGAATGTGTCTTTGTGTTATAAGTTTTCTCCCAAATATCAAACAAAGCCAAGAAAAAAAACTGTTTACACTGTTCAGTGCTTTGGGGCATCAGAGGACTGTATTCATTTGTTCAAACTGTAAAACTGCATTTATTTACAGGAACAGCAGAGGAACAGTTAGACAATGGTGATTCATGTGTATATACTGTTTATTAATGTCAATATTATGTCTTGTTTGGAACGATGTGTAAAAATTGTTTAAGAATATTAAGATATTGTTTATGCCTTAGAATGATTGTAGCATTCTATTTTAGTGAACGTGATGAAAACATTATCATAAATATTGTTTGTACAGTATATACATATCCTCTGCAAACACTGTGGTATCCTTAATCTTGGTAGTGCCTACCCTTCCAACAGGGGCATGTAGGGGATGTTTTTGTTTTTAGTTTTCATTCTTATGATGAGATTATTTTTTTTATATAATTTCAATCCAACAAGGCCTCCAAAGTTGGACAGTGACACAGAAATCATTCCTCACCATAAAAGAAAAAAAAGGAACAACAAGCATTCAGTTATGCTTCCATGATGCATTTCCTCGTAATCTGCCACAATACAGAGGACCTAAGGCCATTTGTAACCACTGTGTTGAACCTTGCTGTGTGTTGTGGCCTGATGGAGGCAGCTAGATTTTTTTGTACCCAAGTCAAGAGTACTTGAAGTTACTTTATTTAAGATATTGTGGAATAAAAGTATCATTCTTTTGTAGGAGCTTTATTTTTCACTAGTGTGTGGCACGGACCTATTAAAAGGATGTTTTTCAACGTAAATGACTCAAACTTGTTTTATTTCAAATCCATTATACAGAACTGTTTTTGTTGAAGGGGGTTGTAGTAGCTCTTTGGATCAATATAATTTATTTTCAAGGTTTAGACTATTGCAAAAGGGCATGTTTTTCAAGGTTAACAGTCAAAAGTGTGTATTATAGTTTATCTAATACCTTACCATACAATAACAAAGACTGGTGCTAAAATACAAATGTAAAAGCTGTTTCAAGATACTAATAAAGTTACATAGATACATAAAAACATTAATTTGACAAGGATGCTTGTCTTAGAAACTGTATTTTACCTTTTAGAAACTAAAAATGTTTGCTTAGATTAATTTAAAATAAGTTGAGAATTTAGTTTTTATGTCATTTTGTAAGTAGTGGCAGCTTACAAAAAGTTTGTTTATGGATGTTAAAAAAGGTTTTAAACTCTTAACCTCAAAGAACAAAAAGGTTTTCACAACAGCTACGATGCATAAAGTCAGTATTTAGATCATTTACCTAAGTAAAAGTAACAATACCACATGGGGAAATTCTCCATTACAAATACAAGCCCTGCATATGCCATTTTACTTCAGTGAAGGTAAAGAAGTATTAAGAAAGAAAATGCACTTTTTATCCAGAGTGGCCCTGTCAGTGTTATATTTGTTGAATTAACATACAAGCAGCATTTTAATGTTGTAGTTAGCTGAGCTGGAGCTAATTTTAATTGGGTTAGTATGACAATGCATACAATTTTATAATTGGATCATATGTCTGCATCAGTAACTAAGGCTGCAAAATAATTGTAGCAGAGTAAAAAGTGCAATATTTCCCTCTGAGGTGAAGTGGAGTAGAAGTAAATGGAATACAATTGAAATACTAAAATTGAAAGTAACTCATAATTGTACCTAGGAAAAATACTTTCCGCCATGCCCATGTCAAGTGGTCACATGGTGCATAGACTATCGCATGGGTGCCTGACACACTATGTTGAATTTGAATACATAATACAATGCATCATTTAAGCAGCTGAAATACAGTAGCTAAGGCGCAATATATATAATATACATAATATAATAAGTGCAATTACAAAACATTACACCTAATATACTGTTCGCCCACTAAAGTCTGTAAAATGTGAGGTCTCATTAAAAAGTCCTGACTCGCCAGACACTAATTACATAAAGGGTGACGTAACCCGCGTACGTCACAGTCAGCTGGTCGATGAGGAAGTAAACAACAGTCAACTGAAGGGACAACAAGACGGAGAAAGGTAAAATACACTGCTGTCTGTTAACACACCAGATCGATTTCATTTTATTCACCTTCCCAGTTTGCTTGTTGGGATGTTTTGCCACAGTTTTTCTTCCACGCTGGTTCATAATATTTGACGTTATAAAGATAGTTGGTTCTCGGCTCTGCTGCACCGTTAGCTTGCGCCTTAGCTACAGTATCCAACGTTACACACACAGCACTGTCCCTGTGGCTGGACTGATGGCGGCTGCTCTTTCTTGGTCTTTTTAGTTTGGGGGTTCTTTCCCCCCCAGATTGTTAAAGGAAAACCTATGTATTTTCCTTCCTGGTCTGCTATTGAACCATTTGTAAACTTTAAGAGGACTGCTGATATTACTGTTGTATTAAACTGTTACCAACAGTCTCTAGTAATGAGGGCAGAGCTGTAGACTTTATTTTACTCCATGAAGAATTCACTTGAGGAATGAAAGTGAAAACAAATAAGTTAAATCCCTGAAAAAAATAAAACATACAAATATAAAATATATATATATAGACATACATAAATAAATAAAACAACAACAGTGCCAGGCAGGCTATTTACCTCTACTATTTATCTCTCTACGTGTTCAGTTATTATATGTGTTGTCTCAGTAACTTAAAACACTATTTTCACAGCTTTGAGAAAGGAAAAATGTTCAAATGCTGTTTATTATTTTTAACTTTTTTTTTTTCAATTTGATTTATCAGTTAGTCCACAAATAGTCAGAAAATAGGAAAAAAAAACGCCTGTGTACCATTCCCAAAAGCCCAAGGCAATGTCACAGGTATAGACTTTCACACATAAAATAGTAGGGTAAACACAGGTGTTACCAATGATACTAATTAAGGTTATGTTCCCTTCAGGTCAAACAGAGTCAGGGTGCTGCTGCTGTGCATGTTGGCTCACTGGAAAGGCGGTGCTACACTAAATGAAACAGAACTTTAATTGGTATCAGCGGTAACACCTGTGTATACCCTACTATTTCATGTCAAGAAAGGTGTATGGGTCAGGTGAAAGGTGCATCCAGGCAGGTACAGATTAGGGTTGAAGTAGCTGGAAAGCAAAAGCATACTGACAACCCTGGCCTGGAGCAGTGGAGACGGGCTGGTAGAAATACTGGGGGGGGGGGGTAAAATAACACTGAGTAAAATAAAAACTATGTGACAACCAAAGATATTAATTTTTCAATCACATAAAACAGAAAAGCAGCAAATTCTCACATTTGAGAAGCCAGGACATGCAAATATTTATCATTTATGGTTGATAAATTATCCAAACCTTTGATTTATTGTCAAAGTAGTTGCTGATGAAATATTCTGTTAATAAACAAATCGACTAACCGGCTAATGATTGCAGCTCTAATGCTGTGTACGGTTAATGTCACTATTAAGACCTAAAAAGACTTGCCTCTTGACTTGCTTATGACTGGAACTGGACTTGCCTTTGACTCAGAAGATTAAAAACAGCTCCGGTAGAGGGAACAATGTGAGCTAATTAGGAAAAAATACAAAATGATTTCAGTCATTTTTATATTCTTGTGTTCTTTAAATTCACTTGATCATTCCCTGCTGTGCTGTGTGGAAAAAAGAATGATGGAATATATTGCTATATCGTGTCTAGATTTACATATGATATGGTTTTCCTTTTTTCTCATTCCCTCTTTGTGAACTTTAGGACCAGCTGTCCAAATGACATCTCTGATTTGCACTTTACAAGACCATCGAGACGATGTCAACTGGTGTGCCTTCTCTGGCAAACTGTTAGCCACATGTTCTGGGGACAAAACTCTCAGGATATACAATACCCGTGACTTCTCGGAGCTGCCCTTCTCACCGCTGTCGGGCCATGGCTACAGCGTCCACTGCTGCTGCTTCAGCTCCTGCGGACAGTTCCTTGCCTCATGTTCAACCGATGCAACCACGTTGGTGTGGTCCATGGACACAGGTGAGATCGAGGCCGTCCTGGAGCATCCTGGTCGCAGTCCTGTGAGGATCTGTGCGCTCTCTCCTGACTCTGCCTACCTGGTTTCTGGTGCATCTGATGGCACTTTGGCTCTGTGGGATTTCCCCTCCAGACAGCTGCGCAGGTAAAGATGATAGCTTACACTTTATAACACGCTATCCAGGCAGCAACCAGTTCAGTGTGTTATTACACTCGAACAAGGGCCATAAAGTTGAATTAAGTTGAAAAATATTTGCCTGTTGATGCTGTTGGTTGTGTTTGTGAAGGACCGGAGCAGTGACTGACACAACGATGGTAGCCTGCTCCTTCAGCCCCTGCAGTCAGGTGTTTATGACCGGCTCTACCTATGGAGACCTGCGTCTGTGGGACCTTGACATGCACCAGCTCCACGCAGAGAAAAATGCCCACGACCTGGGGGTCACCTGCTGTGCCTTCGCTCCCAGCATCCTCAGTGGTGAGAACCATTGCTGTATGTCTTTTAAAACAGTAACTATGACATACATTAATAATGTTTTAGATGTTAGACACAGGTTTACTGGAAATATAATGACTATGTATACATATGCAAATATTAAACTATAATTAAGATACATAAGGGTACATATCTGTCAACATACATGATCATATCACTACATCAGTAAGTAATCTGTGATAATATTAGCCCATGTCATCCCTTTATAGAAGATGGTAGTTTAGGCAGGAACATTACTGTATGTTGATGTCCACCATTATGTAAGGTTTGTCACATTAGATTGGTGAAGCACAGCTGACCTGTTTGGCCTTCTGTTTAATTTTACCATGGGGACAATAACATCGGACTGGTTTCCTAATATTATGTGAGATTGTTGTTTGTGAAAGATTGATGTTCAGTATCAATGTGCAATATTTTTCACTTTTAGGGGATAAAATGGTGCAGTTTCGTCTGGCATCATGTGGGCAAGACAGTCAGCTTAAGATCTGGGCAATTAACAAGTTCAGCTCTGGAGGTAAAGTAACACTCTCTGTCTCTAATGAATGCCGTTATTATAACCTTTTATAGATATCAGCCAAGATTGTAAACTTAGATTATCCATGTGCACTGTCGCTGTGTTTCAGACTTCGTATATAGTTAACAACCGTAGTGCTGCTTTACAAGACATTTGACTATTATAATGTATGTGAGGTGTTGTGTGTTATAGTCTGAACAGTGGAGAAACTCCACTCAGCTACTACAGTAGCTGTCTAGAGACATGTCTGATGCTGAATATTGATGTGTGCAGTTTCTGTATCAATTAACTTCAGTCTGATTACAGCCCTCAGAGGTACAATCCTTCATTTGTGTAACTAGTTTGTAATATATCAGCACCAATATATCAAGACAAATTACACCTGCCAAATACAAGTATATTTTATTTTAAACAAATCCAGGGTAGCTGCGAGTCCAAATCTTTTGTCTGTACTTTTCATGCTATTATGTTCTTGTATTTATACACAGATTTAGCATATTACATTTACTTACTTTTCTGCATTCAGTAGTTCTTTTTACTTTCTATCTTTTTGTCTCATTGTTTTTTGTGGATTTTTTTTTTTTTTGTCAATTTGACATTGGTCAGAGAGATGGTTTAATTCTGTTGTGTGTGTTTGTGTGTCTGTCTGTGTTTGTGCATAACTACAGTTGTTTTTTCTCTCTTAAAGCTTATAAAATGCAGCTCCTTCACACGTTAAGTAGCCAGTCGGCTCCGGTCCTCTCCTGTGCGTACTCCTCAGATGGGCAGTTGCTGGTGTCTGGGTAGGATCTTTTAAGAAGGTTTAGGAAACATATTAATTACTTTTGAATGTTTTAGCCTCTTAATATGGATTGTATATTCTCAAAGTTTCTCCATTCTCCAGAATTGATGTTAGGTTTTTAGATTGGTTTCTTACTAGGCCGCCAATATTATCTGTCTGTACCAGTGCAGTATGGCAATAAATTTATAGAGACTAAAACATGCTTGAAATAAGTAACCCATAACAGTTATCATTTTAAAAATAGTCTTAGCTCACAGTTGTCTTATTTATCACACAATAACACAGCTCTGACAAAAAGAAACAGACAATATGTTCACTGTGATAGAAATGATAAGATAAGATAAGACAAGATAAGATTTTATTTGTCACATGCACAGTTATACATAGTACAATGCACAGTGAAATGTATTCTTTGTACCTGCAGTAGTAAAAAAAAGAAATACAACAGTAAAACAGTAGTAATTGCACATAACACACAAGGTAAACAATATAAGTGTAAATATAAAACTGAGAAAAATAAAATGAAGACTGTAATATAAAATATAGACTGTAATATAACATATAAAATATAGACTGTAAACTCCAAGTGTAAACTTACAGGGGGATAGCTTGTATATATACACACATTTACAGTATTGAAAGCAGCTATGTGAGTCAAGTACAGTGGTGCAGTGGTTTTTAAGTCCAGTTAAGGCTCAGAGTTGAGCAGGCGGATGGCATGTGGATAGAAACTCTTCTTCAGTCTTTGTCTCAGGCATCGGAAACACCGACCTGATGGCAGTAGAGAGAAGAGAGAGTGTCCGGGGTGACTGGGCTGTTTGAGGATCTTCTTGGCACTTAACCTGCAAAGTTTGGTGTAAATGTCCTACAGGTTGGGGAGGGGGGTTCTGATGGTCCGCTCTGCAGAACAGACCACCCTTTTGAGGGCCATGAAGTCCTCCCTGGTACAGTTTCCCATCCAGGTGGTGATGCTCCCACACAAGATGCTCTCGATGGTGCAGGTGTAAAAGTTCCTGAGCACCTTGAGAGGGAGCTTAAAGTCTTTGAGGCGTCTGAGGAGGTAGAGACGCTGTCTGGCTTTCTTCACAATGGTGTTCAGGTGATGAGTCCATGACAGGTCCTGTGAGATGGTCACTCCCAGGTATCTGAAAGTGTCCACTCTTTCCACCTCAGAGCCACAGATAGTGAGTGGATGGAAGTCCCTCTGCTGTTTCCTGCTCAAGTCCACAATCAGTTCCTTAGTTTTGCTGACGTTCAGCAGGAGGTGGTTATCCCGACACCAGTCCTCCAGGTGGGAGACCTCCCTCCTGTAGGCTGTCTCGTCGTCGTGCTGTCTCGTCGTCAGCAAACTTGATGATGATGTTGGAGTCTGACGTGGCCTCGCAGTCCTGTGTGTACAGCGAGTACAGCAGAGGGCTGAGCACACAGCTCTGGGGGGGATCCAGTGTTGAGAGTCAGGGGGGCTGAAGTGTGGTGACCCGCTCGAACCACCTGTGGTCTGCTGATCAGGAAGCTGTAGATCCACCTGCACAGGGAGGAGTCCAGACCTAGGTCAAGCAGTTTGGAGGCCAGTCTGGAGGGGACTATGGTATTAAATGCTGAGCTGTAGTCAACAAACAGCACTCTCTCATAGTTTCCCTTACCAGTGTCCACATGGGACAGGGTCTTGTGGAGGAGAAAGGTTATGGTGTCATCTGTGGATCTGTCCGGCCGGTATGCGAACTGTAGTGGATCCAGGGTGGTGGGCAGTGTGGCGGTGATGAATGTCTTGATCAGTCTCTCAAAACATCTCAATAAATGCCTATTTAAAGAAAGTTTCAAATACATTTTCATGTAAACCATTACATACAAATTGTATTTAATGCGATAAAACATGCAAAGGCAACTGTATGTTCCATTTTAATAGGCATATTTAAAAGATTTCTAACCATTCAGATTCCCTTAAGAAAATTCCCAAGAAATTGCTGGATTTGCTAGCCATATGCTACATCTATATTTTACACTAATCTCTTGATCTTAAATAGATCTGTATCCATGTTTTGATCTATTTAGGATCAAGAAATCGATGTAAAATATAGATTGTTTGGACATATAAGTAGGCCATCATTACGATACAAGTGCACAGCTAAAAGAGTGCAGGACTTAAGTAGAACCACTAGAGGGAGACATGGATTGCTGTATTTCTCAACAAGGGAATGTGGATCTGAACTTGTACAAATACTCTGTTACTTTAATATTACTTATATACATAGTTTTATCTTTTTATTTCCTTCAGCTCTGTGGACAAAACAGTTACAGTGTATGATGCTGTAAGTACCTCTCTTTTTTTACTGATTTTCGTAATAGTAAAATGTTTTACCATAGACTTATGTTACATATTGCTCATAAGTTCTTTCTTGTTTTTTTTGCGCTCCACTTTGTCTGTTTGCAGAAGAATGGAATTTTGCTTTACACTCTGAACCAGCACGAGAGGTAAATAGTCATATATGTTATGTACATAAGGTTTGTTTACTGGATTTTCTTATTAAATGTAAGCATGAATTTGTAAAAGCCCCAAGGGAAATATGTTGATTTAATCTCTTCTCATGCCAGACGGAATATCTTGTGTATAGTATTGTGTTTGTATTAATTGATGATATAATTTATTGTCTTTTCCCATATTTGTATCATGACAAAACTTAATTGTGAGATATTGTGGTTTAATTAGTTAAATTTGAAATTTGAATCAAATCTTCAGATCTTTGATATTCAAAAACATATTTAGAGCAAAGTTATAAGTGTATGTTTTTCTGGCAAAACACAAAAAAACTTTGAAATCAATAGGTTAAGCCACCGTTTTAATTGTCTGAAAATATTAAAACCTTTAAATATCATAACATATTAATAATGCGATAATGCTGTGATAGTTCTGGCAATATTAATGTTGTCCATATTGCTCTCCCCTGTTTACACTCCAACTTTTACACACTACATATTTGTGTAGAATTCCTAAAAGAGGTCTTTCACAGTTTCTCTGGCAACTGGTGTAAACTGAGGTTACACTAGTTCAGTCTGTCTTTAATAAACATATTTCGGGGTAAAATCCACTGCAAGATGCACTGAGAAAACACATTTCTTAACCTATTTTGTGTAGTTTTTTTTTTTAATTCCACAAATATCTGGACCACTATAATAAGACGTCACACTGATATATTTCCAGACTGGTTTTATTAGTGTTTTAATACCACAAATTGTTCTGTTATATAAAAACATGATCATTAGATGTCATATGACTTGTAGGGAAGACAGACCCACCACAGAAAGCACCTTTAACAGATTATGACCCAGTGTGGTCACAAAATATGCATTTTATAAAAAGGTAGGACTGTTATTACTGTGTCCCTCCCCCTACACACATACGCACATACAGTATACACGATAGCTGAATGATCACACTTACAAGCTATTTAAGTCCATCAAGCCACCTGTGATTGAAAGGCAGAACGCTCATTTCCTTTCAGTTAGGAAAAAGAAAGTCATCTTAGAAAAATCAGTAAGTGAAGTGGAAGTAGATGCGGCAAGTTGAGAGAAAGTGAATAAATGGCAAAAAAGTGAATGACAACACTTGACAAAATACCTCCAGGAAACTCATTTGACTTTAGACAAGCTGATAACTGTGTCTCTTGAGGTTGAGTTAGTTCATGCCTTTCACTGAACTCTTATTGGAGGCTTTTAGAGCTGTTGTTTTAAGCCAACTAGCTTTTGTGGATCAACATTTCTGAGCAATCCAGCTTAGGTTTTAGAGAGATTGTCGTCGTTAACGTTGCCTTGACTCTTGAATCTACTGAAAATGTGGTTTTAATCCGTATTTAGATCTTATTGCAGCCTTTGACGTGGTAAGCCATCACTGAATTGGCCTTCAGATGGAGAACATTTCCACCATTGCTACATATTTAGGTCTGAACATTGTTCCCACCTTTTAACCCTGTATCTTATGTTCACAGAATCCTTATTATCTTTTAATATTGCTTTAAAGAACAATGTTTCAGTTTCACTTCACTTGCTTGGCCTTTTCAATTGATATATTAGGGCTAAAGTTACACCTCATTGTTAACAGAACAAGCATCCAGGTGATTACTGTCCTTTGCTGCAGGTACGTGACAGCATGCGCCTTCTCTCCGACTTCACCACTGATTGCTACAGGATCCATGGATAAAACTGTAAACATCTGGAGACTGGAGGACGGATGCAGTGGCCATGGTTGGAAAAACACACACACACACACACACACACACACACACACACACACACTACTCCAATAGAGTTACATTTATATTTTGATTATTCATTACATTTGTTTTGTCTTGTAATCTATTTTTCTGTCTGTCTCCTGTACTCCACCTTGTGTCCATCGGAAAGTCGGGAAGTCGATGCTTGGTTAGTTTTCTTTTTATCTTAAATATTGTTTTTTTGACACTTGAAAGGAAGATAAATAGTTCCTTTTTAAAATGCAAAATGTACACTAAACAACAGCAAACAGGATTCTGCAGTCACACCAGGCTTTATTGCCCCTGTCTTCACGTCCAGGTGGTATTCTGTTTGCCAGCTCTGTAAATCTGCAGAAAATCTTTAAGATGCTGCATATATTCTTTGTTAAATATGGCTTTTTTTTAGAAGTCCTATTGGAAGAGTTGCACCTCCAGTGCTAGTAGTACTAGTTTATTTCCTCTGTGTGTTGAGATGTTGTGATAAACTAGTGTCATCTTGTGGTGAAGGACACGGGTGTTATGTACAAGAGGGCTCCATTCCTTAATCACTCTTCAGTCTCAAGTGTTGCAAGTTTGCTCAAAGATTACATTGCATTGCTCATGTTTACAGTGACTTCTTCCTTTTTTTGTGTTTCAGAGAATTCTGCTCTGACGTCAAGTGACGGTAGGAAGGAACAAATACTACTTACTTGCTAATGAAAAAGATACCATACAAAAACTAAAAGTATTTATAATTTATTTTATATAATTAGGAATGGTTATATATTTAGCAGCAGGTGCAGGAGTCTTGGTTTGGCCGAGCATTTCTGTCTGCGATGTACAAGCTCCTTTTCACCTTTTAGTTTCACCCTGTGTCAATAAAGACATCAATGAGACCTCCAGACGTTTATTTATATTATTATACAAGCTGTGCTAGCCACAGCCCCCTAATCAATAATTTGTCAGCAGGATTCCAGGATAGTCTTGCATGGAGAATATTTGGCCATTTTTCAAAAGGTGCTGCAGCTGTCAAGGGCTTGACCGTCTTGCTTTGATTCACCCTCTCAGGGAGAACCTCATTGCGCAGATCGAAGCTGCTGGTCAGCGATTGGTCGGAGGAGGATGTGTCAGTGTGGCTGGCGGAGGAAGGCCTCGAGGGATTGGTGGGCACATTCACAGCCAACAACATAGATGGGACAGAGCTGCTCAATCTCACCAAGGAAACGCTGGCGTCAGAGCTGCACATAGGTGAGGAAGACAAACATCACACGCTGATTGGCGAGTGCAATGCCACTTCTTCAGTCCCTCGTTTTCTCACAGTCCTTATGCTTTTGTCTGAAAGATAAGAATGTAAACCCAGTCTTATGGGTATTACATGCCTGGTGTCTTGTGAGAATGGACATAGACGTGTGTGGATTACGGTTTTTGTACCTATTTACATGGATAAAAGGCGACACATTAAATCAAAGTAAGGGTAAAGGAATGATTGAATGTTGATGGAGGTTTTACTCAGCAAGATTACATAATATTAGGCTGCACTGCGAGAGTGCTCGGCTTTGGGGCCTCAGCAGTTCTGACTTTAATCTGGAGCACTTCATCAGTTACATAATACAATCTCCAAAACAGTATTTCCCATATGGTCTAAAGTGGATTTGCACCTAATATCATTAGGTCTTCTTGGTTCCAAGTCTGTCTGAAATGTTTATTTTTTTGTTTTACCATGTATATTTTTGGCTTTTTTCCGCAAGATTTGCAACCACTAAAGTAGGAGTGTTGTGTTGTTGATGTCAGTCTACCAGCTAGGCCAGTATTCGTCATGTAGTTGTCAGCAAATGTTTGTTGTATTGCCATGCCGTCATTTCCATCCCACAGTCGCTGTCAATCACTCCTCAGTTTACACAGCTTCAGTGCTGTGACAGCTTGTGTTCACATTGTTCTGTTTTTAGTAACGTAGCATAAATCCCATGTTTTTTGCTGAACTAACTTAGAGAACGGTACTGAGTAGCAACATGTTTCATCTACTGCAATAAAAGAGAGAGAAACAGGCATATTTTTCAAAGGTGGGAGTGAAATCAATAAAGTGTGCTTTCCTTCTAAAGAGGCAGCAACAAAATGAAACACAGTGTACCAGCAAGATGATCAGGGAGTCTACAAAGTGTTTTGTATTCAGCTGTACTTAGCTCTTTATTTTATTCATTGTAAATTTTTTAATAAATACTTGTAATTTATCCGGCTCTGCTAAACAATGTTACTGAAACAACTGTATTCCAATTAAAATGCCCTCGAGTGCCTGTTAAGTATTTAACTTTGAATTGGACAGACAGTGAGCAGACTTGATCTGCTCCCAACATGTTCACTCTCACCCACGCTCACATTTGCCATCCAAGAGGGAAAAGTGCTCAACGCAGGAATAACAAATGCTCAAAACCTTGATATTGATATTATTGTATATGGTAGTGTTCAGGTCAGTTCAGCTTGTTCCACTTGATGCTCCAGTGGCTTCTATTTTAATGAGAGCCCACAAAGTCTCAATTCTGTCTCATTTCCTTATTGTCTTGTGTGTGTGTGTGTGTGTGTGTGTGTGTGTGTGTGTGTGTGTGTGTGTTATGTGTATGTGTATGTGTATGTGTATGTGTATGTGTATGTGTATGTGTATGTGTATGTGTGTGTGTGTGTGTGTGTGTGTGTGTGTGTGTGTGTGTGTGTGTGTGTGTGTAGAGTCAGTTGGCCTGCGCAATAAACTCCTGAGAAAGGTGGAGGAGCTGAAGAGTGATTCACTGTGTTCAGGCATTCCTGATGAGTTCCTTTGTCCAATCACCAGAGAGCTGATGAGGGAACCAGTCATTGCTGCTGGTAAGCAAAAATCAGACCTATTCCACTTAACAAAGTTTACATATAATGACATTTAAATATTTAAATTAGAGTCAGCTCATGAGACACAGACTCTAAAGTTGTCTGTTTGAGTACTTTGAGTAGACTGTAAATATTTCCCAACAGATGGATACTCATATGAAAGAGACGCCATCGAGAGCTGGATCAACACTAAGAACCGCTCCAGCCCCATGACCAACCTCCCCTTACTGACCACTCTGCTCACCCCTAACCACACCCTGAAGATGGCTATTGGCCGCTGGAAGACCAGCCACTAGCATCTGCAACACCTTTGACCCACAGTGCTCCAAATATTTTCCCTAAAGTAGACAGAAACCAGAATACAGTGCTCCCAGGGATGCCACAGCATGTCAGATACAAGTGTGTGTGATTTTGTTCCATTTGTGGCACTTTTTTGCATTCATTTGTAAAGCTGCAATTTTTGAACACTGGGGAGGAAAATGGCAAACTGTAAATGTACTTTCGGCTTATGATTTTTTTTTATGGCTAAAATGTTGCCGGCTTACACATCAAGTAGATACAGAGCAATATGGACATCCTAGGGGAGTGCTCTTTTTTTGAGCACCACAAGAATGCAAGTTTAAAGTGGCTATAATTATTATTATTTTTATATTAACAAAGCTTTATAGCAAGCTTCACGTCTTTTTAGCTCTCCAGCCTGCAACTTTACTATGATATATATAACTGGTGAACATAGTGGAGCTAGAGCTAAAGAGACAGAGTTGGTAGAGAGAGTTAATTTTGGACTAACATTCACCAGGTGGCCAAAAACATGACTCCAAATGAATGTTCATGTTGCTCTGTAACTACTGGATATAAGGAACTGTTTGCTGACAAGTTTGCCATATTAATCTAAAAGGTGATATGTCAACGTTTTCACAACTCGTCTCTGCTGCCCCCAAGTGGCAAAAAAATGTGTTTCTGCACGTTTAATATTGACTTGCCTTTCATCTAAGTTGGTCTGCCTATTACTCAAAAGTACCTTACTACTTTCTTGCTTTGCTAAATGCTGGACTTTCTTTACCAGCCACTCATTTACTTTATTTTCAGGTCATTTTTGAGGTCTGTACAGAAAAAGCATGCCTATAAAGAATTACACAGTATGTCAGCAAGACTGCAGGCTCCCAAATTAATAATAACATTTAGTTTTTTATAATCTTCAACAGGTTCACAATTTCTGGTGATCTAGCTAGCAGGTATCTACACAGGTAGATATTTTGCTAAACCTAATTTTTTTAAATCTTAAAACTTTTTCACTTTCATTTTTATTTTATTTTGGTGACCACACACAAGTGGTTTCCACTGCCTCGTTTTATTGGTTTCAAGGGAATCCAACCCAGTGGCATATATATATAGATCTGAATAACCAAAAACAATGAGCTGTAAGTGAAAGCTACATAGAGCTACAACCTGGGGTGTTGGATTTACGGTTGGATCCGTAATAAAACAACCCCTAGAAATATAGTTTACTGGAGCTTTAATTGCAAATTAGTAATGATTGTTATCTTTCTGAAAACAACTATTTCCACTACCTGCTGGGAAGCATTACATATATTACATACATATATGTGTTTTTTTAGGTTGTCTGAACATTGCAGGACCTTGCTTATAACAAACCGTATGGGAATAGTGCTTGGCCAAAGTAGTTGAGGGTTTACTTTCCTGTACAAGCTAACATCCAGCTTTTGATGATATCAATGAAGACATTTCCGCAATATTCAGAAATTGCAGTGTCAGCATTTTATATACAAGTAATTTAATTTGATGGCTTACTTACAGGTTAGGTTTTACTGTAAAGGACAAAACCTTTCATCCATCCATACACACTAGGCAACATTTTATGGATTTTACTGTGAAAGAAGTAGATGTAGAAATGTAGTCCTCCATTAATATTTTATTATACCACACTAATGATGTGGTAACATTCTGTAATCCATAGTATGACTCTGAAAAGGGTATATGATAACTATGGACATACAGCAGTGTAAGACGTCTCTTAAGAGTTGTTATACTGCAACTGTTGCTCGTGTAATTGCTCTCTCTGTGTCCAAATAAATCAATAAACACTCCATATGAATATGTTCTCTGCTATGCAAAAATAAATAAACATATACTGTGAATATTGAAGCAATCAATTCAGTAGTAGATTATGACAATAAGTTTCCAACAATGTCATGTACAGTGCCTTTTTTTTATCAAATGTACCAAGAAAAAGAATCTCAAGTTCACAAAGTAATTTCTTTTTAAGCCCGTAATGCTGACAGATAACCACTTACAGGGAAATATATAATCTGCAAATATAGTGTACACCGTACAAATATAAATGTTTTTTAAAAGACACTTGACAATAGAAATGGTCATATCCTGCAACTAATAACATGAGGTTTTTATATTCGTGCACAAAGCTTTCTCTGACTTTATATTTGATATAATAAATTAAAAGTTTAGACAATATACTACTTATTTTTTAAATCCCTACTTAAGGTATGTCAGGTTTTATTGAATACACTAGTGTAGCTGTAGACATGTAAGTAAAGCAAAAGCATAGTAGCCTGAGTTGAACACTGGTTCTAGATTGTAAATGCAGTGCAGCAGCATAACTCTACAAAACAGGCTCAGGGAAGGGACTGTTCTCAAACCAGTCTCCCTTGCTACCTTATGTGGGACTTAGTTTGTTGAAAATGGCCTGTATCTGTGCTTTGATAAACTATATTCAGACGTTGGACTCTATAAATGAGCGTTTGGGTTTGATGGGAGCCATATGCAGAGCCGGGTTGTCTCTTGTTAGGCTCGCCTGTCTGTGCCTTCCTTCAGGGAAGCGAAGCTGGGAGGACGTGGTGCCTCTGGCCTCTCTCTGGTGGAGCCGCTCTCCAAAGTCCCGGCCCTGCTGCTGGCTGTTGGCCTGACTTCCAGAGAGCTGCTCCTGGAATGAAGCACGTTTGAAGTCGTTGTTGAACCCTTGAAACTCCATCACTGACATGCTGAAACTCTCTACCCCTCCTCCCCCCTGTCCCTGTCGGCTCAGGCCAGAGGTCTGCTGGCCCTGGACTCGCACTGATTTGTCCATTACCCCCATAAAGGGCCGAGGCTTTAGCTCAGGTTTTGTCTTGAAGCTACCACTGCTCTTAATGGGGCATGGAGCGTCCTGTACCTGCTGTCTGCCACCGTCTGATAGGTTCCCACTGGAGGCCTGACTGGAGCTGGAGCCCCTTGAGCCTGCTGTTCCTCCTCCACCGCCCTCCCTCCTAACCTCTATACCAGACCCCAGAGCGAGAGCCAGGCCCTCCAGAGCCACAGAGTGGGTGGAGAGTCTGTCAGAGCCCCTGGAGAAGCTGGAGGAGCGGGGCTGATACATCTGGAGAGGCCCAGGTGGTGAGGAGCTGTTGGGGGACATGGGGTGATAGTGCTCAGTGGGGCTGTGTCCAGAATGTTCGTTGGCTGATCCAGGGCCGATGTCAATACCCATCACCGGTGTTGGCCTCAGGGAGGTGGAGATGTGTCTGCCTGGCAAAGGACTGGATGGACCGCACAGAGAGAGAGGCCTGCCCCCAACTCTGCTCCCTGACTGCAGGGAGTGGCAGTGGTGATGAGTCCTGCTGCTCTGGTTCTGGGTCTGCCTGTTGATAGCAGGAACAGGCTCAGGCATTTCCACAAACAGTTGGTTCTGCACATATTCCTCTTGAGGATAACATGGCGACTGATCTGCCAAACCAAAGGCCACACCTCCAGGGAGAGTCCTGTTTGGAGCGTACGGATTCAGTGGCCAAAATTCTGGACTTTTCCCACACTGCAGGCTCACCTCCTCACCATCCTCCTTCTCTTCCTCCTTCTCTGCATCAGTTTGCTCTGCGGGGACTTGCCTCTCCAGACTTCCCTGTGAATAGACGTCTGTCTCCTCCTCTGTGGCTTGATGGTGGTGGGTGTGTGGGTCCCTGTTGTAACCTTGTGTCGTGTTGTTGCTGGATATCTTCTGATGATGTTTGCATTCCTCCTCTACCCGTACCAGCAGGCGCCGGATCTCCCGGTTGGACGGGGAGAGTCGTGCTGCTTCGTGGAGGTCTGCCAGCGCTGCAGCAAACTGCCTGGGAAGGACAGAGAAATTGGACAAAAGAACTTCAAAAATACTTAATTTACAGCACCCCAGTGAATTGCTGATTCTTGCAAAAATAACTTTCCATTCAGCAAAATGATTCTGCTTTGAAATAATATACTTAATTTAATATGGTTGTACCTGCTACTCCTCTTGGCACGTGCTCTGGCATAATACGCTTCATAAGACCTGGGCTTGAGTTCCAAGGCTTTTGTTGCAAACTCCTCAGCTATTCCAAAATCCTGTGTTTTCAGATAGGAAAGTGCAGAGTGCAGTTTGAATTTCAATTTAAAATATTAGACGCAGTACAGTAACAAACAGACCCACTGTATGATCAGCTGTGAGGTTAAGTGACTAGAGTGAAAAATATTTGTTTTGCAGAAATGGTCTGAGCCAATTCCGATAAAAATAGTGTTTGTGTTCGCATTTTCATTATATGAATCTGAAGATCGAAGCCTGTTTAATGAAACAGAACTCGCGCTGCATTTATTGACCAGGAACAGAAAGAGTGGGAGAAGAACTAGACAGGGAGCAGCTGGTTTTTCTGCTGTTTTTTACTGCTCTCATCATCACTCTCAGGTGAATATTTAATGACACGAACACATTGTGATTCTGTCCTTGAGAGAGAGGTCAAAATGGCAGCCTTGAATGTGAGATTGTGAACATTGCTGCTGAATGTTTAATGATGGTATCATGTAGTCTCACTGCTGGCCCTTACTGCCTGCATTCTGATATAATATGTGGATTTAGCCAGCCCACTCTCACGTCCACTGTAAATAACCCCCTGTAGAGACACAGAGAAAGAGAGTGCGCTCGGTCTGCCAGAGAGAGTGACCTTATCACATCACATTATCTGCTCCATTATTCATCGGCCACAGTGACCCCAAGGATGGCATTTTTACACAGTCTGTTAGGACGTCTGTCATCACCAGGGTGGGTTCCAAACCTGGCTGCAGGCCACACACATCTATCTCAACACTAACAGCACACAGTTATTCATTATGTCACCACCTGCTTTCAGGTCTTACACGTACATTCTGTTTACTGGGGAGACATGAAATTAGATCTGAAAAGCAGAGATATTTTTACAGTGAGCTATACTGCTGCTGACATTATCTTTTTATGTTGATACAATTATATATCTTAAGGAACCATCTACCTTCCCTTGCTAGCCCTCGTGCCATCCCCTCAGCGTCTAATAAACCTGCTAGTGTTAAATAGTGCATGAGGAGTTTGATACATCTGGGGGCCTTACATTGGTTTTCCTGCGGCAGCGGGAAAGGTTTAAATAGAGGGAGACCCGCAGGTCTTTGAGCCCTTTCAGCTCCTCTCCTTGCCCCTCACGAGGTAGCTTCCTCAGGGCATACTGATAACGCTGGCCTGCCTCCTTCATACGTCCCTTCTGAGACACACACAGGAAGAGGGAGAGAAAATAACAGACAGAGGGGAAGACAATTTTAAACAAATAATCCACAAAAACACCTCGTTTTGGAGTCTGTTCAAATAGAAGGCTGCCAGCTTTGCCACACCTTCACAACACACTCTTTAACATTTACTATAACATACCTTGTAAAGTATGTTACCCTCCTCCATCAGCTTCTGCAGCAGGATGAGGAGAATATCTGGTTTGGAGGAAGCCATAGCCCACGTAGCATGACCTGATGAAGGGGTACAAATATTTATCTTTCTATTAACTGTCTCGCCTTGTCTCTTTTACTTTGTGTCTTGCATAAATCATGTACCTGATCGATCATGCGGAGCCGTTCTGTAGCCTTTCGGTTGATGGAGAGAGAGAGAGATAGAGGTGAAGAGGGAGTTAGAGAAGTGGATGTAAACTGCAGGTGCTGCAAAATAGGGACTAACAATATACTGCATGGAAATAAAATAGGCAGTTATAAAGTAATATAAATGCAGAGTGTGCAGGTGCAAAAGCATAGCACATAATACAAAGCTATTCAAGTGAGCTGTGTCTTCATTGATTGGTTGAAGTCAGATACAAATATGAATACAGTAGGGGTTTACCCAGAGAGGTGTGGATTTAACTTTACGCTCATTTTAGAGGCTGCACTTCAGTTATTGGAGCTTTTTTAACTGTGTCGTATAATATTAAACAGCCTTTGGAACATTTTGTGTTGAGTATACAATTTGTAGAGGTGGGATTTACTGTGGGGCTGTTATGGTAAGCATGGTGTTTATACCCATCTTTGATCCTTTCTTAAGCAGCGAGGCCACCAGGGCCGGGTTCTGGCAGCCCGTCGTCCTGTCTGAACCTCTGGTACCGTTGTTGTCGGCCCTTTCCAGCACTGCTCCATGTTCCACCAGACAATGCACCTGACCACGTATAGAATAATAACAACATGTTATATTTATATTTAAGATTTGAGCAATGAAAAAGTTGTTGGATATTTCAATCATTTGGTTGATTACACACTGTATGCGTCACTACATTAGCTAACTTTAGTAAAGCTTCTGTCAGCTCCTTTATATCCTGATGATTTAGAAAGTTCTTGATAATTAGATTGTTTTAATTACTGTCCTGCTGATAATTAGATTACATTAATGAGTGTCAAAATGCTCGCATTGAAGTTTTTTTACACCACATGAACTGTGATTGCAAATTGACATCCTGTGTTGCATTTGCTAATTATTATTATAATTATTTTAACAATTATGATTTGTTTCATTTGTCTAAAAAAGTTTAAAATGTGTGGTTGTGCGTATGAGATGATTATATATTTTGTATTTTTGTCTAATCATCTTTAACAATTACAATGTTTTGCAACTTATTGTCAAGTATACACAGGGAGAAGGGAAAATCCCTCTTTTTGGTAAAGAATATTTACAAGTAAATGCAAAAAAATAATATCAAATAAAGACAGACATCTTTATATATATATTTTCCATTATCAAGATGATATTAGCTAACCAACAGCATGAAACCCACTGTATCTGCATCCCCATTAAGAGCAGCTAGGTCGAGAGGAGTCCGTCCCTGTTTGTCTGGTTGGTTCAGGTCTGCGCCTGCCTCCACCAGAAGCTGCACGGCGTCTTTCTGGCCTTTCAGACAGGCCCAGCTAAGTGCAGTCAGCCCCTCCTGATCAGCAGAGGACAGAGAGGCACCTGGGACCACACACAATACAAATATTGTCCTGCAGTTCACATACATTCAGTTAACATGTTAAGTTATTAGTGGGGAAGGTGGGGACTCTGACCCTTAGACAGCAGGAGTTCTGCAGTGCTCATATGGCCCTCAGAGGCAGCCAGCATCAGTGCAGTGCGACCCAGCTTGTCGCTGACATTGATATCTGCACCTTGCTTCAGCAGCAACTCTGCAACCTGGGAAAGGGAGGAAGATTATTCAGACACAAAGAGAGAACTGGTTAAATGAATAAAATCCTATGCCAGTGACCAGGCTCCTTACCTGTGTGTGTCCATGTTTGGTGGCACTGAGCAGCGGGACCATCCCCCTGCGGTTGGGTATCTCCAGGCCTGGCCCCCCCTCCAGGAGGAACGAACACATCTCCATCCTCCCCCTCCCTGCTGCTGCGCTCAGCACTGACAGAGGGTCGGCATAGAGATGAGATGACGAGGCGGAGAAGAATATGCAATTGACACATTTAGGAGAGAAGTAGACGCATGAGTGAGAAACAGAGAGAAAAAAAGGCTGTTTTTTTCCATGATCTGTTTGATTCTAACACAGTTGTTGTAGCTCTTCATATTATATCTTTGGTTAATCTGTTGAATTATATCATTTTGCTAATATTTTCTGTTTTGAAACAAATCTAGATATCTGACAAGATATCAAAATTGATCAAAGACACCTGCTTTTATTCTTTCTTATTTCCCTTGAACTACAAAAAAAAAACCAAAATACAATGATTTCCAATCATAACTGTACACACTATATAAGTTGCACCCTCCTTAACCAGCCAGTGTTCGTTTGATAAATGTTGGACATTGGTCCTTTTTTTAGCATGCGAGTCCTTGTGCAGCTGGGGATAGAGGCAAAGTATTGATGTAATTCTCTAACCTCCAAGTACTCTTGATTAACGACATCATGTTTCATGCGACCACATGCTTCAGTGAACAAATCGATTGTATTATATTCTCTTTAAAGAGAAGTTATTGTCATATGTAAAAAAACAAAACAACTGTCTGGTAGTCTTTTGTTTAAGGTGACTTTGTACAGCTGCACTAAATAGTAACAGGGTTACAGCTGCTGCTTTAAATATGCAAACTGAACCAGTAAAATGATTAGTGTTGTATGCACTGCTGTTTTGGGTAATTGTAATCCCTGAAAAAGAACAAATGCCTGGTTAAGTAACCAGACTTCAACATGTATCCTTGAATGATCATTTCATCTGCGCAAATGGACTGTAATCCAATCACACTAACACAGAACGTAAACATGAAACAAAGCCCTTGTACTGTACATGCAAAGGTGAATATTTCAGAGGGTATTTCATGCTCTCACTTTTTCTACCTCAGCACTGGAGGGGACTGTGTAATAGAATTATACTCTAATGGTGCTGTAGGCAGAGATACAGGCTTCATCCGACATGCTTTCAGGAAATGGTCCTAACAGAATTCTGCAGGCTGCACTATCGCATCTGCGATAGAGGTAAAAGTATTACAATTGAATAACAGGCTGCTTTTTAGAGGCTACAAATGTGGCTGGACAAGATATTCTGTGTGATAAACATGATGCTCCATTTCTGCTAAAGACAAAAAACTATTTACAATCGAATCAAGTATTTGACATCAACCAGAGAAATCCTAAAATCATAATATTGAGACCAGAAAGTGGGAATCGAGTACTTCTAAGCTCCTACAGCTCCAGTCAAAGAGCTCACTGTGCATCCATATACATGTAAGTTAGCTGTTTAATATTTATTTTTTGCACAGAACTAGAATGTGCCTAAAATGCAACCCTTAAACCCTTGAGCATGACTCCAGAACGACACTGATGGACAGAAAGAGGTGAGAAAGCTAAATTTATCTGACTGATAGGAGAAATGTACCCGTTTCTCCCCAGAGAGAGTCGTGAGCGTCCATCTGCACTGCCAGCTGTTCATCTTTCAAGTCCAGCAAGCTCTTCACCACCTGCAGGAAAACACAATTTTACAGTCCTGTGTATTGCTGGCTTGTTGTGCAGAAAGAAAACCAAAGCACCCACGGACCTTGACCACAGCAAACAGCAAACTGCATCTAATAAATCAATCAAATCATCTTCTACATCAAACAAGGACAGGCACCATGCTCTACATAAAAAATCAGTTTCAGCCAAGTGTTAGAAATGTTTTTGTCTTTCGGACCTTGAGCTGATACGTACCTGTGTGTGTCCCACGCTAGCTGCAGCTGTAGCTGCCTGCTGTGCTGCCTGTTTTTTTCCAGTCACAGTCTCATTGCTGTGATGCTGCTGTGGGTCAGTGGGGATCTCTGCTCCCCAATCCTGGCCCAGTAATATGTTGATGATTTCTGCATGGCCCTTCAGCCCGGCATGGACCAGTGCACACTGGCCATTCTTATCAGCATGGCCCACCTGACACAGAGGGGTACACAGAAGGACTTACAACACTGGTCCTGGCCGGTGCCTGTAATACGCTGGCCTAGATCAGGCCTGTTTATGTCATCTGTCTCCCAGAATAGATCCTGAAACTGTGGTGAATGTAAAACCAGGGCTATTCAGGATATCACTGGTGTAAAGGTACTGAGAGCCAGAGTGTTCTGTCACAGATTTAAATCTGATTTATCTACGGTAATTATCCTGGTCCTACCCTCCAAACCCAAATTTGTCACTCTTTCTCTTCACACAGAAATGACACTTACCTTGGCCCCTTTCTTGCAGAGCAGGCTGACGATGTCGGTGTGTCCTGCAGCTGCTGCCAGACAGAGTGGCGTCATGCCGCTGTCAGTGGTCCCTTCTACGGGAGCGCCCATTTCAAGCAGCAGCGCTACCATCTCCAAGTGCCCCAGGTGGGCGTGAACAGCAAGAATCGGGGCGTGTCCTACCACCTCTGTACACCAGGTCACACTGGCACCACCTAGCATCAACAGACGACTTACCTGCAGGATGAAATAGATGATAAGTATATATCTGTAGATCAGATTATATATTTGAGTGCATGTTTTTAATGTAGAGCATGTGAATGTCACCTTGATGTTCGGTGTATATAAGTTCCTCAGGGAGGCCAGTGCAGCGGACAAACTGTCTGTGCTGCAGTTCACCCACATCGCTTGAAGAACGCTGGAGGACACACCTGTCTTCTTACTCAGACCCTGTGAGTGTGTGAGAGAGACACAGATACATAGAGAGAGAGCCAGGAGAGAAAGAAAGAGGGAGATTAAGCCTGCTCAGATGAGATCTGTGGTGCAGAATTTGAATTGGGTCCCAGGAGTAATGCAGTATGCACAGCATCCACAGTACAATATTCACTGTACTGTGGGTGTTTATCTAATGAATAGTGTTAATATGCGTGGGTGATGGTTGGGACACGGGTTCATGCTTATTTATGTGTTTCTATGCAATAATATACAGTAAAGTGCAGGATCATGTTTTCGTGAAACCTTTGGGAATAGAGGAGATCCCGAAGGGTTTAGGTACAATCAGTTCCAGTCACAAACCTACATAACAACATAACAACATAGTTCCTGTTACCTTGAATATGTGAGCCTTGAGGATGTGGTGTCCCAGTTCCATAGTCTGCTGCCGGTTCAGCTTACCCTCCTGTCTGGAGAACATGAAGGCCAGGAGAGCGTGGCCACTCCTGTAGACACATGTATAGTGCCTACTTATTAAAGATTGGCCTAAGTTCTACTGTGCCAATGAAGATTTCTTTTTTGGCAAAACTTCACACACTTTTTCTTGCTGTATTGACGGGTAGTACATCATCTTAAGAACCTTATGCTGAGTGATCTTTGACTTTTAGTCTCACCTAGGGTCACAGAGAAAGTCTGTGCTCTCTCCATCTGCTCTCCAAACCAGCCACTCTCTGAAGGAGGGATGACACAGCATCCGTGTACCATCCCTGCGTCTCACCTATAAACACAAATGATACAGGAAATTCCTTAAAATGTAAAGGTACAATTAATTTATATGATTGCCCAGAGATGCTGCAAGTCCTTTAGATAAAGACTACCTCTAAATCACTAGTTGTAAGTTAAAATTATGTATGTCATAGCAAAACAAACACAGCACTCAAACCTTTGAAACAAAAGCTTGAATCATTATGTACCCTTCCATGCAGTAATATCAAGAGTCTTACCATGAATCCAGCCAGGCTGTCTAATCTCAGCTGGAAGTCTTTCCACTCTAGCTCCCCCCTCACACTGCCTGCATTCAGTGCCCTGAACATTTGTTCATCAGTCAGTGGGTGCAGAGATGCCAGTGCCACATTTAGCACCGGAAGTATCCGTTCAAAGACCTCTTTATCCGGAAAGCTCACACGACACATCAGCAGGTACACCTAACAGATATTCATAAATTTGTACATGTTGTTAATGAAGTTGTCAGATTAGATATGTAAGAACACTTACTAACAAAAACTATTATTTGCACATATATGCGACATCATATCAACCTAACAAATGATTCCTACATATTGATCTAACGAGTCAGTCTATTTGTGTACATGTCGAAAGTGGCATGTCAGTGATGTTTTGGGGTGACACCAGTTCTGTGTATGTAGCCAGCAGTGAGCTGGATTATGCCAATCAAGTGCAGGAAGTGCTTTATTACATTGTCACATATTAACTTGTATATAAAAAAAGAAGTTGAAAACAAGAGCAAAGCTAAATGTAATGTAAGTATACGAAATCCTTGGTGTAACGTGTCATCATAAATCTGGTAAATAATCTTTGAAACTAGTTGAAATAAATCTACTAAATAATCCATATTGTACTTCTACACAAGCTCTCGTATACAACTGTTCTAACTGTATCAAACTGTCAGCTACCTGGATCTACACATCTTTAGCACACCTTTATGCATGCTTTTCCACATCCATTATCCAATCATTAGATCATCATATTTCTAGGCCTTTGTGTGTATACTAACACTTGCTCATCTGTTGTCCTATTTTACACTAATGATTATGTAACATCAAAATGAGTCTGTCATTTACTTTAGTCACTGAGGACTATTTTGACACTTAGTATAAATTCTTTGATCCTGCCATTTTCATCTTTTATTTATCTGAAAAGCGTGTGAGTAAACTTTTTTCTCTTTTTTTGTGAAAAATATGCCTGAACAATGGTTGTCGCCTGTGTACCTTGTGTGGGGATTTTATGGACATTGATTGCTTCAGCCTCAGGCAAGATGCCATTTCACGGTAGACAGCTCACCGGGATGACTGACAAGTGTTAAGTGTTAGACTGTGAACTTGACCAGATGAGGAGGAGGAAGGCAGGTCCAAAAATACACTCAAGGTAAAAATGTGTCTTTTTAGCTCCAAACAATTAAACACCGTAGTTTACATATAAAGTGAACTGACAACCTAATGAAACACACATTACTCAACATCTGTGGCTCGCAACATTTTCTGTCAGCTGTAACCTGTTACTTAGAATGGCAGATACTGATGATGTTTCAAAAATGTATCCATTAATTTTAGCTAACATTTACTATTTCAATAATTGTTCCATTACTTAGCCATCTATTTAAACCATATATACATAACTTTTAGTTAACCTTTCTTTTTCAAACCTTTGATCATTATTTATTTTATTTTTATTTGATTTCATCTAATTTCAATTATTTATCCATCATTTTAACTTTATTCTAGCTGTTTAAAGGCTCTATCACAACATGTGGTGTCCAGGTGTTAAAGCTGACTCAATATGTGCATTTATATATTTTTTAATCAAATCATAATTTCTATCTTTTCAAATTAGCTGAGCTTATCGACAGTCTTTCCATGTGCACCCCCCTAGGCTACAAATACCCCATGCTTGTTGGGAATCAGTGCTCTTTGTGTCTGACCTCTGACAGGGAAACAGGCACCACCAGGTAGTTTCCTCCTTTCAGAGCCAGGTGTCCTTTGTGGAACAGATCCAGGGTCAGCTGAAGGTATAGGATGGAGCCGTGGCTCCGTGTTGACAGGTGGCTGCTAAACTTGCTGAGGAGCAGCTGATCAGGGGCCGAGCCTGTTGGCGTGGTGACGTTCGCGGCGACCTGTGTGCTGCTGCTGACCCGGTGATGGATGTAATCACTCAGGTCAGCTCCCAGATCACTGCTGTCTGGCAGGATGTCCAGAGAGATGCCAGAGAAGGGAAGAAGGGTAGTGATTTCCTGTAGGAGAAGAAAACAGACAAATTATGGGTGCTTATTGGTAAAAGCAGACACCACAGACAGCACAAACACCTCAGTATTTAAAGAATAGTAGGCAGCATGTCTTTGGTGCATTAGCTAAGGACAAATTAAAAACAACACAATCAGGACCCATTCCTCAGATGCTGTTGCCTCTGACTCACGCAGAGCCATGGGATACAGTACAGTAAATAGTGTGACCATGACTCAAGCTCCAACATTGCTCACAGGCATCTCTCAGACTCACATTTCATCTCCTCTTTTGCCATCCTCAACTGCTCAACACCGGCCAAAACCAGCTATAACTGATTAAATAAATCCACGTTATTGCTGCTCAGTTCCTCATTAACGAAGACTGACATTTTAGTTAAACAAGAAGTAATTGACTTGTGGTTGTGGAGTGTGCTCCACTTAACCCTTTCTCAACAGTTTGTGAAATATACAGGTTGTTATACAAGAGTATGTGAAATGGCTGGTATAAAGAGAAAGGGTGACTGATGATCCAATCAGTAAGGGGGGGGGCGGACTGGATGTGTGGGAAAATAGCTGTTTTCTTCATCTTTAAATTTCGGTATTTAATGCTTGCTCACTTCAAATGTATCATGAAAAAAATGACCTCAAACGTGCTTTGTGTATTCCCAAACACTAATCAAATTATGTAACTGGCTGGCTGGCTGTCAAGCTCCAGACTCCCAGCAGACTCCCAGTAGTATTATCATCCATTCAGGACCTAATCCTTGCAGCATTTGAAGGCTTGGCTTTGGCATTGGACAGATGCGTCCGCTGTTTGGTGGGATTACCAACCGGATTGAGAAAATACATCAGACTAGAGTGAGCGATGCTGCTAAAAGCCACAATGTCTATACCAAGGCAGTAAAAGCACAACATTGAACTACACTGTGTGTGCAGAGAGCTAAGACAAAAGAAGTAGGTACTGGAAAAATGTCTGTGAGTTGGGTAATACGAGGCAAGGTGAAACTAAAAACACTGATTCACCCTAAACACAAAATCCCTTTTTTTGCTGCCAAAAATAAGAACTTCCTGCACAGGAGTCTACATCACGCTACAGCAGGGACATTCGTTTGTGACATTTCAAAATCACATTTAAATAATTCAACATCTTTTTCCAGAAACAGTATGTTTGTAACTCCTCATATTCTGCAGACCTCACTGTCAACAACTCTCAATGGCATGATTTTTTACTCCAGTTCCAGTGAAAATTGTTCACAGTGAGATCTATGAATTATCCAGAGCAACCGGGACATTTTGTCTGGAAATACACATCCATCCATCTATTATCTATTATCCATTTATTATTTGCAGGGTTGCAGGGGGCTGGAGCCTATCACAACTAATGGGTGAGAGATGGGATACACCCATGGACATTTTGAAAAAGGTTGAAATAGTTTGCCCCAAATTTACCCCCGTGGCCAACTGTGGCACTGCAACAGAAATGCCTCACATCCCCAAAAAATATTTTCCCCATAGATGGGTCACCTTATTATTGATTTCTAAACCACAAAAGTGTTTCCAGAAAAAGATATGAGCGCCTATAAAAGCTTTTTTGTTTGTATTTGTGTGTCAACAAGACAAGAAAACCATGAAGTGCCAAAAAGTTTTTTGACTTATAAGCCTGGTGAGTAATTTTAATTCAAATGGATGAGTGCCATCTTGGAGTCTGGTATCAAGTTCTTATATTACATCCATGAGTAAATCCTAGCTAGGTTGGCAGTATATCACAGGGCTAACATCGGGCTCAGAGGAACCATTCACACACACAGTCACAGCCTATGGATTACATTTTTGAATCTGCAATGAACCTAACCTGCATGTTTGTTTTTTGTGGGACGAAACCAGAGCACCTGGAGAAAACTATGCTGTAGAATTTTTTAGACATTATTTCAATTATGTGAGGATCACAATCACAATTCCAGCCACCTCCATGTAAGGGGGGTGACCCGATACCACTAATTTGAGACAGGGTGTCCTTAAAAGCTTAAAGATCACTGTAAAGAACACTGTAATGCTAATAATCTCACTCACCACCAGGCCTGTCCTTACTGTGACCACCAGCTTAAGCCAGAGCGGAAATTTGGAGATTATTTTGGTAATGAAAGTGGCAATGGTGTCCCCATAGTCAGGCTTATGGAATTCTGCCTCATTAAGGCTGTCAACCAATATGATGTAGTCTTCTTCAGGTAGCCTGCGCTCTGAATACACATAAAGCAAAAGACAGAGAAAAAAAGAGGTTGGAGCACATTAAAAGACCAGATATATTACATTAGCCTTGCAAAGAGCACATAATAAGGAAACAAAGAAAGATGGTATGATAGTTTCATTCAAAGCCTTTCATAGCTAAAAATGGCTGCATCTCTGTTTTCCAGCACAGGATATGTTGAGAAACTGCTGATATTGATTCTATTCTGTTGAAAGGGGCTAGAGGCCATTGTTGTTTATCAGCTTGAAACAGGACATATCCATCATGTTTCACATCATCTAAGCTGTCAATGCATCCCTACAAGCAGGGGAGGACTCATACACTCAAGCACAAGGGCTCTCCATTTTTTTCTAACCTGCTTAATAGTGATGGAGTAGACAAAACACTCCTCTGCTCAGACTGTGGAGGGCCTGGCCATAATAACACATCAATCTAGTTCACTGACTGTATCATGAGAAACTGAGCTGGCTAATACGTCCATAACATTCACAGCCTCTCCAGAGTATTTTGTGACCTTGAAATCCTGTGGGATGCTGATGATTCACCGGGGCAAAAATAACACTCATCATTTCCCTATGTAAATGACCTAACATCTGTTTCACACTCTACAGTGTTTCAAATCATTGACCTTAACTAGGGAAAATAATCTATGGGCTCATCATGGAGTCATTAATGGGCTATTTCACACAGGAGATGGCAGCAGGCCCCCTAATTGCAGGGTGAGGGAAGCAGACAGTTTTTCACCTTAAAACTGATACTATTTTAAAATTTAAAAGGTCTTTAAACTTGAATATCACATTTGTCTTAAAGTGTAGGAGTGTGTGTGTGTGTGTGTGTGTGTGTGTGTGTATGTATGTGTGTGTGTGTGTGTGTATACTTACCCTTGCGCAGGCCGGCTATGGGCTCCAGGACACCCTTTCGGAAGGCAGCAATGGGGTCTTGAACGCAGGATCGCAGGCTGAGTGTGTTCTGTAGGTGAGGCTCTTGTACCAACAGCTCCCTGTACGGGGTGAGCTGTGGAGCTCTGGCCAACAGGGCGGCGACACTGTGTACAAACTCCGGCACCAGGCAGGTGTAGGTGTTGTCAGCCTGACAGAAATGGTAAGCTACCACCTGACAGGAGAAAGAAGCAGGTGAAAAACTGAAGAGAATAAGGGTGTAATGCAAAGCTGTTATCTGTATCCGTTTATTTCACACACATCTGTATTAAGGTCTAAATGAAAGCTGTTGTAATTTAAAGTGCAATGGTCAGGATGGATATAGAACAACATGTTTTGGGGACGGAAAACTGTGCTGTTGAATTACAAGTCAGAATTGTGTTGGGCCATAATGCATGATTTTTATTTAAAAACTAGAGGTGGTGTATCTAAGGGGATGAACCCCATATGAATGTGAAGCTGGTCTGAAGTGTCTATAAAAAAAAGAGAACTACTGAGAAAAATCTAGTTGGCTACAGGAGTTCCTGTTCACACTGTTCAGTACGGTTGCCAGTCTTTTGTAATGATACTTTCGAGCACTTTTCAAGGACAATTTATTTGAAACTCTAGACCTTCTCTATTTGAAACGTGCCCTGGGATAACTTCTGTTATGAGTTGGCGCAATACAAATGAAAATGAATTGAAATATTTAAATGAAAAAATTAATTAAAATTAAGGGCCAATAATTCAAGTCTAAACCCATGTCTGGCTTTGGGTGCCCTTTTTTGTCATTACCACTAAATCAGATCAACATATTTGGATAAAATATGTTTCCTCAGAAGAAAACAGGCTTTGCAACCATATTTATTACTTCATGGTTATGCTTCACGATACTTCATCGCTCAAAAAACTAAAATAACATACTTCTGTGCCGTTTGCATTTTTTTATGATATCAGGGGATAGGTGAAATTTGAATTGACAAAGTGCACAAGGCTCAATCTCGGAGATACTCTAAATCCAAGTGCTCTAAATCCAAGCTGTCTGAATCTGATATCTTGCCATTACTATAAAGACTGAGGTCAGCTGGTTGAACCAGTGTATGTGTGTGTTTCATTTTGAGTTGTGAATGAGAAGAAGCTGAAGCTGTTGTATTTGGTAAATTGTGTCAATTGGGCAACTTGTTAGTGGAGGGGGGGAGCACAAATTCAAATGCTGATTATACAGTGTCTAATCAGAGCACATTATCTGTTCATATCCCTAGAAGAAAGACATAAAAAAGTAGAAAAACAGTATCCAAGACTAATATCACAGAATATAAAAACAATAACGGTTGCAATAAAATAACACCAAGATATAAACAAAGAAAGTTGCAGAAATCATAGAGGCAGCAGAGTCATAACATAGTTTCTATTCATGAACGACGACAACTTCGTTCAAGATGTTACTGCAGAGTTTCTCTAAAACACTTTTAGTAAATGCAAGTTGGTTTATTCAGACAGCAGGCTGAATGGCAAACAATAAATTAAATATATAATTCCTAATAAGGGTGATTTTTTGCAATAATCACCAAACTTACCAACTGCACAAACAGATTAAATACAAATACAATGAATGAATAAACATTTTTGCAGAAAAATATACATCATCATCATCATCATGGCTTTATAGTGTCCCAGGTCCACATATAACATTATCAATGATTTTACTTTTGAGCGAACATCCTCACCATCACAAGTAGTCTGACTAGTTCCCATGGAAACTCTTATTGAGGCCAAGTTAGTAAATTTAGAAGCTTCCATGTCATCTATGTGATGCAATCAGCAGCATGTTCTACATGTGCCCCAAAAGAGAGAAGAACACTCTGACATTAAAATCTTGTGTCACTTTAAAAAAGAACAATGCTGTTGTGTCTCTTTGAATTGACCCCTTTTTCAGTCTTTTGTAAAGGTTTGTAAGAGTCACAGCTCCTTAGAGTACTGTTTATGATGCTGTATTATATTTCCGTACTCACAAATCCAGTGAGAGGAGTGCAGCAAAAAAATACAGCAAAATCAAAACAGCCATAACAAAAAGCTATAGCAAAAAGCATTTCTACAATGTAAATATAATTTCCTTCTTTTGTTATTACTACAGGTGAGTCAGCAGTCTGCTCAGCAACAGGATACATAACAAGAGCTACTATAAAGAAGTGTATTGTGTAGTTATGTGTGTACTCTTGTATATTTGTGTGGACCAATTCCATTTTTTAGGTTTAGGTTAGTGGTATTGATCTTCTCATCTCACTTTCTGCAAGATAGAAAGTAAGCGCATTTCCCTAAAAATGTAACTATTGCTCTAAGGTTAGGGGCTAGAGAGGGAATTTTGTACTTGATGATCCTCACAAATATAGAAATACAAACGTGTGTGTGTGTGTGTGCAAGTGTATTTTGAGGTACCTTGGCAGCTAGGCATCTGACAGCCTCCTTCCTCTGTGCTGTACTATCGCTTGTTCCTGCAACAGCACTCTGGTTGGGCTGGGAATCAGCTGGCTGTTTGGAGGCTGCTTTTCCCTGCCTATCCCCACCTGAACAGAGCACAAAGCAACAACAACAAACGCAAAGCTGCCATTTACACTCGTTAGATGAAGTCTCTGGTGTAAGCACAGGAATGTCAGGAGTGAAGTCTATGAAGAAACACAATTAAACTGCTGTGATTAATTAGTGCATCTGTAAGCAAGACTATGCAAAACCACATTTAGATGGCAGCAAGAGTGTTTGTTTCAAAGAGTGCGGAGTGATGTGCCAGGATGGATTCCTGCACACCTCACGCTATACCCTCTGTTAAACTCAAATCCAAATGACAACATACATCAATGAATAATGCAATGATGCTGAAAAATGAATGGCACAATATTCTGTTTGAACACTATTTTAGTTTTGCTTTGTATGTACTGCTTTGCTCTCAGCCTGTAATCTTAGCAATACCTCTTGCACAACAGGAAAAGTCTGAAAAAAGGTTTAAAAAAAGAAAAAAAACACAAATCACCATCACAGCATGCAAGACACATTGATAGTGTACTGTGCAAAATCTGGTTGTAGGAAATTGTTGTTTTCTTTTTTTCCACACAAAAGAAGAGATCCAGTGCCACTCATGATAAGAAAAAAAAACAATGTCAGTCCCCTTACACAACTGCAATCAGCAGAGAAACCTCAGGGGAGAACTTGAAAGAAGAGTGGGTGACCCAGTTACCAACTCCTTCCCAAAAAGTGATATTTCTTCCAGTATCTTAGAGAAATCTGACTTTACCGGGGTGCACTGGAGAATGTATAAATTCAACTTTCCGCTTTTTTACCGTGTTCTTACACTAATGCTTTGAGATGCACACAAAAACAAATTACACTTCTGTGAGTAAAGATATGAGTCTTACATTTAGGGGAGGAGCTGGGGCTGTGAAGGATGCTGGGACCTCCCTGTGGTGTGCGCATGCCATGACAGCTGAGCGTCACCAGTCGCCAGATGATAGCAGTCTTGCCGGATCCTGCGTTACCCACAATGACAGCCCCGCGTCCCTCACAGCTGCTCGTTTTTCTCAGGACCTCCTCCAGACGTGTGAAGAGCCAATCCCGGCCAACAAAAGGTGTTTCTGCGGTGATGCCGGGGACTTCAAACAGCAGCGGTTTTAGCATGATGTCGGCTTGTTTGAATGGCACCAATCTCCCTGGAAGGAGTGAAAGATGTCAGCGCAATGAGAATGGATAACTATATGTAATTTAAGCACAATACATTAAGTGCATTCATGTTCCACACAGGTCTGCAGATATTTCTGCACTAAGCTATATTTACTCTGTGATTTTACCCCAAGGTTAAGTCACAAAATACCTTTGGAGTCATCATTTGTGCGTCCAGCTGTGTTGTGTTTACGGACGGAGCTTCTGTGTCCAGCAGCCCTTTGGTTGTCCAGATAACTCAAATCCTCCAGTCGAGTAGAGCTGGTTGCTGTAAAGAGAGAGCGGGTGGGGAATGGATAGAGGGTGTGAGAGAGATGCAAGAAATGTGCAAAGATACACATGCATACCACACAAGTGTCAGATTCATAGCTCAAGTCAATTATTGTATCCATGGAGACGTGAGACATAAACAGTTGTTGCTCTCAATGATAAATGCTCAATGCCCATGAGGAGAGAAGAGAGAGGAAAAGAAAACAACTCATCTGACGTCGTGTAATCTCAAGCTAACATGAGTCTGAAATGACCAAATGTTTCACACTGTCTCACACATCAGGACACCAAATTGGTGATAATCACTGGAAACTCAATGCCGGCTATAATGCAAAAATGTATCAGCTGTCAATAACAGGATTAGACACATTGTTCTAATGACCAAATGAGCCACATAGAAGCCAACATGAAAAATAAAAAAGAACATGTCGTACAGAAGGGCAAGAAACAAAAAGAAAGAGTTGTTTACTCCCACATTCGCCTATCCATCCACCCACTCACACTACAAAGTTTACAGGTCAGCCAGGCTTACTTTCTGCTGTTTTCAAGATATTTAGCCGAGTCTTTAGTCCAGGCTATTGTGAAACATAAAGAAATAAGCTTTACGTAATCAGCTGGTTCTTAAATTTCCTCTCCTGCAAAATTGTATCATCTATTTCTGCTATTACAGCATATCATTATGCAGCAAAACACTGAGTGACAAAATAGAGAAAGCCCTTTACACTGAAATGCAATCCAATACAACAGTCCTGTAAGAAATACGATTTAATATTTGAGAAACACTACGACAGTATGTCAGAGAGGTGCTGATTCAACTCTATTATCATTTTTGAGCCTGTAGTTTCTGGTGGTTTTGTATTTGATTGCACTTGTACAGTGTTTCTGATGTTTTGTGAACGAAAGTATGTTTTAATTTCTTTAGTGGACGAAATGTTTTTGTTTTTTTTAAGTATATTTTTTGGGCTTTTATTGCCTTTATTATAGTGACAGCTGAAGATAGACAGGAAAGGGGGTCAGAGAGAGGGGATGACACGCAACCCTGGGCCGCTGCAGCAAGGACTCAGCCTCGGTACGTGGGTCGCCAGCTCTACCCACTGAGCTATCCGGGCGCCCAGACGAAATATGTTTTAATATCTTTTGGATAAAATACATTATAGACAATAAACCCTTTTTTTATATATTCAAGTTACATCACCACAACTGACAACTGATAACAGTCCATAGATAATATAACATATAAAAAGTGAAGCAGGCTCAACATAACAAACATTTTAAGAGGGCTGAATTTGTTTCAGGGCTATTTAATTGCATTGCATTATATCTTACTTTTATCTTTTTGTTGTTGTTGTTTTGCCAGTTTTTGCTTTTAATTTAATAGTTGCCAGGATTACCTGGGAGACAGAACAGAGATAGATAGAAAATTAACAATATGGGTATGATTCAAACCCCAGAGACTAACTAACATGTGAGAATGTCTGAGAAAGTGAAATTTTTCTGTACTAAATGTAGTTTAATTTATAAGCATACCTCCTCAGGTTGAGGCTCCTAGAGTAAAGTGTCATTCCGGGTCAACTTCTCATCTGTCATTGGGGCAGTTGGCAAGAGAAAGTGTTAAGAAGCTCTTTTCTGGTCTAATCTTAGGCTGTTCCTAGTTCCCTTTCTCCCTGTTAATGAAGGGGAATCTAATCCAAGTGCATGCATGCATGTGTCACTGCACGCAGAAGTGTTGCTTATTGGGACCTCTTGGGTTGTAATGATATTGGGTTTGCTGTTATTATTATAATTGGGTTGTGTGTAAGGAAGGCTACATCTGCAATGTAGTAAATAGCATTAGTATTAAAATATATAATATTACTACCTAAAAAGACTCAAGCTCAATGGAAAAAATAGTCTGACAGAAGGACTATTGTTATTTTAAGAGTTTGTTTTCAATGGTAAGTCACAGTCTGGTCTATTTCATTCATTCATTCATTGCTGTAATATTAAAAACATCCTCTGTAAAATCTGAAAATCTGGCATTACTGTTGTCTCTAATCCTATCAGAGTGGGATAAAAAAAATGGCCCGAGTCACGTTGCACTCATCTATAAAATACTGTAGATTGACCAGTCAAACAGGCAGTAGATAAGAAAGTGCAGCCCCTGGACAGATGATGAGCTCACATAACTGTGATCATGTGCTATACATGTTAAATTCATCATTGGTAATCTCAGAGGATCTGAGGGAGCTGCACAACATCTCTGAGCTGTTATGGGCTTAAAGCTTTAAAGCAGCAATTACGGTCACAGCCGGAAGATGCTGGCCAGTAACGTCCTTAAGCATCCTTCGTCATTACAAATCACCAAATCAGTTTACACCCAGACGTGAGCCACACAGCATGAAATGTGTTTGTGCTCTCTTAACCAGCGTTTTATGTTTATTACATATTGGACCATCACTTCCTCTTCTTTATTTACAACAGGAATGAAGCCACACTGAACTTCCTTTTGCAGCTGCTAAGGGTACAGAGAGTTTCACCAGCCTGTCAGCGCTTTAGCAGATCAGATCATATTCTGATACATCTAGGATCCCTGCATGTGTCCATCATCCTGCAGCCTCCAAGTGAGAGTGTGGGTGAAAGCTGTTAAGGCCATATTATAATTTACAGGGTTATTAAGAGCACATGGAACCTGCTGTGTTGAGTACCCATTAGACAATAAGGGGTTCCATAAGGCAAAACAAATCAATCACAGTGTGAAGATCGCAATTATGCTGAAGGGAAATAGATCGGGGATGAGCAAATATTAAACCTTGGAACACTGAGAACATGAAATCCCTTTCAACAGGTAGAGGAGGGCTTTTAGGACGAGGGATGTGGAGGAAATTGCTGTAATTGTCAAGCAAGAGATGAAGTGGCGAATTGAGGATTGAAAGAACATCCACAGTGAGAGGATGAAGAACAGTCTGCAGCAAAACAGTGTGAAGGAGGTGTGGAGTGGGATGAGAAAGACTGCTGACTAAAGACAGCCAGGCCAAATGGCTGAGTGGACCACGGATACATTGAAGGACTTAAAACATGTTTTCACCCTTGACCATCCAGCATAATGTGAACCTGCTCACCACCACCTATCCCACACTCACTGCCTTTATGTTCCCTACTGAGGACAGTCTGGTTGATTATCCTAAAACCCCTGTTGATCCTTCATCACTTTAAAGGTCAACAAGCACTGGCCCAAGCCCCCAGCATCCCTGATAGCATCCCTGATAGCATCTGCCACAGAACACTTAAATTGCAAATCATTGGCCTCTGATTCTGCAGAACCTATTCAACCTTAAAGGAATAGTTTGACGTTTTGGGAAATATCCTTATTTATAACATTATTATTATTATATGACACAGAGTTAGACGAGAACATTGATACCACTCTTATATATGTTTATTAAATATAAACACCTGGTTAGCTTAGTACGAATACTGGACACAGGGAGAAACAGCTAGCCAGGTTCTGTCCAATAATAACTGACCAGCAGGAACTCTAAAGCTCACTAATATACAAGTTATATCTATTTGTTTAATTTGTACAAAAACCAAAGAGTAAAAACTACAATTTAACCTTTTAAAGCAGGACTTTCTTGGGCGGAACCAGCACTTAGCTCTTTTATTTTAACTTAACTCTTTTATTATGGATTAAAAAAACAACATACAAAGTGTTTATTAGTGAGCTTTAAAAGGGCTGGTTGGTGGATTCTTTTACCCTTGGACACAGCCAGACTGTTCCCCGTGTTTTTGTCTTTTGGCTAAGCTATGCTAACCATCTGCTGGCGGTGACCTTTAACAGAAATATGAGTGGTATCAATGCTTTCATCTGACTCTCCTTCAGAAAACAAAGAAGAAAAAATAAATAATAATTTAAATTTCAAATTCCACTGCGGAAAACCACTTGCATTTTCTCATTATTGAAAACGGGATGCTCCAGTGCCCTTATAGGCCAGTGGCACTGACCTCTCACATAAGAAAGACCTTTACCAGGCTGCTACTGCAGCAACTCTTTGGACTCTTGGCTGATTTAAATACCAGGAAAACATACTGAAGGCATGGACAACACTAAACATCTGTACCTGATGCAGCTGCTGTGAAATTTCAGTCTCTGACTTGCTCACAAAGAAAAAGGCACTATTTCCGCTGACAGCCATCATATTGTACAATGCTTCCTGCCAAAATGGCCCCAGTCTCAGCCCACTAGGGGGGTGATGAAGCAGGTAACTTGTACTCTTCAAACTGTCTGATGTGCTTGCAACAATCAGCATTTATCTCAGGAAACGTTGAAAACATGAGCTACTTAATTTCATAAATTCTGATTATGAGGATGTTAATGAGAACAGACAGCGAGGAACACACCCAGTGCACATGGTCACTTAAGGAGATGAAGCCTCCATTTATTCTAGACTTTAAATTACGCCTTGACTAATTGCTAAATTAAACCAGAACATCTGCAATTCTATATATTGTGATATATATGGACTATGCTCAGAATGTAATCAACATATTCTGTGTTCATTTGTTTTCTCTTGATGTTTTGCTGTTGTTAATGTTGCTGTTTTAGATACACATGTGTAGGCTACATTTTCATTATACATAATGCGTCATACATTTTCTAAGATAGTATTTGTGTTAAAGCATATGTTTATAAAACCACCATTCATTTTCATAACTGCAGCCTCTTTTTCTTTGTTGTAGCCTGACAATATTGCTACTATAAACAACTGTATTTTCCATCTGATAATAATTAAAGTTTAATTTTATCTCTTGTCTCCTAATGTATATTTACACCATTACTCTATGGTCTAATCTTACATCGATGTGGAGTAAATTCAGCGGCTACAGTACTATGTGGCTCGCTTCATCTTTATTCTGAATTTCATCAAGAGTGCCTAAATGAAAGCACCAGCTGACAGAAGAAACTGGCAGGCGTTACTGTGAATCTACTCCTTAGGGAATCTCTTCTTTTGCTCCCACCACAAATGAACTGACATCTAAGGAATGAAAAAGAGCCCGCTGCACTAGCAAAGATCGTGACTAGAGAGGGAGGGGGTATTTTTATGACAACTGGAGGCCTCCCAGGACATTTAACTGGTCCTGCTCACTGTGTGTATCCAGCCTCAGTGGTAAGTAGACCACTAACACATGGTGCAATGAAGTTTAGTTCTGCATCACAGTGACCTGGCAAATTATGCTCTTCTGTGTATCGGATGAATAGTTGGAAAATGCCAAGTCAACAATCAATTCAATCAGTTTGTCATTCAGTCAATATTTATCAGTCCTTAATTAATCACCCGGGTCACAGCTGTCGCATTCATACTCTCATTAACCTACTTCATCTACAAAATAATGGAAGCCTTAGCAACTCACTCACTAGTTCGCTAATTAAACATCACGTCTCGTTTGTTTAAACTGTACAAAAACAGAAGTGCAAAAACGACATTCTTGGCCAGGAGCAGTGACTTCATGAGGTTGACTGGCTACCTCGAGGTGACATTAAGACTCCAGGAAATATAACGTGCTAATTAGTGAGCTTTAGAGGAGCTGGTAGGCCAATATTGTTCCCTTCTGACCGAGCAAAGCTAGCTGCCCCCCCGCGCCCCATTTCCAGTCTTTATTCTAAGCTTAGCTAATGAGCCATTGGCTCCAGTTTCATATTGAATGGACAGATATTAGAGTTGTATTGATATTCTCATCAGATTTAGGCAAAAAAGTGAAGAAGCGTTATTACCCAAAATGTCAAAAGATTCTTTTAATCACATACCTGCCACAGAATTTGGACGGGGCATCACAAGGGAGGAAGTGCAGTGTATGTGGTGCTGTGGGAGGGGTCTTTTCGGTGCTGGTGGAGTCCTGGGCTCCATGATGTCAGTCCTAGGTAAGGCCTCATCTGGTTGGGTGGTAAGTTTGTCCCTGGTTGGCCCAGGATGGCGATCCTCGCTTGCAAGGCCCATCACACCAGCACCGCCCCCCAGGCCTTCATCCTTAGTCAGAACCTCACTGGAGGTGCTGCGCTCCTCATTCTCAGAGGAACTAGTGATGGTTGCTTAGCCGCAAAGAAGGAAATATGGGTAAGGTAAGGCCAACAAAAAAGAACACATGGCATGTGAATTGCTTACTTACATTTTATTATCAGTTAAAATTGACCAAAGGCCCGCATTGCCTTCAACTTCAACAAATCACTTTTATTCAATCAATAATAAAATACACCAAACTGTTTTATCAGCCCTACCCTCAAAAATCATCAATCACCGAGTTTTACTGTACTTCATGCGCCCTTTGCACTTTTGTATTTAACTATAAATACAGACTCTATTTAGGGAGAAAAAAGTGTCCTATTTTAGGAGAATCAGACCCATAAGCAACAAAGACAGCAGTGTCCTAGTTTTGACAGGAGGGAGCTGAAGCCTTGAGGCTGAAGTGGCACAGGCGATGTAGATAAAGTAGCTGTGGGGTCGGGGTACACATTTGGCTTACAACTATTTGATGTGGCATCTAACTTTTTAAGGAAGGTGTGGCATCTTAGTGACATCAGTTATATTTTGGATTTCTGACAAGGTAAGTGGTTCCACAATGAGTTAAATAGGCCGTTGGTGTTTTTTTTAGCTCACTTTTTTAGAATGCATGGCTAGGCTTTTGTATTGGACATGCTCCACCTAGTGTGAAAACCGATCAGAACTCATACAATGTGTATAAACAACATTTGAAAACCTGGCCAGCATTTCCAACAGATACACTGCAGAAACTCTCACCTATGATTCCACTATCCTTGCTCTCCAGGGTGGAGGTCGGGCTTTGACAAGGAGGCCCAGGGCTGCTCCCGGTGATGGGTCCCGGAGCAGGACAAGGGGCGGGGCTGGGTGCAGGGCTGGAAAGAGTTCCACTGGGGCTGGTGCTGGAGCTGCAATGCGGTGAAGGTAAGGGTAAAGGCTGGGGCAAAGGCTGGCCTCCAGCACTGGTGCTCAAGGTAGAAGAAGGGCTCTCTGAACAGGGGGAGGCAGTGCTGCAGGTCAGGGTGGAGCTGGGACTCCCCCCCTGGGCAGAGGTATCACACTGAAAAAAGGAGAGCAGAAATATGGTCAGAGAGTAAATTGTTAGATGTACAGAGAGACTCAACCAGGGATCAACTCTGTGCAAGGAGAAAGAGGAGTGAAAGAAATGAAACATATCTAAGTGATACTCCTCTGTTTTAAAAGTGTAATAAATGAACAGTGTCAGTTGGCACCCTTTTTAACAGTACTCCACTCTGCATGACATTGTTTGCATTCATGCAGACTGGCTTGTGTGTCTGTGTGCACACAGATGGGAAATGAAATGATAATTCCAGTTATTTTCATCCTGGCTGTCATTTTCCCAGTTTTTCATAATCACGACTGCCTGTGTTCAAAACTGAATCACTCTCTATCGACATTTACTGCAAAAGCCACTGTACACACATTCTTCTGTTCCATGCGGGGCTGATTTCACAAAGACTAAATGAAATGTGAACATTTTAGGTGCCCAATTGTATTTTACGTATGGAAAATCCAATCAACACACGCATCCGACTGCCTGAATGATTGTACTAGTTCCAATTACACATTGAATACCACAATCATATATGCAGTATTCAGAACATAGGAAATCTGACATGGATGACTTTATCATTACAGTGTCTTTACTGTATTAAAAGGACATGCTTCAGTTGCTTTTTGGAGTAAGCACTGTATGTGTGTTTGCAAAATACAAAGGGATTTTGAACAAGGTAAAAAAAGATGTTTTCTCAAACAGTTATCACAGCCCCATAATAAAGAGTCTTCTCTAAAGTCCACTTTTCAAGAGTAAGAAAATGTATACATGGTGAATACATAATAACAAGTAGATCTACACAATATATTGCAACCTACTATGGTAGCCCTATGAAAAATGCTATTTTTCTAAAGCTTATTACATCAAATTGTTTAAACTATTACAGAGATATTGGTTTAACTTTGGTATTTCTTGAAGGTGTAGTGTGTGTTATTGTGTTGTTTTCCTTAGAGGAGGATGACACCTCTTTTTCACATATGTGTAACATATATTTTAAAGCATAGTAATACCCTTGTGTCCTTGTAAAAATATCTATTAAATATCTATTAAAAATATCTTAAATTGCTGCTGACAAATGTATTTATTAATGTATGTGGCCTTTTACCAATCAAGGCGGTGGTAAAGCTGAAATGTTCAGAAGAGTTTAAAGTCGTTTCACAACATCAAGTATGTAGTAAGTAAGTAATGTATGTTTTCTAAAGTAGTAAATTGTTTTTTTATATTCCTTATCCTTGTAGTTTGATCATGTGCATTTCAGGTCTCCTCATTACTGATGCAACATTTCTGCAACACAGAGACTGTAGGGAGACAAGGCAGCAGAGTTGAAACAGCTTACTGTTATTCCCTTTACCAGAGCCTCATCTATCTTAGCCAGGACAACCCACATTCCTCATATGAGCCTCGCTATCTCTGTGAAACTGACTGAATCTGGAGCTCAGGTGGTGGAATGAGGCTGAGAAAATGGGCCATGGCTGAGCAATACAAAAGCATAGAGATGGAGGGACATAAGCACACAGACAATAACTCTCATACAGAGAGGTCAAACTAATAGGGCACTGAGAACAGAAATGGAGTTCTGTGGAAGCATTGCAACACAATTAATAATGTTTCAAAATATGTATAGATCCATTTTTCCAAGGGGGATCTGCATGCTCAAATGTTTCCCTTCACACAACTAAAATTTAAAAAACAATCAACTAATCTTTAGTAATTCATATTCAAAGAAGAAACTAAGATCCCGATGGCAATGTAATGGCTAAAAATGGAAGGTTGTTTTATAAACCATCCATTGCCTTTTTATATGAAAGAAAAGGGCCAGTAAATCAATACGTTGGCCTACCTTCTTTTCCCTCCTGTCCTCCATAGGAGAGCTAGCAGTGCCGGGTGTTACTTCTCCCAATAAGAAGCATAGTCTGGTCATCAGTTCCTGGGTAGAAAGGGAGGAGCCCAGCTGGGGCTCCACGTGGAGATCTGGAAGTCACACACATCCAGGACACACGATTTAACAAACAAATGGAAACACGGCAGGCCAGATCTAACTAGGACCGTCACCTAACTGAAGCTCTCGTTGCAGCACAGCTCACTCGTTAGGTTCCCACCCAGCAGCATCCCTAGTGGACTGTGAGATATGTATGCATCCACAGGTCAGCACAGCCCCAGCTGCCCTGATTATGAATGCACAGACAGTGGCTTTCCAGTCCCTGGTTGGGGAAGCAGCAAGAGGTTGTGTGAGGTTGTGAGTTTGCCTGTGTACATGCCTGCCAGGTGCTCTCAGTTAGGAGACGGATTGTGAATTTCAATGAGCTTGGTGTTGACTCTCGAGCAGAAAGAAGGAGTGCCTTGGCTCTGCCTTCGTTGTTGCTGCTGGAGAGATTGGTTGACACAGGCCATGTGCTGCATTCATTTATCACTGTTTAAGGCTCCCTGGTGCTTTGACCTCCAACCCCGGTTCCTCTAAGGTCCCTCTGCAGAGTAAGGCTTTAACAGCTTTCACATCTCTGGGCTTTGAGCAATACATTCCTCCACTCTCATGCCTCACCTATGTACTGTTATCAGCTGAGTAACATGCATATTGAGTAGGCATATTAACAGGATGACAGGACATCACGGATTACAGGAACAGCTCACTCCTCCTCACAAACATCTTTGCGTTTAGACATCACATTCATTTTCGCACTCCCTCCACTGGTTATTTCTCATTCTGTCTTGGTGGCTCACGCTCTCCTTGTAAAGGTACTGCATCACATCGCTCTTACATTCAAACCAATTGTGTTCAAACACAAGCCTAGCCTTGAGAGGATCAAGGTCAATTTTGAGAGCCGAGTCTGGCAACTTTTGTTCCATAAAGCAACACAGTTATAGTCTTTGTCAATACTCTGTTCACTTCAAAGCTGGAAGAAAAGCTGCTGAAGACTTGGGCAGAAAGGGTCGATGTGTATTTGAGAGAGGGGGAGGAGAGAAAACTTTGCATTTAGTCAGCAGAGCACTGAGATCCAATCTGGAGTAACATGAGGACAAACTGAATGTCCAGTACTATTCATCAAACCACCTAGCAGTTGCCATTGGAAACGGGAAGCTGAGAGGTGCCTGGCAACCGGGATGGAAGATGCCTCATGAAATCTGTTTAGCCTAAGGGTAGCCCTCTGGTCAAAAACACACAAGGAAGCTGACTGAGATGAGGGTATTTACACCATTTTTGCTTTGATCTAACCTTATCTGTGCAAACAATAAGTATAAGCAAGATAAGTCAGGGCAAAGACTCTGAAACTGTGATAAAACAAATCCACTCTCAATAATACACTGAGGATTTCACAGACATCACTGTCCCTACATACATCTGAAAGGGAAAACTTAATGCAAAGCCTTTTAGATGTGATTAAAACACCACCACACACTCACTTTCTCTGGCGTCTCACCATTCATTCTCCCCTCACCTCTACCCCATTCATTCTCATTCAACCTCCCTGATCAATACCTGGAAAAACAAGCATGATGCTAAACACACGCCCACACGCTGCTGTTCTCACCTCTGTGGTCTGTCTTGCCACGGCACGAGGCAAAGACAGGAGGTTCTCTCGCACTGGAAGAGCCATCCACATACTCCAGCTTCCTTACCCGTCCTTCGGCCACAGCAAAGCGGGAGAAGGGAGAGGGAGGGAGAGCAGGCAGGGAGGGTGAGCAGGGAGGGAGAGCAGGCAGGGAGGGTGAGCAGGGAGGGAGAGCAGGCAGGGTGGGAGGGAGGTAGGGATTGAGGGTGGAGATAAGGATGGATATGAAAGAAAGTGAGAGAGAGAGTGTGTGTGTGCGTGAGAGAGAGAGAGAGAGAGAGAGAGAGAGAGAGAGAGAGAGAGAGAGAGAGAGAGAGAGAGAGATTAAGCCTCCCCAGATGAGATCTGTGGTGCAGAATTTGAATTGTGTCCCAGGAGTATAAAGCAGTATGTACAGAGTGCGAGCTATGCATGCAAACAGTACAATATTCACTGTACCGTGGGCGTTTATCTATAATATATTAACATTGCTAATGTGTGTGTTTGTGTGTGTGCGTGTGTGTGAGATGGCAGGGACAGCGGTGCACTCATATTGATGTGTGTGGGTGTGTCTCAATTTATGCAACAACATTTGAGGATTCTTGGAAGCGCAGATTCTTTAGGACTGGAAAACAGTCACAGGGATGAGATGTTTGCGAACACTGAAATGTACTGAATTTGTATACTCAAGGTTATTTGGTATTTGAATCATGTAGATAGATTCAGAAACACTCTTTGCAGTCTAACAAACAGCTTGATGTTTGATTTTGCATAGCCACTAACAGTATATATTTTTACTTGCTGTAATTTTCCTTGTCATGTTCGTTCAGTGCACTGAGAAAAAACAAGGCAGTGCTGTATGCAATGAAATGGAAGAGCACCTTTTTCTGAATGGCTGTACTTGCTGCAGGACACTGCCACCTAGTGCTTCTTCAAAGGTGAGACCTCTCCAGGTACACATGGAGTTTGTTTTCTTACCATCCAACAATTATTAAAGTTTACATTATTAAAAATATAACTTTAAGTTTAAAGAAAATACATTTTACAATTACTAATATGTCTCACTTCAACATGCACATACTATATTTGTTTATTAGTTACAAAATGTATCTAAACAGTGGATAACATCTCTGCGATCTTTACTGTTTTAACTTGTAATGTGAACTTGGATATGACAAATATCATCATTTCATTATTCAGCAGTGTGTACATGTAGAAAATGCTAAATGTAAATAATTACATATGTAGAAGATGCTTTCTATCATACACGCAAATGATTAGAAGTGGAAAAGTTTCTTGGTGCTCGCCTTTAATCAAGTTCAAGGCATGCACGCACAAGCCTGATTTTGTAGCATCACAACTTGTTTGAAGTCAAATCATGATCCAGTATGCAACACACACAAATGTGATGTGGAAACCTGAAAGCTCTAGAGCACATACACTCAGAATGGGCTTTTTAGCGAAGATATCTTCTATTTCTGCCTTTTTAATATTCAACAGTTGACCGCAGAGACTGACACGAAACATCGCCAATTCACAGCTACTTGGGTAGATAAAAGCATCATGGCACGCTTGCATGGCTACATCTACTACCAACAGTTACATGTGATGCATGTGACAGTATGTTTTTTTGTTAAACCCGCTACTAAAGTATCATTTGGCACAGATGGTGTTACGTGAACCCTGAGCAGAGACTCAAATTATTTTGTTATTCTATGTCATTATCAGTTGTCTTTGATCAAAATGACTCTACTAATATCTCAGAAATCGACCCACCTAATTGGGGTTCCTCGCCTTAAGTTATCTTGTTCAATCATTTACTCTGACAATCTGTCACATGGTTTTGGGCCCTGGGGGCACAGTCTGTATGCTCTTGTATTTGCTGTCACATATATGGAACAGCTGAACGCACAGAAGCTCTCTGCTAATCAAGGCAAACCCATGGAAGCGTTCTGCTATTTTTGCAGCTATTCCCTGATGCACAGCTTCTTATCATTCTCAGCTGTTCATTCTGGGTCTGTGCTTTGTTTTTATTACGATTTCAATTTAACCCACCTGTGAACTTGATGCAAGACTGAGAGGGAACCACGTTGGCCTGGCGAGGGAGAAGAGGGGAGGATGGCAAAGAAATGGACATGCCCTTGGTCAGTCTCATCAGTTTTACTGGGCTTTCAGTGTAGCCACTGTCATGGTCCTGGAAGTGTGTGGCACGCCCGCCACTATCCCTCTGCAAGGTGCTGTGACTGTACACCTCTCCACCTACAGTACATGAAAAGATGAGAGTTTATGGAAGGATCATTTAGAAAGCTTCAGCACAGTTAAAAAGGCTGAGTTGATTTAACAGAACTGTGGCTGTACAGCAGATTTAACATATCGCAGAGAGAGCTGTATAAAATATGTCTCACATAAGGCTGCGACAGAACGAACATATCTTGTCTTGGAGGCATATTGCTGAATGAGGTAATGGAAAGTTGGCAATGCCAGAACAGCTATTTAAAGGAATGGGATCACACTCAATAAAGAGGCTACACTTTATTTCAATTCAAAATTTGAATCATTTTCACTCCACTCCAGCCATTAAGCACCCTCCTGTGTCTTCAAATGAACATTATGAATGAGAACTCACAAAGCCAGGTGATTACAGAGACCTTATTGCCACTTACATTGGTGACAGAAGATTGCAGTAGCTTTCCCTGTGGTATAATTCAGTCATTTACTTCCAGCTACCTTAAATGAGTCTGTTTGTGCGGTTTTTACCATGAGCAAAACAAGGACTCAGAGGTCTGCAATCTAATATTAAAGAATTCCCATGATATATTGCTGAATAATTCCTAAAAGCATAGAAGCATCATAGCTTTGAAACCTTTCATGATAAGCTTTTGAGGCGATGTGATGACTCTCTGCAAATGATCAGAGCTATCCCAATGTACTGTAAACATACTATATCATTTTAATGAGACTGACACAGTTCTCTATCTTCCTCTCTGTTCTTGCTACCCAGAGCAGCAAATTATTAAATATTAATGGGCAACGTGGTTGCTCTAATACTGAGCTCTACTTATGTTCATCTATCTCCACTGCATAGTCTGAAATCTCCTCTGTACTGCAGCAGTTTGGTAAGTTCACCCTCCTTTCCTTTCAGCGGAAAAGCCTTTCAGGTCATGTTTCACTGACAATACTACAAAACAATCAGTTTGTTTACAGCAGACCCAACACATTTATAACAAGTGTGCACATTCATCTCATTCAGGTGTTGCCCACTCATAAACTCTTGTGAAATTCTGTATGTTTTTAGTAGGTCAGGATGTTTGCCTAACCCACTATAACTTCTCCTGACACACTTTAAATGCAAGCAGTGGGACACAGCGCGAAGGACAGAACACACTGATGAATTAGGCTAATTGAAATGGATCTACTTAAATCACCCAAGAGAAGAGAACCCGAATATTGCCATCAAATAATGCAAGAGCTGGTGGGTACAACGCAAGATGTACATATGTGATCAGCGACAAAAAGGCATATTTCAAATGATAGAAACTGATAGATAGATAGAAATGCCATTAAAATAAGACCAAGATACAAACACAAAAGGTGCATTATTACTGAGCTTACATGCCACAGTTTTCTTCTTTGGTTTTCTTCTTACCTGGATGTCTCTGGCTCTTTTTTCCTCCTTGTTTTCCTCCTTGTTTTCCTCCTCCCTCTCTCTTGTTTCCAAACACTGCTCTGAACATAGCTGGACTGGTGCTTTACTATCTACTGCCTGTGAAAGACTAAGCAAAATGTTAATTTGAATTAAGAACACATTATTTCAGGCACCATTACCCCCACATTTAGTTCTTTATTTAGTTCAACTGCTGGAAGACCAGAATTAATTGGTGGTTTTTGATACCAGACTAACTATTCAGTCTTTAACAATTAGTAATTATTTACCATAGACATAAGGGCAAACACAGATAATAAAAAACAAAATAAAACGAACCCTCAAGTTACCTGTTCTTAAGTCTTGTTTGATGCCTGCATGTCTTCACATGAATCCACAGGAAGCTGATGGAAGACCATTTAAGCTCGCGGAGTCCAATTAAGAAGTGCTGCACCTCCTCAGTCAACTCACTCAATGTTGGAAGAGGAGTCTGTGGCGCGCATCGGGCACATGCGTATTTGGCTTATGCTCCACATTTGATGTGCCCTTAATGATTTAATGTTTTAATATAACCCTTTTAACTTACAGAAAGGGGTTATTGATTGCAGCATATATATTCCATTAAGTGTCATTACCTACAGATAATAAATTATATATTCTATAGTTTAAATACGCACTGTTTTTTAACATTTATATATCATCTGCATCATCATTAGTGTCAAATATAAATGTAAGCACGCTGTATACTGTATTTAGACGTACATATACTGTACATATGCACCTACTTCATATACATAAAGTAACCTGTTAATGACTCAGTATTTATTCCAGCACGTTTAACCCTTGTACTACCTTGTTTACAATTTACAGAATTTTAAAAAATATATATTAAAGACATTGCATCTTTCTCCATTGTTGCCTTTTATATATAGGTAATACACGCATATTCTTTTACCTATTTGTATAGTTAAATGTCCATGTGTATACCTTTGCTCAGCTTTGTTGTCCCTGTTTTAAGATGTATGTCTATTTCCTGTAAATTATCGGAACTATGTGCACTAAGAAGAAAGAAAGCAATCGGAGTGAACATTAACCAAGACAAAAAAAAACAAGTCTTCCAAAATGTCTGTAAAAACGAGGAATCTCCAAATGTGAACACCAGGGGGCGACAGTGTAAATTAAAGTTCGTCATCTAGGGGGCGGAAATGAGCCATAACCGGTAACCTATTTAATCTGGAAGCGGCCGTCTCATCGGTCCTTTTCACCGACTGTTCGCTGTGCAGGAGGACGGAGAATGAAAAGTCATCTTAAACACATAATGCAGAACAACCCAGGTTCAGCCGTCTCTGCCACCGTGCTCTGTTGTAAGTATTTAACTTCTCGCCCCGTTAAGAGAAACTAAAGTGACTCTTTTAGAGTTTTAGTGTAAAATCGCAATGTGTGGACACGTGTGAATCAGCTGGTGCCATTTTGTGTCACCGTCGGACTCAGTTTCGGATAGCTCTTCGAGGATACAAGCATTATAACGTTAACCGGTGTAGTTAACAGTTAAGATGGCGAAATGGACATTTAGCGCCAATATAACGTCCAATGCCGTAAGGTTAACAAGCAAGAAGGACACATTACAACAAGCGTGCCAAATGTAGCACAGCACCGGAAGTGCCTAATTGCTACCATACCAGAGTTTTTATAGCAAACTGGAGCTATATGTCTCAATATCACGGTTTCAAGAGGTTAACTATGGTGTTAGTTATCATATTATGTTAACACTAGCGTAAGTGGTTTGTCTGATTTCGCTTGACAATGTGTTTGCTTGCAGAGTTGGTTACATATGTAACCAATAACCTTAACTTAGTTAAAATGATTAGGCAAGCAGTTAACAAGTAACCGACTAAACCAATACCAGGGATACCTTGTTTCTCAGTTATAATCAAGGTGCAAACTACAGGGGAAGCTTTGAGCCTCAATATGACATGAGATACCCTAATAAATAATATAATTCCCAAATAAACATACAGGCAGGCATGCTATTCTTGCAAGCCCGTTTTGATTGCAATTTCATAAACTTAACTCACTTTAACGCAAAGATCTTTTTTTTGTCCCACTCACTCTGTATGCCGCATCGCCATTAATCATTTCTTTGTTTTACAGTCACAAAGTAATAGTCAGTAAGAAAGTGAGCTCTCCTCTCAAACCCATTGTATAGTTCGCACACTGGTTATAATCCCCAGTAATGTTATACACTGGATCAGTAACTACCTTGTCAAGAATTTAAGAACACATTAACCAACGCTATACGTTTTTAACATTAATATTTAAAGCTGATCTAATACTATTAATGAGTTCAAGAATTTGGATCTATTGTCTGTGGATTTTTTTGTTTTGCAAGTAATCTTTATGCATTGTGGGTATACTGTTTATATAAGAAATGCACATAGGGTTCTAGAAACCTTTAGTTTAGGTCCACAGTGTTGACTGAATTCTGCTTTTTATAGAGGCAGAACTGGCAAATAACCTCTTCTCCACTTTTTTTCCCCCAGTGGATCATGTGCCATGTGGTGGACAACTGTGCGAGCCAGATGGAGGATGATGATGGCTATGTTTGAGGTTCGGCAGTAAGTCCCAGTGACGATGGTGCAGTCGCAGCACCAGTCTGCCATGGCAGGATAATTACTTGAGGAAAAAGGAGCTCCAGAAAGGACAGCTACCATCTGCATCAAACCATGTGTGAATGTATGTAAAAATGTGTATTTTGTTGAGACATATGCTTAAGTACTACTTGTATTACTGATCAAGCCTTTTAGCCTGGTCGCAAGCTGCATCTTTGACAGCCTGGGCTCTCTGGTGTGAGATATCCCGGGTTTTAATTTTTCAGATGCAATATTAAATGTCCCTGCGCTTTCTGCCCACCTCTTTTCCATGGTGGCTCGGATTGAATATGGGAGGATAAACTGTCAGATACCAATTTGTAGCTCCCGTTAATAATCTGAACTGCTTCATATTGCATCGTTAACATGAAACCCTTTTTTAATATGTGCTTATACCACGTAATATTCTGTAAAGAACCTGAATTTAATGGTTTTTCTCCCTTTTTCCAGTCTCAAGGTTGCTCGGACAGAAGATGTTGCAGCTGCTGTAACGGACCCTGTGAGGCAGTCTTGGTTACACTTGGCAGGTCAGCACTTGTAATGTTTATTTGAATTTGCATCCACTGATAGACCTGAAGCAGTCTTCATTGGCTTCTGTGTTTGCATAGAGATGCTAAACTGAACTTTCCTTGCGCTTTCTGACTGCTACATTATATAGCAGCGCAGATTGAATTGAGGAATACATGCAAGCTTCCCAAGGTCAGATTCACAGGTGACTGTTTTGTGACTCTGGATATTGCTATCAGTACATCAACCTATGTTCTGGTCTGGAAATGCATATTTGCTGGCTTATAGAAGCATTTTGCCATTTACTTGCGGAGTCTTGAGATCTGAAGGCACAACTAGTTGTTGCAGGATGACTATTTCTGTGACTTTAATGTGGTGTTGCATCTTGTTTTTCTCTTTCTTGCAGGTAATGAGCAAAGCACCTGATGAAGATTGTACCAGTGGAACATTATTTTTCTGTTCTCTTGAAGCAAAACAAACTGTCTCTCAAATATTTTATTTGTGGGTGGGGCTGTGGCCTGTGTAGAGTTCAACATGGTCTCCCTGTGTTCTCCTCTAGTCCGAAGACATGCACATTAATAGGTGACTCTAAATTGCCTGCGTGTGAATGTGAGCATGTCCAGGCCCCTGTGAGCCTTTTTTAAAGGAGAAGTGGGTATAGATGATGAATGGATACTTGTGTGGGATATCTGATCACTGGCTATTTGCCAGCAGTGTTGTCTTGCACATTGTACATCCATAGTATGAATTGGCATGCTGTACATGCAATGTGTGATACCAATTTGTATTCAAAGAAATAAACATTTCATCTCCTGAAGGTTTTTTTTGAATTTTCTATTTGAATGTCATCAATGCATGTTAAGACAAGCGGTATGAGGAAACTAGCTGGTTATCTAGATGCACAACTATTCTGCCATGAGACCACTTGAACCCATCATATTTTCAGACTTGAATGAAGTTACAGCTCAAGGTGGTGCCAGTATTGTCTTGGGTAGCAATGATTAACGCATGGACTGAAAAGGAATATTTAAATGGTTTAGGAGCAATTACAGGAAGTAACAATGGCCTCAAATTGAGGCTGTTCTAGTAAGTAAAGCAACATTTTTGTATTGAAACATTTATTGTCAAATGTAAAATTTAAAAATGCAGTGAAAGCCTAATGCAAGGACTCAAAGCACAAATTCAGAAGGATTACAGCAATAGTACCAGACTTAAATTTGTCAATGCAACTTCAAGCTGAATTTTTCCTCCCACGTCATGGTGCAGAGAACCTGCTCAGTTGTGTTCTTAAAGCATTACATAATTTCAAAGTGTCTAGAACGTACTCGATTCAGTTTGGAGAGCAAATGCCTCTGTCACATCCTTCTTTAGGTTTATCCTTTAAACATTAAGCCCCTTACCTATGGATATACTTGTCAAAACATTAAAACATAATTCAATGTTAAGAATCAGACTTAATTATTGATTCTTTTGCTCTGTAAAATGTTTCTCCTGGGCCTCTGATGGAGAGAACAACTAATTTAAATACTGGGGGCTTTTACCTTGAGTGTCTGCTGTGACAGAAACCACATCAAGAAGAGATGGCACACACTCAAGCAGAAAACCTCAATTTGTTTCCCAGTGCCCCTTCTTCTCGTCTCCTACAAAATAAGATACAACAATCTCCTCAATCGTTGCTTGATCTCATCATCCAGTGTGTTTAGAGACCTGATGTGAGGAACAGGAGAGAACTCCCAAGGTCCAATCAAGGCCTGGCCTGGGGGGGGACTCCCCCCCCCCCTATCAAATAGAGAGGTGTTGTATTGGCCTTGGAAGTGGCAGGGACTATTCGTCAGTCTTTTCCTCGCCTTGATAATGTCGGTATTCAGGCTTGAGCTCCCAGGTATTCTTGTGTGTTCCCTTCACGTTGTAGATGCCGATATCACGCAAGATTTCCTTCAAGTAAATCTGGGAGAAGAAAAAGATCAAATATGAGAAGATTGTTTGAAATAAGTCAGTATAAAACAGAGGGCTATGATAAAAGCCCTCATGTTGCCCTCTAGTCTTACCACAGGCTGTTTGGTGATATCCACCAGGTCTTTGATGTTGTAGTACTGGTGCTTCTCAAAAGCGGAAAACAGCATGTCCAACACCTGCTGTTTGTCAGCTCTTGCTCTCTTGCCCTCTTCCTTCTTTTTCCTCTCATACTCAAGCTGCAGCAAAAAGTAAACAGTCAGAGGTCAGGTATCACATATAGACCTACACCTTACAACAAACAATATGTTGTAGTATGTTAAGTATACGTGATTTGTATTAATTGGTTAAAAACAACTAACAATATCGCCATTGTCTTTTAAATTTATGGTGACTACTACCACCAATAGACTGTTTTGAAGTAGATTAATGACAAAAGACAATGCTGTATAGGATTCCTTACATTGTAAGTATGATTGGCCACAGGTTTGTAGTTGTTGGTGACCGGACTTTGCAACTGTTGTGACAGCCTGACTGGCTTAGAGGACTCTTCAATTTGTAACCTGTTAAGACGATAAGAATTACTTCACTTGCCAAGTACAATATAAGACATACTGCATATACTGTGTATACTGAGAGACATGAAAAAAAGAAGAAACACCGGTATGATAAATAACAATAGCTATGCAATTAATACTGTTACATATGTGATTATATCATGTTTAAAATTCCAAAAGATTCAACATCTGAATTAAAATGATAAAAATGGAATATACTTACATGTAACACATGAAAACAATGACATGAATATGTCCACATACAATTCAAGACATACATACATGATTATGTAGACTTATGAGACTTATGATGAAGTGTGTGTGTGTGCACCATTTAAAAAAATACTCACCTCTTCAGTCTCATATAGCTTTCACTAACAGCAGGCCTGCACTCTGCTCTCTGCACTACCACTCCCTCCAAGGCTATTTTATCTGAAAAAGAAGGGAGTTAATTAAAATCTCAATTGAAGTGCGTGTGTTTCAATGCATTTTTGTAGTTTCGAAGTTGTGTACTTCATAAATAAGGGAGAGGGAGCGGTTGAATGTGTGTAAGAGAGAAGGGATGAAAGAAGACACTATTAGAGAATGACTGGGTAATGTGTTTAGAGAAAAATAAATAAAAATACACTCAAGAAATAGTTTGCTTTTGCTAGTAACATGAATCTAGTTCAGTCCAGGCTCTCTCCTAAAGTTGAAAGAAAGATGTTAGAGCAATCAAGGGTCAATTTCTGAAACTGCATAATAGAGTGTGCTATTGCTTTTATTCTTCCCACAATTAATTCCGATTCAGTCAAAGCATGTTTTACCAATTCAGTACAACTGTCCTTTTCTCTACAATTCTTAAAACCGTATACACACTTTTCCAAGGCTATCTCCAAACCAGCCACATTGCCTATTGACTACAGAATGGAGATCACACTGTCCCTTTCAAGTCCTTTAAATGATCTACATTGATCATCAGCACCATGGCTCACTTACTGAATATAAAATGAACCAGGAGGTATCTGTATCCATACTGTAAATAAGTACTCCATCATCATTATGGTAAATAACAATATCTCAAAATTGATTTGTCGTTTTGTCATACAGCTTCTTTCTATACACCATATGAAGCTGTTTATATGCTATTGTGCATTTGCATTTATATGCATATAATTTACAGCTTTATTAGTTTCACCAGTGAAAGAAAATCTATCAAATCCCCAATTCATTAACAACACATCATTAAGAAAGTGACACTTGATCAGAGAGGCTTACCTTATTTACATATAGATTGGAAGGAAACTTGTTAACGTACATAGAGTAGATCTAAACTAACATTTACAATAGTCAGACATTAATTATTTTTGCTGATACAATGTCCCAACTGGACTGGCATTACAACCATCAACGCGAGCCGGTAGCACTCGGCTCAAGCACAGTGTCGACCACTCTGACCACACACTCTTATTTCCACCCAAACTGAGTGCAGAAGCTCCATGTGAATTGTACAACTGTACTCAAAAAGAGAAGAGGCCCATGTGATGCTTCAGGGCAAAACTGGGTGCTACATGAGGACATTGTGTCTACAGTCTTTATACCAATACATGCATCTTCCAAAGCATGTATATGGGTTACTACTGTGATACTACAAATGCCATTTATTAATAAAAATAACAGACACTCGGTGTGCCTGATTCCTAGTGGTGCAACTTTGTCACTCGCTGGCGAAATGGAGGACTCACCTGGACCTGCCCCCGCCCCCGCACCTGAGCTGCTGCCATCAGATCTCTCTTCTGACTGGCCTACAGGAAGGGAGGGAGGGATGGTAAACATGAAAATACAGGGGATGGAAGACGGAGGGAGGAGGGAATCGAACAATAAGAACCACACCCAGGGTTTAGTCGCACACGAAAACGTTTGATCACGCAGAGCTTCTCGGCATAATCTGACAAGCACACACGCGTGCGTATGAGCAAAGCAAGCATGCCCTTACAACAAGTGAGCACAGATACCATGTCGCACCATAAATACACATCCATAACAGGGCTGCACAAATACTGAATATATTCTCACATGAAACTATTGTAAAGTATTTCTCCAGTTCAAAGTTAGACAGTTAACAGTGTGGAAGTAGTTACAGCCCTCTCATTTTGTCTAAAATAAAAAGTAGATATATACCATTTAAACTGTGCAGCCCCCAACACACACACACGCACACACACGCGTTGGTGTCCCAAAGTAAGCCCAGTAGCACAAGCTCACCAGCATCCACAGCAACAGAACACCTACATTACATTTAGAGGGCAGACGAGGCTCAAACCAAATCAAAGAAACACATGCAGAAAATAAATCAACTCCAAATTCAGCAATGATTTGTGTTGATAATGATCTACTCTATATTAAATAAAATTAATTCCAAATGGGGCCATTGTGCCTGTTCAGATACACAATATGTTGAAGTGATTGGCATTGGACTGAAAAGGTCAAACCACACACAAATGACTGACAGAAGATCAAACACTGAAGCTAAAAGTCCTTTACACACAGAGACAGAAATACAGATCAGACTGGTTGGAAGACACATTTTCAACAGACCAGCTCTCTTCTGTTTTCCATTGAGCGTTCACTTATCCACTATGAGCAACACATGTCTTATATGTACTATTAAAGGCATGTGGAACAAACTCACACTCTGTGAGTTCACAACACACAGAGACAAGCAGGGCAGGCAAAGGAAAGTGATTATGAAGACAGCAAGCTGTACAAAGAGTAGCAGGATGGGCGCCTCCACCATCTGACTACACAGAACTTACCTCTGTGCTCTAGTACAAACAGATATTTCACATCACAGTAAGCAAATAATACAATTAGTGGACTGTTACGAGCACCTCATCTTGCAGCAGAGGCGACAGCAGATGGCAGGTGAAATTAGAAACTCACCTGAGGAATTCTCGGTGAAGACCGCCAACGTTTGACCTCCCACTGACTGCATGGTGAATGGGTGCTCGCGCGGCGCAGACACCGTCTTATCTTCTATGCCCTCAATCACCGTCAGCTCTTCGTTTAAAGTGAAAGACACCTGTAAAGAGAAATATCATTCACATTTATTCTTTCCAGCCCATTTCTTGACTGTTACTTACTTTCATTATCCTCTGTCCAGTACAGCAGTATAACAGAACATGCAAACATATAGTTACTTGTTCTTTTCTTGACAGTCCAATACTTATTGTGCAGTACTTAGAATCACCAACCATTATTATATTTTAAGAATTGTGATAATCTGTTTGTGAATTGCAAATGGTTGCAAGCAGATGTCCCTTGACAGGATGCATTGTACTTCTTTCAAACATCACTTACCTCTGCTTTTCCTTGGTTTCCTTTCCTTGGAGAAAAAGAATAATTAACAAAATTAGAATTAGATGACTGGCAAGAATAACAGGTTATTCTGTTTTATTTGAAATGCAGTAGTAATGGTAGAACAAAACACTGCTTGTATAAGATAAATAACTCCTTAAACGTAGCAGGCTAGTTTGTGCTCAGTTATTTCACATACTTGCAGATTCGGAGTTTCCCGACCTCTCCTCTGCCAGTCGCCTTTGCCCATTGCTGAGAGAGGTATTTGGGCACCTGCATCAAGAGACATGGGCATATTTTTATGATGGATGCTTTCACCTTGATCTGATATTAACATAAATATAGCAGCGATCCCTTTTATGTGCTGCCATTTCTCGTCGCCAATCGTCCCAAATCTATGTAAAGACAATTTAAAAAGCTTTTTTTTTTTAAAACATGCTGTTGTAATGAAGCTGTATCTGAGTGATGGTACGTGTTTGTATGTGTCTGAGGGCGCATGCATTCAGATTGGGGCAAATGTGGGCACTAAAACATTTATTTTCAAACTATATAACCACCATTAGGAAAACAAATTACTGTGGCAGCTACATGTTGCAAACATATAGTTGTAGTTCTCTACAAGAAGTTGCCAAACAACATTTCCATACAAAACCCTCAGCTACCTATCACTGCGTACTCATTTACATACATTGTGTGTACTTTGGTTGTGTTGCCAAACGACGGTGTGTAGTTAAATCAATATATTCTGGTGTGTTGTGCATGTAAAATAATACTATTATAACTAGTTGTGACCAGTTTAACGTTAGCTCGCTAACAGTTTATGAACTTAGCCATCGTTAGCTTCGATGCTTTTCTTTCATTGTAGCGGTGAGAGATGCTAAGCTACGTTACTGTTAGCCTTCCGTGTTTAAATGACTTACTGTTCTTATACCACATGAACTAGCGTTATTAAAAACTGGTATATACACACCTTTACGAGCCACACGCCGGTGTTCTGCTTGGCACCAGTTAAATCCACTTCTCCTTTCTCTGACATGTTTAAAAATGATGCTTCTGCTAGCTTATCAATGCAACCGCTACACGCATGCGCAAAAGAAATACAGAAGTATGGCGACTCGGAAGATCCATATCAATTGAACGCTCATAAATAAGAATCCATGAAAAAGAAAACACATAAAAGGTTTTAAAAATACTGTTTAATCAACTTTTTTTTAAAAAAAACACAAAACAACTTATTGGACACATGAAAGATTGCAAAGCTGCAGGAAAACGCAGCGTAACGATGCATTTTACAGCAATCTGTGCCAAAAGTATTTACAAAAAACAAAATAAATCAATTACAATTTCACAAAGGGCAACTTTACTAGCTGGGTTGAGCAATAAGGGACACAGTTTTTATTGATCTGGTTGGCCAAAGAGCATTCAGGTTTAATATAAAGCACTGTTTCCAACATCAAACAATATTGGGGCTTAAGGAAGAAAAATAACAGTCTGAACTTTGACAGGCTCGTTAAATATTGGTCAAAACTTCTTAAATCAGAAGGAGATAATCTAATGCAGCCCCGAACAAGCCAACATTGTAGTATCCACACTTGGGCAAAGTTGTTTATAATTTATCATTGGGATTGTGTTCAGGGATTGCTTTACATTATAAATCATAAAGCTAATTATGTCTATATACTAAGAAACTACTATGTCCTTGTCGTACACTATAGTTCTGGGGTTAGTTAAGTATACGAGATGAAAATTACTTTCAATGTCCAGCATGACTAACAGGTGATTTTCCAAACGTGAAAAGATAACCTAACAAACCCTATATCAAAATATATATATACACATATATCATAATACAGTCTCTCCTGGAAAAATACAAGCTCCACTGGCGGCTGTAGCATTGTCTGCCATGGCTTTATAGTCTGTTCAGTCCAGTTTAGTTTACCTCAGAGACCAACATAAAATCAACATCTCCATTTGTGTAACACATGAGCATCCGATGAAAAATAGTCCATACTGTGACTGGATGTCTTCCGACACATTTCTTAAATTTTTTTACAACTCATTACAGGAACATTCGGTCCTTGCTATGGGAGAACCTTGTGTTCAGTTCCTGAGATTTCTTCAGCAGCCGTTCCTTCTGGGCGTCATCAAAGCGATTCACCTGCAGGTCTGCATCCCGATCGAATGGTCTCCTCTCCACCGGTATGTCAGCCTTCTCCTTTGCTTTTTCCTTCATCGTCTTTGTGTGCAAAGTCATCAGAGACTCAGCACGTTTAGTCTCCTGATACGAGGGAGTGAGTATAGAAATGTTAGCGTTTAATGTGAACACTGGGGACATTTAGGGGGGGGAAAATAATGAGATAACACCACTTACATTATACTTAGACACTTTCTCTGCCATTTCCAAGTCCTTGTGGGAGAGCTGTGGGACATCGTCTTTCTCCTCCTCACCCTTCTTCTTTCCCTCAAGGCGTTCCTATTGGTCAAGAATAGACCCATGAAATACAGGGAAGTAATCTATAGACTGTAACATGTTTGATAAGGATGATTATTTTTCAGTAACTACCCTGGTTTTGCGCTCCCTGTCTGCTGGTGTATCTGTCCAAATGGAGCGATCCTTGTTCTCTGGACCTGACCTCTTCTTGAAAGTTCGCGCCCCCAAGCCAATGTGCTGCAGTTCTGGTGGGAGCTCGGTCATCCATGTTTCTCTGGTCACCACCTCAGGAGTGTCCTATTTACACAGAAATACACAGAAGATGCCATTATATTTTTCCTGTTGAGGGGTTAACATTAAACTAAGGAATATATACGTGCAGTGGAGACCATGCAGATAAAACTGTGGGGGGTTAAAAAGGAGGACTCACGTCTCCTGTCAGCTTTGCTTTCATCTTTTGTGCTCTGCGTTCAATGTCCAGAGCCACAGAGTCTTGAACAGGCCCTTTGGACGGCATGGGTCCGATCACATCCTCATCCTCGCTGCTGGACTCAGCCTGGTAGCCTGGGGGTAGAGCAGGCCCTGGGAAACCCTCTTCATCTTCACTATCGTTATCATCATCGTTTTCGTATGCTGCTCTGCGAAACCCAGGAGGCAAAGCGGGTCCCAGCACAGGCGGCCTGGGGGAGGGGGGGGGACACTATGAAGTTACAGCTTCCATAATAAACTATTTAAACTATCTGTTTGCACTTCTTATACTTCACTGGATTACACTGTAGTAGTAATTCACTCACCTTTCTGGTGACATCTGTTGCTTCTTAAACCCTGGTGGCAGAGCAGGTCCAAAGAAACCATCATCGTCTTTTTCTTGTTCATTTGTCCTCTCCACCCTGTTGAAAAGACACTTGTTATTGTTTGGTTTTGTTGAGACATTTCTTTCTATAACTTATAGTCCATTAATGAACCTACTTTTCTGCAGCAGTGTGACTTGTTTTTGCTCTTTTCACCACCACCACCTCCTGTTCACTCTCATCCGAGGAACTCGACGGTTCTCCCCGTTTATAGCCGGGAGGCAAAGCAGGGCCAGAGACTATCACAGGGAAGCAACAAGCATCAACCACCATGGTAAAACGAACCTGATACGAATACTACTGATTTATATTGTATTTAATAGAAAGAAACGGCGGCTCATAGTCTCTGACAAAATATATTTAGTCTTATACTCACATCCTTTGTCATTATCAGAGTCTTCATCGCTCTTTTCCCCTGTAAACATCGGAGGTAAAACGGGTCCGATTGGTTTATCACACGACATATCTGACACTGATGACTTACACGTAGTTTCAGGAATTTCTATTAAAGTAAAAACCGTGCCCCATAAACCAGAAGAACCTCAAAGTAAGAAGTTGACCTTTCACCGCGGAAGTAAACAGTGAGACTTTTGTCAATTTAACCAAAGATAAAACCAGAAGTAAGGATTCCTGCTCCAAGAATAAAAGCACAGGACATTAGAAGCGTTTTATTTTATAGATTATATTTTATCCTGAGAGACTGTTTCTAGTTGTTTTTCGGGTTTCAGTCATGTATAAGACTTCTGGTGTGCATTGATTAACAAAAAAAAAAAATCAAAAAAAAAAAAAAAACAAGGCAGTATTTTTTATTATAGTTTACCTGACAAATGTCTATTATGTATATTTTCTTGAGTTTGTTGTTAATTTATTCTATTCTGTGTATGTACACTGAAACAAACAACGTCAAATGCCTTGTATGTGTACATATACCTGGCCAATACAGGTGAACATATTTAATTTAGATATTAAATGGGCTTTAATAATGTTCTCTAATACATCCCAGACTGCCCCTTAATTATTTCTCTTCAGTAGTCGTGCTCAATGACTTTAGCGCTTCTAAAATAAATGTCCCTAAAGCAGGATTTTATTTTGAAGGCTGACGCCGGAAGTTTTGTGTCTGCATTATGTTAGCTTACTAGACACCGGTACTGTGTCGTAGCAACATTTGCCTCACACTGCACAGTGTCTCTTTGTGGGGTTTCAGGAGGACAGCGGGCAGATTATGTAGATATATCTGATGTGTTTTGACAGATATTACCTGTTCAAAACTTTGTAGAATGGGTAAAAAGGATAAAGGAGACCGGGGTGAGTTACTAATGTTACAGTTGAACTTAGCTAACTTGGCTATTAGCTAACTTTGTGGCAAACTGAAAGGTGACGGTCTTGAGAGAGTAAACATTTTACTGACACTCATATTTCTCTGTTGTGTAATTTACAACTGAAGACACTGTAGTTTTGCATGAAGACTTTGATTATGTATTCCTTTAATTAATCAGTGTCTTGGTAGCAGTTATAGTGAACATTTAGCGTAGTTCAGGGGATGGCAGGTCGTTTCCTCTTACTAAACTGTTTGTATTTGTCCACCCCTGTTACTGAGCATATTTTCTAACTCATACTGTTCGACTACAGACAAGAAGTCCAAAAAGCGCTTCTTTGAGGAGGAAGAAGACGAAGGAGAGGCTGGGGGCAGTGAGTCTCAGGAGGCTATACCTGCTGCTGCAGGTAAACAGGTGGATGAGTCCAATACAAAACTGGACGAGTATGGAGCCAAAGACTATCGTAGTCAGATGCTGCTGAAGAATGATCACTCCTCACGTCCCCTCTGGGTGGTAAGACATGTTTGGACTGTTGTGTGGACACGTGTGGTCCTCTTAATGCTTTTACACTCTATTATAAGGGATGTCGATTTGTATTTCTTTCTCATGTTCTTTTTTCATTCCCCCCCGTCCAGGCTCCAGATGGACACATATTTCTGGAAGCTTTCTCACCAGTGTATAAGTACGCCCAAGACTTCTTGGTGGCCATTGCAGAGCCAGTGTGCAGGCCTAACCATATCCATGAGTACAAGCTGACAGCCTATTCCCTGTATGCAGCTGTCAGTGTGGGGCTGCAGACCTCTGATATTGTGGAGTACCTGCAGAAACTCAGCAAGACGTCTGTACCTGATGGAATCGTGCAGTTCATCAAGGTGAATGGGAGAGTATCCGGTGTTTTTGGGGGACGAGGAGGGAAAATTTCCAAATGTATTGCTTTGCAAAACTTGGTTATTCAATCAGTGCATTTAATCCCTCTCCTTCTCTCAGCTCTGCACAGTGAGCTACGGCAAAGTCAAGCTGGTGCTCAAGCACAATAGGTGAATTCATTTCAACAATCATCCCTTTGCATCATTAGTCGTCCCTTCAGTGCTCTTCCTAAACTGTGCTGCCTATCTACCCTCAGGTATTTTGTTGAAAGTGCCTTCCCTGATGTGATCCAGCGCCTTCTGCAGGACAACGTTATCCGTGAATGTCGTCTCCGTACTGCAGACGGAGCTGACACTGAGCTCATTACTGAGGTCATCCACAGCAAGTCAGCGGTATGGTATATCTATTTTAACTCACACACAATCATATCAAATTATTTATTACTGTCACAAGTGCAAATTACTTTAAACTTTCAACCAAATCGTTAAAATAATAATGATGATGGTATTAAATTACTCCTAACATCACCGTAAATCTTCTTTGACTGAAAGGCATTGTTGTGAGACCCTGAATGTTTAGAATTATCTGTCTCATTTCTGGCAATAATATTGCACTTAAAGTCACACCAAAGTGTGATGTAGCGTTGAACTAGAGCGCAGTGTGATGTGCTGTACTTCACAGGTTGGACACAGATCATGCAGCTACAGCTAGATGGCAGCACAGCCACAATTTTAAACTTGTGGGTAGCCACTTATAAAAATGGGATTGTGCACACATTTGAACAAAGCAATATTGAGGACACGAGGAAGGATGTCTTGTGATGCAGGAACTGACTAGTCTCATCTAGTTTTTCTAACCTGTAAGTTATATTACCACCTAACGAAAAGCAAGTCCCTGAAGAGACCCAACAGGAGTTGTTACTGTCCTGGTCAAACACTAACAAATGTCCTTCTGTGTCTCCTTCTGACAGATTTCCAAGTCTTCTCAGGAAAAGGGAGGTACCTCCACCTCACAGGAGCCCAGCGATGGACAAACTTCATCCCAGCAGGTCCCTGAGGACATCTTCAGCTACTATGAGCAGATGGATAAAGAAGAAGAGGAGGAGGAAGAGACTCAGACTGTGTCCTTTGAGATTCGCCAGGTAGTCATCTGAATCACCACTACATACTTCACATTATTACATTACTGCTGACCATTTTTAAGCAAACAGCTTTGAAATGATTTTCTGTTCTTGCTTGAGATTTTCACACCACTATCCGCTACAGTAGTCATTTATTTTTCAGCTTTGAATATTACCTTCTTGGGCTGTAACTAACAACTATTGTCATTATTGTTTATTCCGTTTCTTATTGTTACAATTAATTGCTTTAGAAAATAGTAAAAAAAAAAAAAATGTCCATATTCAGTTTACAAGGATATAAAACTGAGAAAAGCAGTAAGCCTTCACATTTATGAAGCTTGAACCAGAGAATGTTTTGGCAATCAATGATCATCACAATTGTTGACGAATCATTTTCTGTTGAGTGAGTAATCGATTAATAGTTTCAAAACTCCCAAGTTTGTGGTGTTACACAAAAAGGCTTTGATATGAGGCTGTCTACGTGCGATTGTATTACTACAAGATGATACTGTATCATTGTGGGTGTGATGATCATTAGGAGGGATTACCCACTTCAAGCACATCAAAGCTCTAAATGCTGATTTGCATACGCACAGATATGAGCCTGGCTGCCTGGAAGATGGGAAATTAATCTAAAAACATATGGTATTCTTTGTAAAATGGTTAGCAGTAATATGAGTATGCATAATTTTTAAATATTGAACTGAAACATTCAAAACAACTGATTTGGTTCTTGAAAAGAGCATTAAAAGGTATATTTGATTGCTAGTCACTAAAAGCCATTGTTTATGTTTTGTGGCTTTATTTAAAATTAAGTAATTAAGTAAAAGAATAAATTGTATTTCTATAATCTATTCTGAACTGTTGTATTCTTCTTTTATCGTGCGTAGGAGATGATTGAAGAGCTGCAGAAGCGTTGTATTCAGCTGGAGTACCCTCTGCTAGCAGAGTACGACTTTCGCAATGATACAGTCAACCCAGACATCAACATAGACCTAAAGCCCACTGCTGTGTTGCGGCCCTACCAGGAAAAAAGTCTGCGAAAGATGTTTGGAAATGGACGTGCTCGCTCTGGGGTCATCGTGCTGCCCTGCGGTGAGACAGCTGGTTCACTTTGCCGGACAAAACAGAAGAGACACAACCAAAGCGTTTCATCAAAATAAAAATACACATTTATAATGGCAAAATGGTAGAAGAATTAAACAAACAAACGGGGTATACTCTTGTACCCCTCAACTTAATCCCATTACTTACTGTTAGTAATCTTTTTGTAGGATAAATATTGTGTGTAAAACTTGTGTATGTTTCAATTATTTTGTTCCTGTTTGCTTTCCAGGAGCTGGTAAATCATTGGTGGGCGTGACAGCAGCGTGCACGGTACGTAAACGCTGCCTTGTGTTGGGGAACTCGTCAGTGTCAGTGGAGCAGTGGAAGGCTCAGTTCAAGATGTGGTCCACTATTGATGACTCTCAGATCTGCCGCTTCACCTCCGACGCCAAAGACAAGCCCATCGGCTGCTCGGTGGCCATCAGCACGTACTCTATGCTGGGTCACACCACCAAGCGCTCCTGGGAGGCTGAGAGGGTCATGGAATGGATGCGGAGCCAGGAGTGGGGACTCATTATCCTGGATGAGGTGCACACTATCCCTGGTGAGCTGTTAAAATACATCAGACAACTCAATATTGCCTTCCAATGTTATGCTATGAATATTTTTGAAGTAATGCTTTGGGGTACAGTGGCATGCAGACACATATTTCGGTCACATTAATCTAAATGGTAACGTAATAACTTTGTGTTTTCTCTGTAGCCAAGATGTTTCGTCGTGTCCTGACCATCGTCCAGGCTCACTGCAAAATGGGGCTTACTGCCACACTGGTCAGGGAAGATGACAAGATTGTGGACCTCAACTTCCTAATTGGGCCTAAGCTATTTGAGGCCAACTGGATGGAATTGCAGAACAATGGCTACATTGCTAAAGTCCAGTGTGCAGAGGTGAGACTTGCACTATTGTACCAGAAAATAAGATAAAGGGACACACTTAATATCTCATGATTAGACAGCTTTGATTGTGTGCCCTTCTCTGTGTAGACCTTGTTTCTTGATAGATTTTGAGCTGTCTTATATCATTTAAACATGACAACTTGTAGAGTTGTGTGGAGCTGCATGCAAAAACAAAAACCATTGAATAATTTTGGCTGGTGTCTGACATGCAGAAGAGTTAGTCCAGTTAAAAAGCAAATTTCATATACTCAGATATGTACTCATGAATGATGTTTTTATAGATTAACTCTTACTTAACTTTATACTTGTCTGATTGTGTTGTTAGTTTAAGATCATTGTAAGTGCCTTTACCTCTGAACAATGTACCCATGTCTGTGCTTCAGGTGTGGTGTCCGATGTCTCCGGAGTTTTACAGAGAATATGTGGCCATAAAGACGAAGAAGCGCATCCTGCTTTATACGATGAACCCCAACAAGTTCCGTGCATGCCAGTTTCTCATTCACTTCCACGAGCGGCGCAATGACAAGATTATTGTCTTTGCTGACAACGTGTTTGCCTTGAAGGAATACGCTATTCGCCTCAATAAGTAAGTCATTTACAAAAAGAACAGCAGAGTGTTTCAGTCAAATATAAGAATTCTTCTTGTTTTTAATTCTGCTCTGTCGTTTTCCTCTCGAGGCCTTACATCTATGGTCCAACCTCTCAGGGGGAACGTATGCAGATTTTACAGAACTTCAAACACAACCCTAAGATCAACACCATTTTCATCTCCAAGGTAAACCAAGTAATCTATAATGGCTTTAACATTTATAATATGGACTGTACTCATTCAACCACCATGCGCCCCCTTGTGACCTGTAGGAGGCGCACATGTATTTCTAGACAACTAACCATGATAACATCTACAGTGATCTCCTCTGCACATAGTGTGTATGTAAATATACTGTACAGTATGACATGGTGCGTTGTTATTTATATGGATTCTGTGCTCATTTTGACATTTTATTACTTGTTCTAAGTATGATTAAATATTTTATCCAATTTGGACCTTGTCAGGGATTCAGAGAGGAGAGAGAGAAAATCTGAAATATTTTTTCCTTTAATAAATCAGTAAATGCATACTGCAAAAGTGATACAGTGGTAATATATCATGTCTGTGTATAAGTAATACACCCTTTCTACCAAATAGGTAGGAGACACCTCATTTGACTTGCCAGAAGCCAATGTTCTGATCCAGATATCCTCCCATGGTGGATCACGCAGACAGGAGGCTCAGAGGCTTGGCAGAGTCTTAAGAGCAAAGAAAGGTCAGTCAGTCTGGGAAAAATAAAACGGATTGTTTGCTTATGTGTTACACATGCTGACATAAATGTCTGAAAATGTATTCTCACTCCACCGACTGCTTGTAGGAATGGTGGCAGAGGAGTACAATGCATACTTCTATTCACTGGTGTCCCAGGACACCCAAGAGATGGCTTACTCCACCAAGAGGCAGAGGTTCCTGGTGGACCAGGGATACAGTTTTAAGGTGTGTTCAACAACATCATTTAACATTCTCTGTGTCTGCCCACAGAATGGCAACATCTACATATACCAGATTGTACGTATCTAACTGATAGCCCATACCTATATAAGTTTGCTCACACTAAAATTTCTAAGGTTTGTTTCATCCTGATTTAAGTATAGTATCAATTTTTAAAAAAGTGTCTTTTGTCTCTTTAAATAAACAAACTTTTTTACAGTTTCTGTTATCTGTGCACTTGAATAGGTAGAGCCTGTTTATTATGTATTCAAAAGGGTTTTGTTTCATCAGATCAAGTCTGGTTGGGCTTGTGTAGTGTGAGGCGGTCCAAGACTCACCAACTGAAAATCTACCTCTGAAATTTGAGAATTATTCTGGCAACAGCAAATATGGGTTTACTCTAGAAGAAGAAGAAGATCTTCATTTATGTGACACTTCGTGTTCCATATACAAATAATATAAGTTTTCATGTTCCTCTTTTTTCATAGGTGATCACAAAGTTGGCAGGTATGGAGGAAGATGACTTGATGTTCTCTTCCAGAGATGACCAACAGCAGCTGCTTCAGAAGGTCCTAGCTGCTTCAGACCTGGATGCTGAGGAGGAAGTGGTGGCAGGAGAGCTGGGTGCACGGCCACAGGTGAGGACTTTTTTAGTTAATTCCCTTTGCATGCTTAATTGTGCTATTGCATATTGCAGTACTCACATTTCTTTCTCTCCATATCAGTTCTCTAGGCGAACAGGCACCATGAGCTCCATGTCAGGTGCAGATGACACCGTCTACATGGAATATCAGAGTCGAGGCAGCAAAGCCTTGGCAGCAAACAAGGGCGTTCATCCACTCTTCAAGCGCTTTAGAAAGTAGATGCGCTAACTCGAACCCTGAGGACGTACTCAACTGCAACAGCGTAATGGGACAAAGTTGGTTGGGCAGCAGGATCAGATACTCTGGAGAACAGAGCAATGACTGGAGATAACCTGCAACTGAATATTATCTGAAACTAATGATGTACATTGCTTCCTCCTGGTAGCTGATGGTGATAATGGTTGAAATGACCTGTACATCTGGTTAAGAATGCAGCAAATGATGCCTGCAGGGCTCGGCTGCTCTATGTGATACATTTTAAAGTTTCAGCTCCAGCTTCCTCAAGCACCAACATGAACAACTGAACAATGAACTCTGTTGTTAGATCTCATTTGAAAAAAACAGTAGCTTAAAATTAACTCTCAGTCATTTGGCTTGAGTGGAAAAACTTGTCTAATCTGCTGTTAGTGGTTGCTTCACTGGCAACTGTATCTGGAAAACCAAGGGTGTATATTGGACCTTTGTCAGTACAATGTTTTGTAAATGTGGCTACATTTTACACAATAAACATCAGTCTAAACCCACAAAATTGATTGATATTAATCTGTTCCTGATTGTCCCATTGATGGTATTTTTCACTCATGTTTTGTTCGGGGATTTCCTTCTTTGAAATATTAAGAAATGTCTTTGAAATGTCCTTTTTCTCTTTCGGCTTCTGAGTGAAAGAATGAAAGCACTTCATGTCTTTAGGTTGTTTTTTTGCAAGCCATAGGGGGAAACTTGTTTACCTCATTTACTGCAGGAGGTTCAAATGAACATCAGTCTCCTAAGAAATGAATCATGATTACACGTGATCTGTTATACAGTGAAAGTTAGCCCTTGAAGACTGATAAGACATGAACTTTGAGCTTCATTTGGACTTTGCTGCCATAAGGAAAAGCTGGGGCTAGAGAGGGGTTAGGGGGGCCTACTTCCTCTGCTTGTTGATTCCTTGAAGATATTCCAAAAGCAACATCTAAAGCCTGGTGCCTTGTCTAAGCTTCCAAAGTGGTGAGTGTGGGAAAATACCCACCTCTGTTCAGCCACCCTTCACTAGAACACAGGGCATGCTTCCCTCTGAATGGCCCTGTGTGTGGCCCAGATAGCACTGGCATGCTTATCAGGTATGTGGTATGGTATTGTATGGTATATATCAGGCATGTGAATCTTTGAGCTCCAGACAGTGTCTCTCAGCAGTTTGTATATGTGTATATATATAAACACTTTATCTATATATCTTAGAACATAACTGCTAAACATTAACAAACCATCTGATGATTTGTGCATGTACTGACATGAACCAGACTGTGGGAGGGACTTTCAAATGTTTTTATTTTGCACTGTTAGACTTTTGCAGTTTACTCAATCATACATCGCTATTTCCTCACGGCAACACTGAAAGGTATCCAAATAATGGCAATCATGAATTTTTTTGAATTTAACTAAGCAGCTGCTCTTTTATATGCTTTCTACAAGTCAGCAGACAGAGGCTTTCAACATCAACATGACAAAACAATACTTCTGTCAGTTTCTTGTAAGTCTATCAAACTGCTAACACATTGTATCATGACACATCTTTAAAAATGTTAGGTATGATCAACCTCCCATCCAAATTCCATCATTACATTTTTTTTCTCTTAATTGTATGTATTGAAGTCTAATTGGTGCTATTTGTTACCCCATAAACATCAGCACTGCAGGGTAAAAGTTGAACATACATTTTATCATAGGAATTCTTTTACACTCACACTGATCTGGAACAAATAAACATAACCTCTTTCTGAATGGTGGGTAAATTAAGATTTAAATAATACAATTGTTACAGGCTGGTCCTTTTGCCTTATATTATTTATAATACATTTACATTTCTGAGCTAAATAGAACATTTAATAGCCAGTATGTAGTTATGCTACATTACATTACATTTTGATTTTATAAAGAAAATGTCAGTCTAATACAACGGAAATAATCCTGGATTTTCACTTAATTTTAAAGTCAAAGGTCAAACAACAAATGAACATGAGTACTGATTTACTTGTGTTACTACTGCTTTATAGATGGAGCACAGGAAGATGTATGGTAAAATTTTTGACAATTTTAACACAATGAGTACCAAGGCTGAGTCATTTGCTGCGTGTCATCCTCTCTCTCTCTCCCTCCATTTCCTGTCTCTTTCCTCAGCTGTCACTATCAATTTAAGGTAATAAAAGACCCTATAAATCTATCTCTCTCTCTCTCTATATATATATACAGTATATATAGATCGATATATACAAAAAAACCGTAACACTCTTTCCTCTCTTTCCTTCCCTTCACAACCCTCCCTCACCTCTCAGCTACCCCCCTTTCCATTCATCCCCCCTTTTTTGTCTCTGTCTGATCTAAGCCATATTCACGTTGATGAGAGACTCAGTGTTAACTATTCATATGTTTCTTTGTAAGATAGCACTTTCAAATAATTAATTCTTTTTTGTTTGACCTTTTTAATTTGCAGATTAAAGAATACAGAAATAGGAAACACTGAAAGGGAGTAGAGGCAACAAAGGTCCTGGGTCAGACTGTTGCATGATTGGTGCCCACATGACACAATTCAGGCAGAAAAGATGTCATATTTGTAATTAAACTCTTAATGTTTCTGAGACAAACAATCTGTTGCCCAATAATGAACAGTCCTCAGTAATAATGATGTTTCACACTTGTCTGGTACATGTGTGTGCAGCTGCATCTGTGTGCACAGTTACTGCCTAATTTGTATGGGGTACTGTCAGATTAATGAGAATTAAAGGTGTAGAGTGTTTTTGTTCTGGACTGAGGGCTACAGGATATGGCCACATCCTGGCAGGGGGTAGACTTAGCTGAGCCATTACCTGACCCTGTGGTGCATTTGCCTCTACTTAGTACACATAAGAGCTGTCAAGACATGTTAGCAACAGCCAGAGTTATAGCACAGATTGTGCAGAGGTGAGATAAGAAAGAAGAGTTGGGTACACAATGGATGTTAGAAAATGTAGAGAAGATTTGGGGGGGATAGAGGGGAGAGGTCTAAGCCTTTCAGTCTGAAGTGTTGCCAGCATCTGTCCTAGCTGGAGTTGATTAAGGGAGAATCTGAGGAAGAGGGATGTGGGAGACAGAAAGACAGTGAAAAGGATGGTGGGGCTGCCTCTTGTCCACCCATGCATTATATTAAACATACGGGCATCAGAGTGAGGAGGCTGGATGGAAAGATAGACAGGAGGGCAGGAAAATATGTTAGATGTGGGCTTGAGTAACATAACATAACATAACACGACATAACTTTGGTCATCAGGTTGGTCATCACTCAGGTTCATCTAGGAGTAAAGGCTGAAAACCAAACAATTCAAACACCCGATAAGCATTAGTTCTAAACAAAATATAAATAGGCTAATATATGAAGTATATTACTAGTATTAGTAGTAGTAGTACTAGTATAAATATATTTTTTATAACATAATGTATAGATATAGATAAAGTACTTTAGTATAGAGAATAGATCCATTGGCTACATTATCTCATCACCTGCAACATGATTTCAAGTGTGAGCGCTGGGCCCTGGCAGGTATGCCCTGAGCTCTATTACTAGAGCTCCTACAGACATTAATATGCAATTCCTCAGGTTCTGCTAGTGGAAGAGGATAATCTATACCTAGACTTTCTACAGACCCCAGTCATCCTGGTCTCAGCAGGTGGATTGTGACCAGAGAAAGCTGTGGTTATCAGGGCCAATGAAAATTTAGCATTCAACTGAGAAGAGACAGTGTCTGACTGAGATGTGTTACTGCATGCTGTTACTTGTAATGAATTAGACCTGTGACCCAACTGTTTTCTTCTTACAGAAGTATCTAAGTTTGGCTTTTGTTTATTTTCACCCCATGCTTCAGATGTGTTTTAGGATATACACACAAAGCTTTAGAAGAGGTTAGATTATAAATGGATGAAGAAAACAAAGAAGACTTTAGCCTGGTGGAAGAGGCAGGTACAATGTGAGTTGCAATAAAAGAGGGGTTCTTACAGGGCTTGTGTGGAGGCTTCAGGTTAGCCTTTGCAGGTGGTGCATGGCCATCATCATATACTGTAGAAGTGCAGTCACTCCAGCTACACTGCCACATGATGGCACCACAAAACTTAATTATAAAGAAAGGGGATCTTTTCAAGCTTTAGCCTGTTGCAACAGAAAGTAGTAGTCTTTGACCACTGTCTATTCTCCAATCCTTCTTAAGGATTAATTATATGCCAGCTCATAATTATCTGGAGAGGGCCTAGACAGGTGATGCATGTCCAAGAAACGTCAGTGACAATTAATTTCAAATAATAACGAAAAACATTTCTGAAAAAAGGCAATAAAAAAAAAAAAATTAGTTTACACATTAACCGGATACAAAAGCACTCCTTAAAACACTTAACCATGCCAACAGATTATCAGAAAACACTTAGTGATTAGTGTGTGGAGTGTTGTGATCTGTGAGTTTAACCCTTGACACACCCTATCAAACGTGCCACCCGTATCCCGCTGACATCATCTCCTCCCCTGTTGGCACGTGTAGTTCACAATCTTCACTTGAACCAGTGGATTTTCCACAAGCGTAATAAGCATGGTAAGCTTATTCAGGACACGGTCTGTTTACAGGTATCATTCCCAAATGAGGTGGTCTCCCAAAGAGGATCTCAAAAGGACTGAGATTAGTCCATGCTCCCTTTCTCATTTTCATGTACAGGGCAATTGACAATAACTTTGTCCACGATACACCTGTTTCTTCACAACATGTGGCAAGTTTTGCTTACAAAGTACCATTTTCTCTTTCCACAACTCTCCCACTTGCTGGGTGGTAGGAGCAATGTTGTCCCGAATCAATTTCAAGGAAATGTCCCAGTTGCTTAACAGCTTCACTCACAAATGGCGTTCCATTATCACTGCTTATCTTTGGAGGCACTTTAGCTTGGCAAAGTGGGGAAATAAATGTTTTGGAAGGCAAAGTTTATTATTATGGGCCAAACCAAATGTAATTCTTAAGTGTGCAACCATTTTTCTCCCAAAAGTGTCTTTCTTCAACAGTAGAAGACTGTTGCATAGCAGCAAGTGAGAATGGAACATCTGTGCCGATCAGCATGACGTGTGCATCCGCTCCTGCATTTCCTATTGAGACTGGATCAGAGCTGTTAGTATGAGCTTGACACACAGCAATATCCTTCAGCAAGAGAACAGCATCCAACAATGTAGCCACTCTGTCATGATGTCAGATACCGTCAGATTTGAGGAAATTTCTGTATTTACACAATGCACCAAAGTCACGTACAACACCAATAGCTGGTTTTGGTTGCTTCTTGAACGTCAGCATGAACACCCTTCAAAAAGTTGTCTCGCAGGTGGGTTTACCAGGTAGAAACAGTGTTGCAGAGGTCAGCTGGTTGTACAAGACCACTGTGGATGTCGTAAACGTCAGTGAGGTTAGCGAGTTACTTAGAAACAGATTCATCGTCTTTTCTATTTGCAGGCGGAGACTTTGGCTGTCCATAGGTGGCGGGAAAGCTGTTTCAATGTCAGTGCACAGGGTTGTTTAGTTCTGTCCAAAATGTCCTACATCTTTACTATATCCCCTTCTACTTCCTCCTCTCCGTCGGTTGTAGTTGAGAAGGGAGATGTTGTAGTTGTTAGTTGGGCACGTGTGGCACAGGCTGCGAGGGTGAAGGACCAAGGTTGGTGAGGTGGAGGTGGCACTATTGGAGGGGCGTGGTCGAGAATGTGGTCCATTCTGAAACACTGAGGCACTGTACGGTACAGAAAAGAATTTTTCTGAGAAGATTTGTCTGTTGCTTTGTCAGTGGTTTCAGTATCATCATCATCTTGTGGATGAAATGGCATTTGTTTATCATGTTTTTTCCTTTGCCTACTTTCTGCTTCATTCTTCCACATATTCAGTTCCTTCCAGTGTTCTTCCACATCTTCTAAGTCTTTCTTTGACACTTTTCTCTTTGCCTTCATTTCTCATCTCAAAATCAATCCTTTCCTATATCTGTATCAACTATCACATGCTAAAAAAATATACTCATTGCTCTTTGAGTATAGCAAAAAAAATTTACCTAAACATTTTGTGGACCTACAGCTTAAAAAACAATATTTGGATCAGTAAAGTTTGCTCTTTTTGTTCCCCATTGGCCAATCATGTCACTTAACTATCTGGCCCGCAATTATTCTCTCTTAGACACAATCGTCAACGTGAGTCCAGGTGGTTTATGCTACAACTCTGGTAAAAACAGTCAGGCTACTACATTCCTAGAAATCAGACTTGAAGATAAACCACTGTACATGAGCTAAGTCCAGCTAAACAGATTACCTTAAGTGATCGTGTGTGAAAGGGAGAGGTAAGGCAACTGAGGTAAGGCAGCTGACAGCTAAGGGAATGACATAAGTAGGTCACAATGCTTGAGGCACAGGAAAAGGGAGGGGAGGGAAGCTCCTCTGAGGAGTGCAACATTACACTGTACTCAAGGTACAAGCCTTGGGCTGGCTGCAATTGCTGCTGTCTTATCTACTTGAGGATGCACCTGCCCACTGCCCAAGTGGTACCCCAGATACCGTACCTCCCTCCGTCCAACTGCACACTTTTTGGCTCATTTGGCAGTGAGCCCAGCCTGCCTCAGTGACTCGAACACCGCTATCACACTCTGCATATGCTCCCACCAGCTTTTACTATGGATGATAACATCATCCAAGTAGGCGGCATGTGTGCGGATGCAGGACACGGTCCTTGAGGCCCTGAGATGTGGAGAAAACGAAAGGTTAGAGCGAGGAAAAGGGGTAGGCTGAGTGAATGAGTCGTGATGATGGGTAGCGGGGGGTGTGGGTTTTCTGCAGGTGGTGGGGCATCGGGGGGGCATCGGGTGGGCATCAGGTGGGCATGGTGATATTGGAGAAGGAGGGAGGAGATGGTGACTGAGCCCCCGACCAGGCCAGCAGACTCTCAAGCAGCTGGTTCTGCTCCCCTGCCTGGTCGTGGAGTGCCTCCAGACACAGCCCGCTGCTCACTGTGCATTGCAGCAAGGTCTTTTTATATATGTATATATATATATATATATATATATATATACACACACACAAACACACTGTATTAAATAAATTAAATTCTCCTTTACACTATTTTTTTATACACTCACAGGCCGAAACACACACTCATGCACATGCAGTGCATGAGAGATGGTGGAGTGATGGGCTTGCCTTGTTAGTGGCGCTCATGAGCAATTTCTTGGGGTCAGGTGCACCTCGGCAGTGCATAGGGGGTGAAACTGGCACCTCTCCAGTCCACACTCCATATTGTGGTCTGTGGGACTTGAACCGGCGACCCTCCGGTTCCCAAGCCAAGTCCTGCTACTGCCGCCTCAGGTCTGATATGCTGTGTCCTGCAGCTGAGTGTAAACCACACCCACCTCCACATCAACATATCAGTAACCATAAATAACCAGTTTTAAGTAAGAGAATGGAAAGAACTGTGTATGAACAGATCCAATCTTATTTCTCAAATAAAATGTAATCACTAATTTCTAACATGCTTATAGAGAACAACATTTGACAGCCACTACCTTGACTCAAATGGTTAATGACATAGAAGAGGGAACACTTATAAGTAGTTTTGATTTTTCTGCTACTTTTGATATCATTGATCATGAGTTAATGTTGAAAAAATTAAAATGTTTTCTCAGTCTGCACTACTATGGATAAAAAGCTATTTGAGTGACAGAAGGCAAATAGTGTACTTTAATGGAAGTGATTCAGGTGTCAAGGACGGGAAAAATGGAGTGCCTCAGGTAAGTTGTCTTGGGCCACTCCTATACACAATTTTTTACTAATGATCTTCCTTAAGTTTAAAAAAAGTCACATATTTCAATGTATGCAGATTACTTAATAATATACTTTAATAACAACAATAAGTAACTTTATGCTCTATTATTGGGCCTCTGCGATTAAGACCTTCATTTTCTGGCTGGAAGCCTCAGCCGTATCACCCACGTGGCAAACCTAAAGGTGTAATCCCATTTGCCCCCACTAAGATTAAGATTAAATTGTGGAGCAACAATCATATTCTACGTGGTTTACTTGGAAACAAATTAGGTGTAATTTTAATCTTAAACCAATATCCCTAGCTCTACCCATTGCCAGGAACCCCATCTCACCGCCCTCTAATTTGGATAGAGGCTTCCCTACGTGGACACCGACTCATCCAATTTAAAATGATACACAGGCTCCAATACTCTAAAGTATGAGTAAAACTCACCTATGTGTGATAAATGTCAAACTTGCAGTGGCTTGCACTTCTAAGATGTGGGTAGCGGACCTGACTAACACACTCCATATGGAGGGAATACAATACGCTCTAGGAGATAGGCTCTCACAATTCAACAAGTCCTGGAAACCCCTAATAACATATCTTGTAAATGTAAATCCAGTACAGAAACCCATACTTTGGTAAATACTAATCATAATAGAGATGACCGAACAGTGAAGGTTGCTGCACGATGAGGCAGGTGGGTGGGGTGCAGGAGAGCAAGGGAGGACTACTTGGGAGGATGTTGGAATAGGTACAAGGGTGGTAGGGAGGATGGGAAGGAGGGGAGGGGATCTCTGGTCAACTCATTTTGTTTTGCTATCAACATAATTGTTATTATAGTTTATTTATTTATCTGAATCTTTTCTCTGACCCTTTGTTAGTTCCTACATACCATCTTTTTGTATTTGAACAGTTCTTCATTCAATCTGTTACTTTATTTTCAAATTACCTGTGTGCCTATTACTTGGTTTCCTAATAAACTTAATGCCACATTCACAATTGTATGGACTATGGAAATGAGCACTGATTGCACTAATGTTGTGTATGTGAAACATATCTGCTTAATAAAAAGATGTTTAACTTAAAGTCATTTTCCAAGTAAAAAAGGAGATTAAAAGGAACACTGTAGAGTAGCCAGTGCATGCGGTGACCTACCTGCTTATCAGCCTTGTGGACCGTCATGAGTGCAGCAATTTGTTTTTTCTGGGTTCTTAGAAGGCACTTGAGTTTTAGTACTTTTTCCAAGAAGCTTTGCATCTGGCTCGGACTCGCAGCTGCTGCTCAACCCTGAATAAGGCATTGCACCCCTCTGAAGCCAGAGGTCCACTGCCGCCTGAGAGAACACAAATATAAAAGTGTGTTCAATGTCAAAATTTCAGGACGGAAAAAATGCTTTATCTTTTAGTATTTGAGGGTTTCTTTTTAATGTAGGCCTACAGTATATCAAAATATCATATCATGAACAATGGCCAACAACAATCTGTTAAACTGTTAAAATTGAACCTCAAACTTTATTTACATTTTATTATACAGCTGTGAAGTTAATCTTCAGAAAAGTAAAGAGCATCTACATGTGTTTTCAACTGTTTCACTACATAGAAACACAAGTTACCAGGGTTTGCTTTCTGAAAGGATTCTTTGTAGTAGAGGCCACAATTCAACTGGTCTGACCCCTGATAATCCAATCCATTTAAACTCAAACACACGTGACAACAAGGCCACGTCGGGTGTTGGATTTGAACAGACACGGGAGCTACTGGAATAAATTTAACTGTCGGAGATAAGCATTATGACCACGAAGGAGTTGCTAAATTTGCACCACTTACAACTTTCAGTTTACAAACAATTAAGTACCAGTAATAGTAGTGGTTGTAGTAGCACTCTAATGAACGGCAAACGGTGATAAACAGTTCTGTCTTACCCGGAGTTGTTTGATCTAGCAACGAAGACCGCTACCAAGTTGGAAGGGTCCCTGACATCCAGGGTTGGGGATCCCATGCACTGTCCACCTCCCCAATAAACTGCAGTGCTGAAGCTTTTGAGGTGAACATTTCATTCAGAGCTGTGCTGGGGATAGACATAGTGTGATCTTCGTGCACTACCACATCCACCACTTCATCCCGGTAATATTCCAGGGGTGATAGAGGTTTAGATGTGCATCCTGTTTTTCATCTTTTGCCAAATTAGTTGTTAAGTTAACTCCGGCACATTTTCATTGATGATGTGAAATTGCAATGTTGATTTATGTTCACTGTCCCCTATAAATACAAATAAATAAACAAAGATATAAACTACTGTATATCAGGTTAAGCTACACCAAAACTGCTATGCAAAGCCTTGAACTACTACTATTGTTACAGTATGTCTTAATTATGCCATGTACCCATGTCTGTGCTTCAGGTGTGGTGTCCGATGTCTCCGGAGTTTTACAGAGAATATGTGGCCATAAAGACGAAGAAGCGCATCCTGCTTTATACGTTGAACCCCAACAAGTTCCGTGCATGCCAGTTTCTCATTTGCTTCCACGAGTGTTTCAGTCAAATATGAGATTTCTTTTTGTTTTTAATTCTGCTCTGTCGTTTTCCTCTCAAGGCCTTACATCTATGGTCCAACCTCTCAGAGGGAACGTATGCAGATTTTACAGAACTTCAAACACAACCCTAAGATCAACACCATTTTCATCTCCAAGGTAAACCCAGTAATCTATAATGGCTTTAACATTTCTAATATGGACTGTACTCATTCAACCACCATGCGCCCCCTTGTGACATATAGGAGCACCAACCACGATAACATCTACAGTAATCTCCTCTGCACATAGTGTGTAGCCTATGTAAATATACTGTACAGTATGACATGGTGCGTTGTTATTTATATGGATTCTGTGCTCATTTTGACATTTTATTACTTGTTCTAAGTATGATTAAATATTTTATCCAATTTGCATCTTGTCAGGGATTCAGAGAGGAGAGAGAGAAAATCTGAAACATGTTTTCCTTTAATAAAACAGTAAATGCATACTGCAAAAGTGATACAGTGGTAACATTTCATGTCTGTGTATAAGTGATACACCCTTTCTACCAAATAGGTAGGAGACACCTCATTTGACTTTCCAGAAGCCAATCTTCTCATCCAGATCTAATCCCATGGTGGATCACGCAGACAGGAGGCCCAGAGGTTTGCCAGAGTCTTGTGAACCAAGAAATGTCTGTCTGGAAAAAAACACAACATATTGATTGTTATGTGTGACACATGCTGACATAAATTTATTTTTCTTCTATGAACAAAACATTTCATTCTCACTCCACCTGACTGCTTATAGGAATGGTGGCAGAGGAGTACAATGCACACTTCTGTTCACTGTCCCAGGACACCTCCAGGATGCCTCTTTGTGAATTAAGCCATCTCTTTGGTGTCCTGGGACAGAGTTTCCTGGTGGACCAGGGTTACAGCTTTAGGGTGTGTTCAACAACAACAATAATTTTACATGATCTCCCCACAGAATTGCACCCTCTTCCTATACCAGACAGTACATATCTTTTGTGCAAAATTTGGCCCATACCCATTTAAGTTTGCTCTCACAGAACAGGAGCAATTGCACTCTAGGCACACTAGACACAGAATCTAAAAGTTCTACAGGTTATTTCAGCCTGATATAAGTGTAGTATCAGTTTTAAGTGTCTTTTGTCTCTGTAAATTCAATTTCCCTTTTTCAGTTTCTGTTATCTATACACTTGCCCCTGATATCATGTATTCAAAAGTGTTTGGTTTAATCAGATCTAGTCTGGACTGAAAACTGAAAATCTGAAATATGAGTTATTCTGGCAACAGCGAATATGGGATTACTTTAGAATAACACAACAAGAATGAACAAGAAAAGGAACTGGTTTCACAGAGAGCATCTTCCATGTAGAGATAGTTTACATGATAAGAGAACTTCACCTGTTCTGTTGTTGATACCTGGCAGGAGAGCTGGGTGCCAGCCACAGGTGGGGACTTGTACTCAGAAAGGACATATATTTAATTTCCTTTGCATGCTTAATTGTGCTATCGCATATTACAGTACTCACATTTCTTTCTCTCTCCATATCAGTTCTCTAGGCGAACAGGCACCATGAGGTCCATGTCGGATACAGATGACACTTACATGGAATATCAGAGTAAAAAAAAACCAAACACATGCACACAAAAAACCCTGAACCGTGTCACTTTTGTGTATGAAATTCAAGCTAAATTCCACAATGCTTAAAGGCTGTGGCTTATTGTTTGCAGTACATTCATGTCCCAATCCAGCTCCACCAACAGACAAACTCTTTCGTCCCCCTGGCCATCAGACGGTACAACAGCTCTCAGTCAAGGCAAGGAGGACAATAGACAATGGACAATTTCCTCCTCCGTTTTAATTTGAATGTTCATTTTAATTTGAATGTATCATTGTATGCTGCTACTGGATGTTTGAAAACCAAGGGTGTATTGTCAGTACAATGTTTTGTAAATGTGGCTACATTTTACACATTAAACATCACAGTCTAAACCCACAAAATTAATGGATATTAATCTGTTCCTAATTGTCCCATTGATGGTAGTTTTCACTCATGTTTTGTTTAGGAATTTCCTTCTTTAAAGTGTTAAGAAATATGTTTGGAAATGTCCATTTTCTTATTCTGGTTCTAATTAAAATAATGAAAGCTCTTCAAAGCTCTCATTTTTGGTTGTTTTTTGCAAGCCATAAGGGAAAAGTTACTGCTCACTCAAATGAACATTAATCTCCTAATAAATATAACACACAAAAGTATGGCAAAATGGACCATGACAACATTAAAAACATGAATGTTTACAGAAAACTATAAAAAACAGATTAATAACTGTTATTATGTCCATGACTAGTGACAATAGTCACTAGTGCCAACACATCACATTTTCTTTCCCAGCACACCAATTTATTTTGATTTAGCAGAGTAAGGAAAAGTTTAGCTGCAAGATTCTTCTTCCTTTGAAGCCTAAAAAGACAAACTTTGAGCTTCATTTGGACTTGGCTGGCATGAGTAAAAGCTGGGGCTAGAGAGGGGTTAGGGGTCTACTTCCTCTGCTTGTTGATTCCTTGAAGATATTCATAAAAACAACATTTGGAGCCAAATTGGTGAGTGTGGGAAAATACCCACCTCTGTTCAGCCACCCTTCACTAGAACACAGGGCATGATTCCCTCTGAATGGCCCTGTCTGTGGCCCAGTTGGTTTAATCCCTGTTTTGTGTCCTGTGGAGACTTGAGGCTTATTGGCATGAAAGGAGCAAAAAATTATTGCGACCCACGCAGAGTTAACAGAATACTAAAATATATTTAACAATTAAATATAAAACTGTCTAGGCTCATAGGAGGAGTTGAAAGAGAATGCGAGACACAGTAAGCAACTTGAGTCACAGTTTAACTTGAAATGTGAATGTATTGAAAGTTGTATTATGAAAAAATGTGTTTGTTTTGTTTACAAATTAACAAAAATAACCTAAAATGGTTATACTACATACACAATTCACAGCAACAAAGGAAAATGCCTCCAGTATGGAATAGAGTTCAGGATTTATTGAGTTCAGGATACATTTGATCCATTCAAGTTCAAGTTTGTTCCTTTTTAGTAGGATAGTAAGTTTCAGTTTTAAAGTGCTTTAGGTCTGTCACAACAAGTCAAGTGGCAAGGTGTGAGGTTTTCACAGTCCCACCACCCCTGTACCCTGTAAGTGATGGGGAATGAAGGGTGGGGTGGTCTCCTCCTCTGGGCAAAAGGTGATCTTGGTACAACTTCTTGGATTAAGGATCAGGTTCAGTACTGGCTTGCCATGTCCTTCGTCAAGGATAATCCAAAATCTAAGGGTTTTTCCAGGAAATTTCAAAACCTAGCCTGCACAAAAACAAGGGTATTATTATACTTAGTCATGAAATTCCAGTCCTCTGTTGCCATACTATATTAAATCACGTCAAAATTTTAAAAAGACTACTGCAACACAATAGTAAATAAATTAATAAAACATTACAGCATTTCTCATATGAAGTATATTATAATTTTTACACCATTCGTGCACTTTTTTTTTTAGCTTTTATAAATAATCATGATGTATGATTATTTAATTCTTGAAGCATCAAACTAACGTCGGACCCTTTAAATTTTCGAAATACACACATTACCTCTTTAAATCATGAACTGAGTAACAACACATCAGGTATTTGACACATTTTTACACATTATCATTAGCACTAGCAGTGCATAACTGGGTAGCCACGCTTCAAGTGTAAACAGTTCAACACTAACAAAAGTACAAAAGTTATCAAATACAGCATCAAAGTAAAAGACTTGATCTACAACTCATAATTTTTATATTTTCTAGCAGAGATATGATGCTTTAACTCTCAGTAACAATGCGTCAACACTCTCAATATCAAAGCAGTAAATACAATGTCAAGTTAACATATCAGTAAAAAAATAAATAAAAACAGCTCACTGCGGCGTCATGTTTTGACCGACATTGAACCACCAAGTGCAAAACCATGGTAAAGTGAGCCGCTGTCAGAATTCCCTTGCTCAAAAGTAGGGTTGTTATGGTAAGGATGGTCATTTTCTGTAATGTTCTTTCTGTGTATGAAAAAGGGTACATACTTAAATAATAATAATTAGAATTATTAGAATAATAAATAGAATAATAGATCTAAATAGACAATCTAAATAAATCTAAATAAACACTATAATAATAATATTAATAATAAAGAGTTGTATGTTAGAAATGTGAAGTATGGGTCCCCAGCATATAGGAACTGCCAGATGCTAACTTGCATATGTTGGGCAATTAATTTGCATAATCACCTATACATACATATGGACAATATTTCAGCAACTGTTGGTCCGATTTGGACAATATTGGAATTATTTGGGGGCTATTGAGGATGTTGAATCAATTTCTGACATTTTCAAAATACAAAATAATAAACTGGAAGTGGCCATATTTCAACTCTTAGTGGGCCAACTTTCATTCATTTTGAGTTGATTTTTAGGTCATTTATGTGCTTAATAAATTGAACTTGCATTTTAAAACGGAGAGAGCTCAATGCCATGTGAATGTTCAGTCTTCTTATTATACTAAGATATTAGTATATCCAGTTGCTGCACAACATTGGGTTATTGCTGCTGTAGTTACTGCTGCGGGTCAAATAATGGCTGCAAGGAAAGACGGAAGAAACACAGCTTTTTATGTATAGTTTATTGTCTTAAGGAAAGAAAGTTGATTTACTATTATTCCATCCTAATGACCCCTCTAACCAACTGAAATCCTGGGAGCAGTCTGTAAGATGGACCAAACAATCCAGTCCCAATTGCATTTGACACAGTGATGTAGTAGGTGGAATCCCAATGGAATAAAGTTGGCTGACCTATTGAATGCCATCCTTTCTAAAAAGAGCTGAAATAAAATGATGCTGAAAGGGAATGACCTCGAGAAACTGGTCACGTTTAACCAATTTATCCCAATTGTAATCCTAAATAAATAAGTAATCCTAAAAGCCCTCTTGAGTCTCTTGGCCAAGGCATTGGTGATGGTATGACCAGTGCACCAAAGAGGTTTTATTAAATCTCCTGGATGTTCCGAGAACCCTGTGACCCTAGTGGGCTAGGATGGTACAGGACAGGAAACTACTGGGAGTAGTAGTAAAAGTGGAAATCCTGAGACCACAGAATGGTGAATTGAGCAATACTAGGGAAATTCCACAGGGACATTTGGATAAAAAAAAGCCTACATCTTGAGGCATCAACCACAGATGTCTTATTGTATGCAAGACAAAGGGTTGATCAGAATGGTGATGCACATCCCAGCACTGCTTTTGCAGAGATTACACAGAATGTTAAACTCTACGGATAGGACAAGCCAAAGCCATTCTCAGACACAGTAAAATACCTAAACTTAATAGAAAAACTTGTCAGCGCCTTCCCTATTAGTACAACAACTCCAGCGACCCCTAGGTGGCCCAGGCAGGTGTGGAGTAGAGAATGGGGAGGAAGCAGAGAGAGGACAAAGCAGTGCTGCAGGTGGAGTCTCTGACATGCTACAGAGTCCTGGTGGGAGCAGTGAGTAGGGAAAGAGTAGATCTGGAAACCTTTCAAACTCCCCAGTACAAGGCCTAGGGAAAGGAAAATCTCAGTGTGGTCCAGGAGGAAGTGAGTTCAGCAGTGAAGGAGGAGGGGTCCAGTAGAGCAGTCAGCATGAGGCAGCAGGAGGATGGACTGACAAATCACATGGACTAATCTATGGCAAGCCGAGCCTCAGCGCATGAAGTTCCTGATTCAGGCAGTGTCCTGACCAGCCCATCAAAATCTCTTTATCTATGACAAAGCAGAAACCCTGTATTGCCTGCAAGGAGACATTAGAGCACATCCTCAGTTGCAGCCCAAAAGCTCTTGGACAGGGCCGGTACCTAGCATCCCAAATCAGGTTCTGCAACCCATTAAAGAAACCATCAGCATGGGAATTTGCAACAGCAGACAAACATGGCCCACTACCCAGACAATTGTGTAATGGCTTTATTACAGCTGCCAACTTGCCCCAATAATCAAAGTCTGCTGCCACCTGGGCCTCTCATCACCAGTCTTTGTCTGTCATCCTTATCTGAGGCTGTGGCCAGTGGATTAGTGGTTGCCCTTGTGCGGCAGGGTCAATCTGTGGCCACTGGAGAAGTAGAATTCAGCCTCTGACAAGTTGGAGTCAGTAGAAGAAGGGCTTGCACTTTGCAAATTGCGTCTATGGGTGACGAGAGAAGCTTGGAGTGGCGCTCCCATCAACAGATGACTATAAACTTTGTCAATCTGGCTATTCTGTGGTGTGCAACATAGATCACACTTGAAAGGGCATAATGTATGTCCTCAGGATTTCCACCTGTATTACTACTCCAAGTGGTTTCCTTTCCTGTACCATCCCGGCCCACTCACACCATTGGGTTCTCTGAACATTCAGGAGATTCAATAAATTCTTCTCTGGGTCATTCGCTTTAGGGATCAAACTTTTTCTGCTCCTGTTTTGATGCTTTGGGAATTACAGGATGGCCTTCAATAGGTCAGCCAACTTTTTTTCACTGGGTTCCCACTTTAGTAGATCACTGTGTCACATGCAATCAGGACTGGGCGCAGTTGTTTGGTCCATTTTACAGACTGATCTCAGGATTTCAACTGGTGAGAGGGGTCATTAGAATAGAATAGTAACTATTGGTGGTAACTAGGGATGTTCTGATTAAGTTTTTTTTAGGCCCCGATCCGAGCTGAGTCATGTAATATCGAGTATCTGCTGATACCAAGTCTCAGTCCGATACTAAGCTATAACAGTACGCAGTGCACACTTCAAGTACATTGAAGTTATTCAAATCAATCTAGTGTATATGTTTGACAATCAAATATCTCTGTATTGCATTAAGGAAAAAAATGCTTAATGTTTTTTTTAAGGATGTCCTGATCCAATCTATAACTGACATCTGCGCTGATCAAGGAACTTTTAACTAAATTCGTATGTTTCTTTTCCTCCACTTTGAGCTCTGTGTGTGACGTCCCGCGAACAAAAAGCCAATAAGAGTAACAAATTAATGTGATCCCTGCAAAAGATGTAGAGAAAATGGAAATAAACACAACTAATTCAGTTCATTCAGGTAACTCAGGTAAGGGCTGCACTACAGCAACAAACATTGGAGAGAAACTTACTCCAGACAACGACAAAAAGATTACAAAAACACAAAAATCAAAGATACTCGGTATCAGCAGATACTTTTCTGGTTGGACTTGTCAGGCAGCCTGAGCAGCATTCGGCATAGGAACATGTCTCCAGTCCAGATTTTTAATCAGTACAGTTGAAATATGAGGATATTATGATTCTTATATTGTAATTTAAGTCAACTTTGCTTTAAATTTGTCTAAAGCCATACAGAAATCGGTTCAAATCTCACATGGCTGAAGGTAGGGTCATCCTGAAGATGATTCCATTGAAAGTTTTACCTCACTTACTCAAGAAAATGTTATCATTCAATTTTTATAATAAAAATTGAACCAACTCTCCCTTTAATTTTCTGAACTATCTTACATAGTTTGGGTTATTATGATTATTTTGATTATTATAGTGTTTATTTATGTTTATAATAAACACAGAAAAAGTGAATGTTTCATAGCTTGGATTTATTTTCTACAATAATTATTATTCTAATTCTAATTCTAATTAATATTATTATTTTAGTATACTCTTTTTCATAAAAGAATACAGAAAGAACATTACAGTAAACGGGTAGGCCTATATGTATCTTTCAGGCCCTCGCTCAGCAGCAAACCTTACCATAATAACTCTACTTTAGGCACAACACAGTTGAGCGACACCACTGCCTAGGATGTCCCGATGTGATCTCAACGATCGGTATCGGCGCCCATCAAGGCGTTTCTTAACTGAACTGAACTGAACTGTCAGGAACAATCGCCGTACAATAACCCCGGGACTCTAACAACTACTGCACCTGTAACCTGTTTATTATTTATTTTTCCATGGTTGAAATTCAGTTTATTTTTTAAATCATAAATACAATCATTCAAATACCTATATGCTGTGCATGCTGCATATACTGTTATATCCACCTATATACATAAAGAAACCCGCACATAAGATATGCATTTCAGCATCATTTGCACTCTGCACTATTGTCTACTGTCCACAAATGTTATTGTTTTTTATTTGTTTACCTATAACAAAGAGTTTCCTCAGGTCAACGCGCCACTGCACGTGCAACAAAATTTCCTCGAACAAAAAAGCCTATAAGAGTAATTAACTAATGTAATCCGCGCAAAAGAAATAGAGACGATGGAAATAAACAACACAATGTTGACAGTTCACTCAGGTAACTCACGTGACTGCTGCCGTCACGCCTTCTCCGTTTCTGAGAAGCGCGTTCTCACGGCGAGACCGCGCTTCACGGAAACCTAAACCATAGCTGAGAATGAGATGCGTGACCTCAGTCTAAGGTAACAGCAGCCCCGAAACAAACAAACACTGGAGAGAGACGCTGCAGGCAGACTGGGGGTATTTTACACTTCTATAGGAACAACCACAAAAAAATGAAGGGACAACTTCGATGCAGGCATTTTGTTTTTTAATGCAAATATAAAGCTATTTATTTGACAAGCATATGAATATGCAATGTGCCCTGCGCTGTAGGATCTAAAAAAAAAGAACTATCGGATCGGGACTCGGTATCCGCAGAAAATCAATAGCCTATTAAATCACTCGGGTCAGATCCGGACATCTATACGAGCCGGATTAGGCAAAATCCGCTTACTCACCAATACTTTACCAAATGCGGTTAACTCCTGGCACACCGAGTGTAGAATCCCGTATTCAACTTCACATAAGTTTTATCTCAAGGTCGCCTTAATTCATTTATCCACTTTCACTCGTTTTAGATGAATTGATTTATGACCCAGACCGTCTGCTGGCTCTGTCGCTTTGACTGCGCTGCCAAGATTCAAAATGGAGGGGTGGCACTTAATTCCCGTCTCCAATCAGATGTCTGCATTGACTGATATAACCAATAAGAACCAAGTCTAAGCACCCTTACCTTGAATGACACATGTTTTAGCAAACAGAAAGTAATAATGAGAATAAAAATTACACTTTAAGAGATACAATTCTCGACTGGGTTACATAAAGAAGTATATATAAATTTACGTAGGTTGTACCATCCGGCTGATGTACATTTATCACAAAATAAATGGGAAACATTATACATATAAGACATCAGCATATAGGCTAAAGGTTGCTGATTCATATCTTTATAAATGGGTTGTGAATTCTGTGAACTGTGATTGTCTTCTTCGCTCCGCGTTTTAATTATTATATAGGCTATTCAAAAGGTAAGGTCAGCACAATAGGGTTTAAAATGTGTCAAGAAGATCAGGACCAAAGGTTTAGTCCTACTACGTTAAGAGACAGAGACATGAATAATAATATATTTTATATTTGCTGAATATAGCAGTGGCATCCCTTTTATCTTTTGGAAAGCTAATAAACATGAATAAACCAGTGATGTCTATTCAACGTGTGTGTGTGTGTGTGTGTGTGTGTGTGTGTGTGTGTGTGTGTGTGTGTGTGTGTGTTTTTTGCAAGCATGCGCGCGCGTGCATGCTTGCAGAGGGTTGCATGTGCGCGTGGATTAATTGGTTTGATGTAACTGTCCTCTGCACGTTGTAACGCACTCCCTTTTATAAAGAAAGAACAAACTCAGCAGTTTTTTTCGGGGGGAAACGCCCACACCCGAACACAGAATTATCCCTCCCTTCTTTGCACATCCAATCCTCTTCCACTCGTGAGGTTTTACAACAAACTATTTAAACGCGTTCCACAACATCTAACATTACCAGAGTTCACTGTTCGCAGCTGCACTTTCAGAGTTTGCAGAAGAGTCAGTACATCGCATTGTGTTTTCTCACGGCAACCGAGAAGCATCCAGAAGAATGGCAATGATGAATACTTTTACGGCAGCATGCAGGAAGAATCATCTGGGCGACGGGCTAAATAAGCAGCTGTTCTTCACTGTGCGCGCTTTGCACAAGTCAGCAGCAAGCGGGTCTTTTGGGATCGCCGCGAGTGGAGAAGAAGCCATGCCTAAAAGATTTCCCACACCGGAGGGTGTCGTCGAGAAAACCGCAATCAAGACCCTGAATGAGATGCCAGGACCCAGCACCCTATCCAACCTGATCGAGTTCTTCTGGAGAGATGGGTTTAGCCGAATTCACGAAATTCAGGTAATTCTGACCCATACTTTTTGGTGTGTTTTGTTTAAAAGATGAAATCATCCCTTTGTGTTTTCCACCAATCAGTGTAGCAGCCTACTCTTAGTGTAATTTGCCAGCTTTGCGTAAAATGCGTCTGTTGCGTAAAAGCGCACCAGAAGTTTGGCCCCTAGTCAGCTTTTCTCTCCAAGGTATGAGTTTTGTAATTGTATTCACGTGAGTTACCTGAAACAACTGAAAGTATTTTCGCCATTGCAAGATGCAACAGGCAATCTTGTTATAAGACGCTGTCTCAGTCTGCACAGAAAATCCTTCATCGTCATAAAAAACACCTCTCAAATAATTGCACGTGTTGTCTGTGTGTAGCTATGTTTTCTAAATCGCGGCATGGCAAAATAAAAGTCGAAAATAAAGTATATTTAGGATGTCCTGATCATGTTTTTTTTTCAACACCGAGTATCTGCCGATACCGATTTAATTTTTTTTTCTGTGCAGTGCACTTCAAGTACAATAAAGTTATTAAAATCAATCCAGTGTATGTGTTTGACAAATGAATAGCTCTGTATTGCATCAAGAAAGAAAAGTCTGGAGGGAATTTCTCTCTCCGGTGTTTGGGGCAGCCTTTACCTAAGTTACCCGACTGCACTGTCTGTGTTCATTTCCACCTCATTGGCTTCTTGTTGCCTTTGTTTAATCGGTCCTCAACTCTCCCTTTCCCTTTCCCCACTCTGAGATCTGCCAGGGTGAGAGCAGAGGCAGCCCCGCCCACTGCGGAGTTTCAACGCTTTCAAGTCTTGAACTTATTTTCATAGATAGAACTTGTGTTGTGTGATACTCAATGTTGAATGACTCAGTTTGAAACTTGATTGGGACATCCCTATAATACATTTACAGTTAAATCAAACATTCAATATCCAGTATGTAGGTATGCATTACACATTACATTTTCGCCTAATTTTCTAAGGTCATACCAGAAATGAACATGAGTACTAATTTGTTGGTTTCACTACTGCTTTTCAGATGGAGCACAGGAAGATGTATGGCAAAATCTTCAAATCCCGTTTTGGGCCCCAGCTAGTGGTCTCGGTGGCAGACCGTGACCTGGTGGCTGAGGTGCTGAGGGCCGAGGGTGTGGCCCCTCAGAGAGGAAACATGGAATCCTGGAAGGAGTACAGAGACCTGAGAGGCCGTTCAACTGGCCTCATCTCAGCGTGAGTCAACCTCCTGAAATAAATTACTTCCGGGGTCAATGGGATAATCACTTCAGTTTCCATATGTGTAGATGGGCGCAGTCAAACACTTGGTGTCTAGGTTACATTTCCAGGATCAGCTCCCTTCTAGTGTGCATGTCCTTACCTGCTTTTGTGTTACTAAAGTCTGAAATAGAGTACCTATCCCATTTGACAGCTGTGCTTGCAGTTTTTCAACAGTTTCACCGTCCATCGTCTTAATAAAAACAACAAAAAAAAGCTATTTCTCTTATGTGTTTGTGAATGTCTTGAATTAAAATAGGTAAATCTTTGGCATTCCCATATAATGTCTTGTGTCCTGTTTTCCAGTGAGGGAGACGATTGGCTGAAGATGCGGAGTGTGCTCAGACAGCTCATCATGCGTCCCCGTGACGTTGCAGTTTTCTCCGATGACGTGAATGACGTGGTAGACGACCTGATCAAGAGAGTTTGTATTCTGCGTTCCCAGCAGTCTGACGGAGCAACTGTCCACAATGTGAATGACCTCTTCTTCAAATACGCCATGGAAGGTTGGTAAAGATCCTAGAAAGGTTGCTTGTGAAGAAATTGAACGTTGGAAAGGATGCATTTGAGAAGGATAGTGCAAGTGTAGTAGAGATGAGGAAGGAAAGGAGATGAGGACATCAGAGAAGGAAAAAGTTAGGCAGGAAGAGGTCACAGTAAAAGCAAAGACAAAATAGACAGGAAAAAGAAAAATGGTGATACTTGTCAAATCCTGAATATCCACCCAAGTCCATCAACAACTGCTAAAGTTGCCACTGTACTAAAATAGACAAACCACTGATGTACACCTAACTTGTGTTACATTCCAGTGGAAAAGAAACAAGGGATGCATAATCCTTGTTGCAACTTTCCAACCGTACAGAAAAGATGACTGAAATTGTTATCTCCCTCTTCTTTTCCTTTGCCTTTAAAGGTGTTTCAGCCATTCTGTACGAGTGCCGATTAGGCTGTTTGGAAAACAAGATTCCCCAGGAAACCCAAGACTACATTGATGCACTGCACCTCATGTTCAGCTCCTTCAAGACAACCATGTATGCTGGGGCGATCCCCAAGTGGCTGCGAACTATCATCCCCAAACCCTGGGAAGAGTTCTGTCACTCCTGGGATGGCCTCTTCAGATTCAGTAAGTGGTTTACAGCTTCTAATGTTTTATCGCTTGGGGCACATAAATGCTTTTTTAGTATACTTGTATGTTACCGTGAACTGTCTGCCTACAGTAAATGTAGTATTTTAACATTAAAAGGGTATTCCAGCAATTTAGTACTGCACTTCCAAAAAGTTGGGAAACTTGAAAAAGACAGACTTATAGTCCCTAGTAAGGATTAAGTTCCAAGATCACTGGGTGCTATAGAAGCTTTGTTTTGTATTTGTAGTTTCCAGGGCCAAGCTGAGATAACCCTAAAGCCATCATCGGGAGTTATTTTTTTGAGACTTGACCAAACTTTTCCAGAGCCACAGCAGACATTATACAACGTGTGTAAAATTGCCGTAATACCCCTTTAAGAGTTCCTCTCCTTTTTTTTCTCAGTGACAAAAAAGGCTTTCAAGGAAGCCCTGACTTTTTAAAAGGCACATAAAAAGATATTTTTGCATTATCTAAAAAAGTTAAGTATTACGCTTTCCAGAATTACTTCCTCCAGTCCAATTACAACAGTACAGTAACAGCAGTACTGAGGTCTGGATAAGTATTTGGAAACTTTTTTGTTGAATCAACAGAAAGGAATGTTGATTTGCATATAAATCTCTACTGCTATACTATGGGGTTGAGGGAGTAGGGGGTCCCTGTTACATAACCTCTTTTTTCCTCCTTTCCTTTTCTTCACTACCCTCCTTTACCTCCCCTCAACTCCCCCCTTTCCATTCATTTCACCTTTCCTGTCCCAGGCCATATTCACGTCAATAAGAGACTTTCAGAGATCCAGTCCCAGCTGGAGCATGGAAAGGAAGTGAAGGGCGGGCTGCTCACACACATGCTCATTACCAAGGAGATGAACTTAGAGGAGATCTATGCCAATGTAACAGAGATGCTACTGGCTGGGGTCGACACGGTATGTCTCTGTTTATGCAGGAGTGTTAAATGGCATGTACAAAGAGTATCTGAAGAGTGTTTGAGGTGCAGTGAGTGTGGCTTTTACAGGAGGCAGAGGGGTTGGGAGTTTGGGAGAGCAGTGTTGAGTTTCAAGTGTTGGATTTCTGGCACCACATCTGTGCCTGTGAAGCTGTGCCAGCGTCAGGTCAGAACAGTGACTTGGGGGTTACAGTGTCCCACTGACAAACTTGTTCTCACTCAGCTTTAGTTTCTTGTCATTTGTCTCTGGAGATTAAAGAATATTGACATAGGAAAAACTGACAGGGAGCAGGGGCATGACATAACAACACATATCCTGGGTCTGTTACTTTTACAAATTAATATTTCTGACACAAAAAAATCTGTTAATATGCCAACAATGTACAATCCCTAGTAAGAATGATGTTTCACACTTGTCTGGCACATGTGTGTGCAGCTGCATCTGTGTGCATAGTTGCTGCCTAATTTGTCTGGGCTACTGTCAGATTAATGAGAATTATGGGTTAAGAGGGTTTTGTTCCGAACTGGGGGCCACAGAATAAAAGGGTGTATGTGTTTTTGTTGAACTTGTTGCAACGGTCACGTCCTGGTAGGGGGTAGACAGAGCTGAGCCACTACCTGACCCTGTGGTACATTTGCCTTTACTCAGCACACATAAGAGCTGTCAAGACACGTTAGCCACAGCCAGAGTTATAGCACAGACTGGGCAGAGGTGAGATGAGGGGGAGAATAAGAGGATGGGCCTGAGAAAGAGGGAAACATGAAACAGCAAAGACTGGGGAATTGGCATCACAAGGGGAGGAGGAAAGAAGAGTTGGGTATAAGATGGATGTTAGAAAATGTAGAGAAGATGTGGGGGATAGAGGGGAGAGGCCTAAGCCTTTCAGAGCTGTGTTTTAGATGAGTGTTGCCAGCATCTGTCCCAGATGGGGTTGATTAAGTGCAAGTTGGTTAGATGGGGAGCGGTTGACAGAGTGGGAGGGAGAAGTGGTGGGAGACGGAAAAGTGAAAAGGTTGGTGAGCTTATATAAGGAAAAGAGAATCTTTTGCTCATTAGTTAGTCCACTCCACTGAGAGATACTGACCCGAGACTGACCTCTGGGATCTTTTCAGTGTGATGTTAGCAAAAACAAGGCTGTCTCTCGTCCACCCATGATGGTACAGTCAGTAGACAGGACGTACAGGAAAGATGACACCTATTTCCATATCATTTGCTCATCTGCCCATGTCATTGAAATTAAAATGTCAGTGAAGTGCAAGTCAGAAGAAGGAAGAGTTGGGACAATTGAGAACAGTGAGATAAGTGAGGTTTGTGTGTGGTGGCTGTAATGAAGTAGGAAGAGAGGAAGAGGAAATAAAAATGATGAGGGTGTGTCACAATATGTGTGGGAGGTGTTGGAAGAAGAGGAAGCCCCTCAAGCAACAATACAGTAGGGGTGGAGAACTGGCTTAAAATTCCATTTGGTTTCTGTTACTTTCTAATGAATACAGATCACTTTTTACCCTTGTATCCTCATCAAATTTGATCTAAACTGCACACTGTAATGCTATTAAGTGTGGATTAATTGAGTGCATTTAATCAAGGTACAGTTTGGATGTGAAAGGATGAGAAGGTTGGGTGATCTAAGACAAGGGGGACAATAAAGGGGTGAGAATGCAGCTGGTGTTGGAGTGGATTTGACTGTCTGCCCAGCACGTGGACTTAGCCCCCTCTCCCTCAAAACCCCTCACTGTTTCCCAACACTTGCGCAACATCACAGAAACTCTTATATCAGCTAGAATTTGAGTCCAACCTGTTGCAAAACAAGAGGGAAAAAGGCAATATCTCCACAGAGATTTAATGGAAGAGCTAATGAGTGATTCCAATATACTTACACATTCAAAGAGAAATGTGCAACCCATTTTATGAAAAAATATCCTTTTCTATTCTCCTAGACATCCTTCACCCTTTCATGGGCCAGCTACCTGCTAGCACAGCACCCTGATATACAGCAGCAAATCTTTACAGAAGTGATGACGACTTTGGGACCTGGAGCAATCGCCACGGCTGACGATGTCCCTCGTCTGCCTCTCATCAGAGGGCTTGTCAAAGAGACTCTCAGGTGCATACTGCATGGATTTTATACTCTCCCACTTTTTAGGTTTGCTGTCACTTGCAGTGTTTTAAACAACTCAGCAATAGTTTAATAGACTTTTCAAATTAGGGTCACATTTGTTCATTATCTTTCTCAGTGTGGGGTTTTCACTTGTCCAGTTATTTAAAAGTAACTTTGTAAGGAGATTAATGTATAGTGCTGTTGAATAACAGTCTTTGTGTGCCCCTCTTGGGAGCAGGCTTTTTCCAGTTCTCCCAGGCAACGGACGGGTTACTCAGGATGACTTGGTGGTGGGTGGATACTTCATCCCCAAAGGGGTAAGCCTGATAGTCATAATAGTCTTCTACAGTGTGCATGTTCTGAAGACAAAGTGTCAGCCAAAAACATTACAGTGGAACCAGATGTAACATGATCCTGCATTACTCATACATTTCTCTCTGGCACAGATGCATGTACAATAGACCAGCTGTTTTCATTAAATTTTTCTCTTTTTTTCACTTCTTCAGACTCAGTTGGCCCTCTGTCACTACGCCACATCTTTGGAAGACGAGAACTTCTCTGAAGCTATTGAATTCCGACCGGATCGCTGGATACGCAAAGATAACACAGATCGTGTCGACAACTTTGGCTCGATTCCCTTTGGCTACGGCATCAGGAGCTGCATTGGCAGGAGAATAGCAGAGTTAGAGATGCATCTAGCTCTCATACGGGTAGGGGATTAGAACTACTCACAATTTGTAAAATTGTCCTCAAACATTTATATGAATATATCCACTTATATAATTAAATTGAATTAAGTTTTAATTGTTGTGTCATGCATACAGCTATGGCCAAGACAACATAAATTCATACAAGGCGGCCATGCTTTCGACCCCGGCCTGTGCCCACTTACAGTCCGGAATATTTCTGAATCTGTCGACCTTAGTACCAGTTCCCAGCTGTACTACTAAAGATCTTTGGCTTCTAGATAAACAATCCTTGTGCCTCACTATCAAAATGAGTAAAATGTGATTGACAACCCTGTTTTTTTTTTTTTTTTCCCCTTTGCAGCTCATTCAAAGGTTCCAAATCGGTGTGTCTCCCCTCACAGCTGATGTCAAGGCCAAAACCCACGGCCTGCTCTGCCCTAGTGCCCCCATCAACCTGCAGTTCATTGACAGGAAAAACTAGATGCAGTTTCCTCTCCGTTAGGTCTACTGTACTTTATGTTTTTACAGCGCTTATTCATCATTAGTTTTTTTGTAAATACAATGCATTTAGTAGACCTTCCAATGTTATATTTTAGACACTAACCTGCAACTGAGGTTTTACTCAGAAATATGCCTCACCTTCTCCTGTTCATTAGTGAGGAGAAAACTAAAATAGTACTGGTAATTTAAAGATAATCGCTTTTGTTGTATGCACACCGATCAAGCCTAACATTATGACCACAGACATGTGAAGTGAATAACACTGATTATTTGGTTATCATGGCTTCTGTTGGTAACATTTTGTCCTCAAAGGTGATGTGTTAGAAGCAGGAAAAATTGACAGCGTGAGGATTTGAGCGACTTAGCGAGTGGAAAAATTAACTATAATCAACATAAACAAACTGTGTTGTTTTATATTAATGTGCACGCATTTGTGTAACAATATGTGAACACTCATTAATACGTAATCACACTGTTTCTTCCCTAAGTTTGTGAAAGTAATTCACTGAGAATGTTGAAGGGCAACCATGAATTTACTGAAAATGAGCTGTTTCAAGTATGTATATAATCTTTATTTTTTATGATTATGTCACAAATCGCAATTTTGTTGCAGTTATCTTTTTTTCTGTCACCAGAATGTTTAATCACTGAAGCAGCATTACATGATTTTAATCCATGTACTGTATATCAATGAAACAAGAAATACACAGCTAGAAAAAAAAAAAACACTATTAGTAATATTTTAGGATATAATTGATTTTTAAAACCAAAATATATTTGATCATGCTGTTACTTAGAAGTAATAAATGAACGATTGATCAAGGTCATTGAACGAAGGATCACACTGGTTTGTATTGAGGAAAATGGTAACCTTTTATATCTTTGTATTTATCTACTCTTTTGTCTTTCTGAACCCTTATACAATAAAAATGATCGAATTATTCTTTTAAACAACGTGTGCTGTCCTTTGTCAAGGTATGAACATATAAATTCACACTGATGTAGCCAATAAATTGACAGATTTTTTTGTTCAAATCCATACATTTTTGGGCCCTGGAATGATTTTGTGCATTCAATTTACTTGTTAGAATCTTATTTTGAATCTGTAATAAAAACTGAATATAATCAACTTTGATATGAGGTTTTGGTTACCTCAGCTCATTTCTGTCAGTCAGTTCAACTAAAATGTGTGGTGTACTTGAAATATCAAGTTTTTCTGCACCCAATTAATCAGTTCAATCACAGTCGTTCAGGCAACATACATTTCTTAGTTGACTCAACTTATGTACGTGTGGCCCCTGCAAAAGTGCATATGCAACCCCACACAGCCAACAAGGGCTATACACCTCCATGTGCCACAATAAACTTCCTTTTCGGATCAGGAGGAGGAGGATCAAAGTAAAACACACTTTTAGCCTGCTTGTATTTATCAAAATGCTTGTTTAATGCTTGGTTAAGTATTCTTAGATAGATAAATTAGATAAATGTTACACTGGATTGTCAAATTAAACCTGGCAGCGGCAGTTTTTAGTAAAAATCTTTGAATTTTAGAATTTGTGTAATTTTTAGTTGCTGTAGTTCGTAACATGAACAGTAGTAGTAACAGTAGCTCAACTATGGATTTATATTTGTGCACCATATCTGAGTGTGTTACAGAAGCCGTAAGCGGTCATGCATTATTTCCTCGGTTTTTTCATGATAAGTTAATTTAATTTGGTTTTCCTAAAATAACAAGATAATTAATTTGAGATCTTGAGATAACAAATCAGATATAATAGGCCTGAGAGTGTGGAGTGAATGTGTGTGTATGGCAAAGCAACAGAGCAGGTTAGCAGTAGGAGTTCGGTTAGAAAGAAATGTACAGTATGTTGCAGTACACACTTAAATAAGGCTACAGTGTTTCAAAGTCTGGCAGCCAAGCAGCAAAGTTTAACACCAGAAAAGCAAAGTCTTATTATCCCAAGATCGCTGGACAATTACCCCGTTATCTCGAGAAAACAAATTAAATTAACTCGTAGAATGTATGAATGCATGATTTCTTTGGGCTTCCGTAGTGTGTGATTTTAAGAACAGAAAATTATTTTTTGCAAGTACCTAAATAAGTCATGAGCCATGTTATAGCTAGACAGTGCACATCATTGTTTTTCAGCCTGGTATGGTTGAATGAGTTTACAGTACAAAATTTATGTCCAATTCTTAATCATTAAGCTTATTCAGTTGTCCAGTATCAGTGCTAAAGACAAATGAGATACACTAGAAAGATGATGTCTCACTCTTTTTTTTAATTTTTTTTTAAATTAATCAGGATTTGCTAGATTTGAGTTTTTGGCCTGTGAGAGCCAAATCTGACCTCTTTGCTGTCAATGTATTTTATGTTGTAAGGAAACCACTGATAGGACTAATAGTTGTTTTTGTCCTTACAGATCAGTGCAGAGTTTATGCGACTGTTTTCGACTGAACTCCACCGGTCTTTCTTTGATGGACTGGACAAATATGTCCCGAGACTTCTGGAAATGTACAGAGTGCGAAGTAGCAGCAGTGCAGACCTGCATACTATGCTTCAGCCCCATGACATACAAGTAAGGACAGTAAAGATTTTTACTACATTGTGTTATGACATATGATGCTTTATAATGCTGCAATGTCATGTAAACAGTTAAAAATCTTAAAGTGTGTCCCATTTAGCACGTACCGGATTGTAAATCTGTTCTAAACCACAGTTTAATTTGTTGCTAAGTGACACAGCAGCAACCCCAGTGTTGTCAGAATTGACATGGACATGCTTGATTACAATTTTTCTTCTTTTGTTGTTGTTGTGTGTTGAGACTTCAAATCAGAAGAGAAGAGCAGTTGCTTTGCTTGGACTTCCATAATACCTGAAGGAGGATCCTTCAAGTTTCATCTGTGTCTGTGAGGTGTGTGAATTAATTTCATTGGCATGGGAAACTCTAATTATGGTGAAAAACAACAACAAACATTGATATTTACACATGTAAAAGGTATGTCAGATTTAGGGGACTCTATTTACAGAATATGGCAGAAATTAATGATAATATTCATAACTATGTTTTCATTAGTGTATAATCACATGAAAATGGCTTAAAGTGATCCTTTTATATCTAAAAAATCACAGACCTGAGACTCCATGTTTTTTTCTGTTAAAATGATCTTGACTAAATACATTATACAAATAAATGTACACATTTATACACATTTACCAAACTGAAATAGTGAATTGGTAAATTGATGGTATATGGTTGATTTCTGACTTATCTTTATTATGTGCTTTAGCCTGGCAGTTCAGAAGAGGAGGTCACAAAAGGAGTGGACATTGGGCTTCTTATTGTTTCAGAGGGAGGTGGAAGCAAGCAGGAGTTGCTGGAAAAAGAGGCTGTTGATGTTGCTGTTGTCCTGGAGGAGCACATCATTCTGCACGATCTAAGAGATGTTGCTAATGCCTTCGCGACAATGATGGTTCTTCTTTATTGGATTGAAAAGGACTGAAATAAACTTTTGAACTCATACAGAAAGTTTGGGCATCAGAAGTGGCAACTGTTCGCCCAAAGTTAATGGCATTTGAAACAAACTGCCTTAAAAAAATAAGTTAATTCAGCCAAATGCTTAGTTGAGTAAAGTTTTATTACTATATTTACACAACAAGACATTCTAATTGTACAACATGCTTAGTTTGAACAACTTTTTTTAATGTTTGTACAACTCAAGTTATTGTTCCAGGTTTGTTGGTTTTACTGGTCATTTTATGTTGTCTAAACTAGGATTTAGGTTTGTACAACTTGAAATATCTTGTTGGTATCACTAAAAAAATCTTGATTAAACTTAAAATCTAAAGTTGATGGGACTAATTTGACAGCTTCACCTTTGTCGCCCCAACTATTTATTCTAAGTTTAAGAAACTCAGATATATGTTAAAACAACTTAAGTTACTTAGTTTGCCAAACTCAAAAATTTAAGCCTTAAATTGTTGTCCAACTTAAAATTTTAAGGCAGCCAGGTTACAAATTATTTTAAGTTGAACGAGCCAATTCTTTTTTACAGTGTGTCTTACACACATTTGGTTTTAATTAATGGGAATTTCGGTTCATCGTTGTTGTGTACTTAGTAAGTTTCTGAGTGACGTGAAGCTACTTTTTACAACCTTTTATGACTTTGTACAGTAGTAGTACAGATGGTACAGATGAGCGCAACCCATCCGCGTACTTTGGCCTTGCTTCAAGTCCCCTGCCCTTTTTTGCAAATTCACAAATAGAATAAAGGTTTTGCAAATCTGAAATGACCTGGGGAAATGTAGTCCAGACTTAAAAAATGTCTAGGTATAGTGGGTCTTCATTTGGACCTGGTCCAAAGTGGTCTGACTTAAGTGTGGGGTGGGGGGGGAGAAAGGGTAAAATCTCCCCATTTAGCATTTTGACAAGTAGAATAAAGTTTTCATACATTTGAAGGTGGGTTTCAGACAGTTTTTAGGACAGTAGAGGTCGATCGATCGCTCAGCAGTGTAAATCTCCCTTAAGTTTTCCCTTGCCGAATTGGAAGCCAAGTTCAGCATTGTCGGTAAATGTAGATTCCGAGGTCTTTGCAAATTTAATTTAATAAAATAAGAATATCAAATTAATTTTTACCATATAGGAGCCTAATCATATGACCAGCAAGGCAAACAACTATCAAGTAGAAGTTGCTTTATGCTGTTTGGTTTATTATTTGAAGGTAGGTCAGCTCAGTTTGTTAATTAAGGTTAATATACCCTCTGCTCCACACTGTCAAACCAAACTTTATTCTAAAAGCGGGTGTTTTATGGTAAAACTTTATTTCCACCATCATTAAGACTCTTCACTGATTCTCTTCCATCTACAGACACAATGGGCACACATGCCATTTAATCAGTAACACCATGAACTAACCTGTGATGAGGTTGGCGGATATTTTCTTCCATTGCCCTTCATTTACACTTGTACAGCGTTTGTCTCATCTAAAAGGGGGCGTGGTCGCTCGGAAGACAAGAAAGTGACGTACGACCGCTCGCATCTCCCTCTCTCTTTCTCTCTCTCTCCATCTCGCGATATTTTATCAACGAGAACACAAGCGGAAGTAAATAGTCGCCATGGCATGGTTAGCTGGTAGCAGGGAATGAAGTAGCATGTAAATCGTGGATGCTCCTCAAGTTTAACGGATTAAAAAAAAACATTTACAACCTACAGCTCGTTGGTTGGACGTTGAGAAATAACAGATTCGCTCCGTCTGCGTTTGCAGAATAAATACACTACGAGAGTTGAGGAATCGTGCAGCACGTTTGAGGGCCTGGAAAGAAGACGTGTGCTAACGAAGCTAACCTGGCCGACGGCACCGCGGCTGTTCAGCTAACGTTGCTTCTGGCACCATAGCCTAGCCCGAGTTTCATCAGCTCATCTCGGCTACCCCCTTTGAAGCAGATAAGTAACGTCACTCCAGCTAACTCTGGCCGTGGTTGGAGGGAAAGTTGGGCTGGATCTAAAATGATCATTGAAAACCTTGATGCCTTGAGAACATGGCTGTCTGATACCCTTGAGCCTATGTAAGTATCATTAGCTTATAGCAACACAGCTGTTTTCTTAACTAAGCTCAGTCTGAGTTTTACAAGCTAACACAAACCCACACAGTGCACCTATTGCAAGGGTTTCATTAAGTACCGATAATGCTACTTATCCACGCCTTTGTATATTATTTATTTCGATGTTCATGTGTCTTATGTTTGTTTTTTCTTCTCAATTCCAGTTGTGATGCAGACCCTTCTGCCCTAGCCAAGTATGTTGTTGCTTTGGTGAAGAAAGATAAAAGTGAAAAGGAACTTAAAGCCCTGTGTATAGACCAATTGGATGTGTTTCTTCAGAAAGGTAATTCATTCTTCTGCTTCATGAAAGACTTTCTTTGCAAGCCTCGTTTCCTTTCTCATGTGCTCCTGC